CCAAGGAGGTCATTTCCAAAAAAAATAATTGAAAGAGGGTTAGGTTGAGACTTGAGAGGAGGGACAACATGCAAATTAATTAAATTTACTGAAGTCCTGAATTACATGCTTTGCCAAAATCTTTCACCATTCTCATTTGATCTATAGGTGTGCAATAGGCACCAATATTAACCTCAAGTTTTCAATACATAAACTTTGTAAGTGATAAGGTGGGTTCATCATAGCTAGCCTCTGTTATGGTTTTATATAAATTTTAGGGGTGTTAGTTAAGAAATTAAAAGTGAAAAAAATGCATTTCATATTTAAACACTTATTTAATATTTTTAATAATGATTTATATCTTCAATTTAGCGATGAGATTTATTGGAATAAGATAAAAATAACTTATTTTGATAAGTTGTACTAAAAAAACCTTGTTGATAATATAAGATAGAAACAATTTATGAGAGTCATAATTTATTTTTTATAGGTTGTTTATAATTATTTTTAAATAAACCCTTATTAAAAATCATGTTGAACTGCATTAAATTATTTTAAAAAATGTATGAATAATATATTTAAAAAATAAATAAATTTCTTAAACAGTATCCTTAATTAGCATTTGTCATATAGTGAAGGAACTGGTTAGATCATGTTAATTTGGACTTTGAAAGTTTGGTTGGTCTGAAGTTCAACTTTATTTATAAATCCAGTTCTCAGTTTTTCACTTAAACATGAAGGTTGCAACGTCAGTTTTTAACTGGATCATGTTATTTGACACAATTTTTTTATATAAAACCAAAAAAATAAACTTTTAAAAATATAATTAAAACCAAATTTAAGCTAATTTTTAAGTATATAAAAATTATTGAACCTTGTAAATATAAATATTGGTAAGAATTTTTTTGTCAAGTAAATTGCATTAGTTTATTAATTAAATAATTTAAAAAATTATTAACATTAGTCTTTAAAATTAATTTTAAGTAACTATATATATAAATATTTATTATATAAACATATTTTTAATAATTGAAATCAATTAAAAAGTAACAAAATTGTAATTTAAATTCACTCTATATTCAATAACACTCAAAGTGTTAAAAGAATTGTAACAAAAATTACTTTATTAATATTTTTCTTTATATAAATATTAATTACTCAAATTTCAGTAATTATGTCAAGGAAAAATATTTCCATTTTCCATTCCTTGTTAGCATGTGATTTTTTTCTTAATTTCTTCCCTTTAGCATCGAAAGCATAATCTAGGCGGAAAAGCTTATTAAAAATCAATTAATTAATATAACTATTCAGTTTACTACTGCACCTAAATGTGGTTGTTAGGCTGTTAATTATTCCTAAATTTGACCCGACTCTTGACATAAACATAGAGTGGTCCTCTATATATGTATCTTTTATTCTTCAAGTCTTCATTTATACTCCAAGATCAGCATCTTAAATGTATAATTTTTGATTACTAACTGCTTTCAATGAATTTTAAAAAACGGAACAGATACTTTCACATGAACCCTTCAGATCTAGTTCGATTTTTTAATCATAATAACACAACTAATCATATTTTTTTTCCTTGGTAAGAAACAATTAATCACATTGAGGCTATAGCTTTTGCATTTTGGGTAAGCCTATAGACATGAATTACTCCTACATGTATTCAAAACAGCTTCCATTTGCACCAGCTTTCAACTGAATATTATTAAGCTGAACTTTATCATCAGTGTTAGAGGAGAATAGGGATAATAAACTCCCATTGAATACTAGCTATATATATACAAAGTTTTTATTACATAGATATATGAAGTTACCATAAGTAGGTTTATATGGTGTGTGTGTGTGTATATATATCCCACCCCACCCCGTTCTTTATGGTGTTCTTTAATTCCTTGAAAGCATATGTTACTTTTTGTCATGATTTAAGAAACTTAGGTAGGGTTGTCATCAATCAGATTTTATTTTATTTTTCCATCTGTTATAAACACTTTAAATATAAATGGAAGAGAATAATTTGTCATCTATAAGTAATACTTAGTTCTGTAGAATTATCGAAACATAACAAATAAAAAAAATGAATATTTCAAATGAGTGTACTTGAAAGTCGTGTCAAGTTCTACCCATGAGCATTCTTAACAGCAAGTATAATTGCAGATAAACATATGTGAAGAATCGATTGCTCGTATGTTTTAAATTCAAAATATTTCATCTTTATCGATGATAATTATTATCTTCTACTCAAGGTTAGAGGCTATAAGATGTCTAAAAGATTTCAAAACTAATTGATATCACGCGTCTAAATATAATTGAACTTTACATGATTGTGTAAACATTTCAAATTACAATATAATTTGTATTTATACTTACATAGTGCAATAAATATGTTAACTAGTTATTTATTAATCGTTATTGTTATTAATAAAAGTATTATTACCCAATTAATCCTACAATAAATATTAATAATTAATAACTAACTCATTAATAATCAGGTGCAACCTAAAGGTAGGCTTTCAAAACGAGCATATAAAGTTACAAGGAGGTAATAAAGCTGCTGCTTAATTGAATAAAATGGCTAAGTTTGGATGCTAAGCTTGTACTTTAATTTGGTGGACTACATGCATTGTCATGCTGTGCTTTCCTCGTGGAAGGTTCAAATATCTTTGAGGATAGAAGATAGTGTTTGGTCCTCTTGGCACAAACAATTCAAAATGAGTAAGCTTCCTTTCATATATACTTTTATTACCTCACTCCATGCATGTGAATCATCCAGTTCCCATTAATTTAAAAGACAAAAATAAAGGCATAGTACATATATAAATATATATGGCCATGCCCTTACTCTTGATGTTGTAAACCAATGCTTAGCATAAGTTTAATTCCCCTCTTTTTTTGTTTCTTTTTCCCGAAAAACAACTTTCTTATTTAGCTCGAAACTAGTGCCTTTTCCTGTATTGTGTGCTTTTATGCATATTTAATTTAAATAAAAATAACATTTTATGTTAAAACAGTTTCAATTTTAAGTAAACATATGTTACATTAATCTATTTTGCTAAAATAAAGTTAACTCTCACACAAAATGTTTATAATACGTGTAACTCATTTTCATATTCATATTTTCAAAATTTTAAAATAACAATAAACCTTGACAATAATGAATGTCGAGTCAACCTAGACCTTTATATCTATAATTATAGCCATAGATCAATTTCAAAATATATTTGCAACTAAAAAAATCTAAAACATTGATAATTATAACCAATATAAAAGTAAACATGCATATCTATAACATATATCTAAAGCTAAAGGCAAGTGAAAAGTAGAAATAAAAATCCTCAACTGAGTATGTAGATTGAGTTTGCGTATATACAATATGTTATTTTTCTCATGGTTTTATGCAGTTACAATTTGCTAATACGCCTTAAAAATATGCTGAACTCACATATATATAAACATTGTTTGAGTCAATTTTGGATAACGTAGGCACCATGTCTACAAAATAATAATGCAGTTGCTGTGTGCAATTTGATATTGAAAAATATATATGGGATACTTATCCTAAAGCAAAAGGCATAGAAAAATATTTTAAGTAGTTTGTATTTACAGTAAGCAATTTTATTCAAACACACGGTTGAGGATTATAAAATATCGAAAGATGAAAAGCTCTATCGAAAAAAAAGAAGAAGGAAAAGCAGCAACATTATTACTGTTAAAGACAATCATTATTCGTTCTCAATTAACAAAGAAAAGTGAAAAGATGAAGATGAAAATATTTCAATTTGTGTTACTTTGAAGCTTACAGATGAGCAGAAATATAAAAGAAAATGATTATATAAAGAATTACATAGCATAAGAATAATAATATCTTCTTTTTTTTTCGGTATAAAGAAGAATAATCTCTTTTTTTTAGTCTGAAGAATAATAATCTCTCGAACAGGAATAATGATATATAAACCTGTAAGACTTCTTTCGGCCCATGATTCTATGTATCTAATATCAATATCAATAAAGTTTGACAGAATTATTAAATAATTCGATTTCCTATATATATTTATCAAAATTTAAGTTTTATCTATATAAAATGTTATATTGGAAAAAAAGTAAAATTCACTTTATTTTAAATAAATTATTGATTTTCTACTATTGAATAAGAAATAATAAGTGAAAAAGACTAAATTTTCATATTATTGATAAGTACGCTATTATCCACTAGAATAGAAATTTTGAGCCATGAGCATCGTTATATATATATTTGCATAAAGAACAACTGGAACTCACATTAGAAAAAAGAAATAAAAGAGGCAAAATGAGTGGCATAAAATATCAACAATAATAATATTCATACTCATTTTATCTTATATCTTCCATATTATTTTTTTTATCATATTATTTTATTATATATTTTTTCTTTTTTCTATTTTGCTATCTCTCTAGCTAGCTCATAGACGAACAGTGTTATAACTATTAACTAAATACCATTGCCACAGAAGCAGTAACCGTTGCACAATTTTCTAACTCACGTTATTCACGCGTGTCCATATCCTATTGTATTCTATCTCATAAACTATGACCCTTTTCATTAAAAATTAAATATTAAACCGCAATTTCAAACCCCACTCTCCTCTTCAAGTAAAATAATAGTAAATACTTTATAAATATTCATTGAATAGGAATCTTTTTATTATCTTCAAATTTACAAAGTTTCACAGGTGAGTAGTAACTTGAAATTTTTTATAGAATGTATTGACAATAAAGGAATATTATAAATATATACTTTAATACATTAACTTTTAATTATTAATTAAATTTATTAAGAATCATGAAAATATAAGTGGCTAATTCAATTCTAAAAGCTAAAGTTAAAAGTTTTATTAAAAATGGGTTGCTAATATTTTTGTCTAACTTTCTCCAAATTAAAAAATAATAATTAAGTGACTCTAAATCCAACATTATAAGTAATTGTCCTCCTCTCATTCCACACATCACTTTTCGCCTCTCTTCTTCTGTCTCAACTCTTAGCCATGACCACCTTCAAACAAGCCATCGCCGGAATCTCCAATTCCGGCAACCGCATTTCCCTCTCCAAGAAAAAACTCTTCCTCTCCCTCTTCGCCACCCTCCTCGTGGTGGTCTCGGCGGTGGCCATCATCGCCGGAGTAACAAAAAAAACCTCAAACTCCTCCTCCTCCTCCACCCTCTCCCTCTCCCACAACACCCACGCGATCATCAAAAGCGCGTGCAGCACCACACTCTACCCTGAACTCTGCTTCTCAGCAATATCCTCCGAACCAAACGTCACACACAAAGTCACAGCACACCGTGACGTCATCGAACTCTCCCTCAACATAACCGCAAGAGCCGTTGAACACAACTTCTTCACCGTCCAAAAGCTTCTAACCAAACACGACCTTACAAAAAGAGAAAAAACCGCACTCCATGATTGCTTAGAAACCATAGACCAAACCCTCGACGAACTCAAACAAGCCCAACAAGATCTCAAACTTTACCCTAACAAAAAAACTCTCTACCAACACGCTGATGATCTCAAAACGCTCATTAGCGCCGCCATTACCAACCAAGTCACTTGCTTGGACGGCTTTTCCCACGAGGAAGCTGATAAGCGAGTTAGAAAGGCATTGGAAGAAGGACAGGTTCACGTGGAACACATGTGTAGCAATGCATTGGCCATGACCAAGAACATGACCGACACTGACATAGCAAACTACGAAGAGAAAACGAAGGTGGTAAATAGGAAGTTGTTGGAGAATAACGAGTGGCCGGAATGGATTTCCGCCGCCGATAGAAGGCTTCTTCAGGCGCCGACGGTGAAACCCGACGTGGTGGTGGCGGCGGACGGTAGTGGGAACTTTAAGACGGTGGGGGAAGCGGTGGCGGCGGCTCCGGAGAAGAGTAGTAAGAGGTATGTTATAAGGATAAAAGCTGGGGTGTATAAGGAGAATGTTGAGGTTCCTAAGAAGAAGACTAATATCATGTTCTTGGGTGATGGAAGAACCAACACTATCATCACTGGTAGCAGAAATGTTGTTGATGGTAGCACTACTTTTCACTCTGCCACTGTCGGTAAGTTCTTTAATCGTTAATTTGATGTTTCATTTAGTTCAATCATGTTTTCGTTTCATTTTGATTTTGCATGCCATGCATATTAGAGTAAGTTAGAGATAGAAACTACTAGTCAGTTAATTACTTTTTTTAAGAGAAAAATATTAGTTTTAATTAATGACCAGTGCTTTAAATGTAATGGTTAAAAAAATAATTAAAATAAATAAATTGTTAAAATTATGTTAAAATATATAAAAGTGAGAATATTTTTGATAATTTTTTATTTTTATTTCTTTAATTGTTGATTAGTATTTTTCATATATACCACTATGACGGTCGTGTGAATATTATAATGGCATACGGCATATATAGAAATTGATGTGGATTTGGGGTACTCAGAAAACGCTTGTTCATTGGATTTTCCAAGATTTGGAACATTTTTTTTAAACAATGACAGCACAGGGATTAAAGTTCTGGGGTTCTGACAACTACTGAAACCACTATTTAACAATGACAAGTTGATTTGCCAAAGTTCTGGATTTTTTAACCAGTACAAATTTGTCATAGGCTCCTCCACTCATTGTAGTAAACTTTCGATACCTTCATAATTATATATTTGTATTTGGCAATTTTTTATTTTTTTTTTAAAATTAATAATATAAAAGTGGCTATTATTATATTAAGGAAAAAGTACATATAATTCAACAGGACTGATATTTTAGCTCTAAGGGTGGTTTATGAGTTGTGAGGTTCAACTAATTCAAAGGTTTCTAGTGTAATGAATTGCTTGAGAATTGAGGTAAATAAACATGGTTAGACCAACAGCAACAGCGCTGACTTGTGCTTGATATTATATAAAAAAACATGTCATTAACGCCTATAATTTCGGGATTTTGAGGTCCCAGCTGTAAGACAACAAAATATAATTTCGGGTCAGATCACGGTGCAATCCTAATTTTTCATCAAAATTATGATTTATAAAACCAATTCTTCACATCAAACTACTATTTTCTATAGAATGGGTCAGCATGCACATGGGTTGTTCTGCATTTTGCGGATCACTTTTGGTTTTTCTTTGTCATTTGCACTCCTGCTTTTCTGCCATGGTTGTAAGCTTACAAGGTCAAATGAATTTTTGTATGTCCTGTTCATGAATCTGCTAAAAAATTTAAACACGATTTCACAGTTTAAAATATAAATAATCTAAGAACCCATATTTTTTTCCCTTTCGTTTTCTTGTCCTCTTGAGAATATAGTAGAAGCGAAGTTTCACTCGGCCTTTTTGTACGGTTCGTCAAATTTTCAAAGGTTTCTCTCTATAGTCTTTACATTATAATATATATATATATAAAAAATATTATGAATGTAAAAAAGATGTCATTTATCAATAATTTAACATTAAATTAGTCTTTATTTTTGAATAAAAATTAATATATTATCAATTCATCAAATACTAGTATAAATTTTTACAATTGTATTAATAATTTAGTTTTTGTTAAGTAGAGATTGTATTAATAGGATTATCTAAATAATTAATGTTTGTATCTATTAATAAATATAAATATTCTAAATATTTGTTTGAAGGGAAAGTTTTACCTTACATAGTAGTCATACCAAACTAGTACAAGATTGCATCCAATGAAAAATAAACACAGTCTTAACAATAAAAAAAATCACTAATTAAATTATATGATTAAAAACAAAAGTCTTGAAACGTATGAAAAGCATGTAGTCTCTTATAAAGAAACCTGTAGTTGACTTATAGTTGCCCAGACCAAAAAAGACATGAAATCCTTTCATATATAAGGCCCCCCGGTTATTTTTTAGCTTTTCAAATGAGAAAATAAAATCATTTAAAATTTATGAAAAATAGTTAAGCTTTTAAAAAGCAACGACAATGAGAACAGTTTGATTGCTTTTCCTAAAAGATAAAGTGTGTTACATCTAAGAAAAAAAGCATCTAAAAGTATCACGAAATTTTTTTATTTTTTTTTCAAACCCATGAATCTCGATTGAATTGCATGCATTGAAGGTTTTACTAAGAATTTCATTGTAAAATTTGATATTCTCTGTTGTAATTTTACTATGTTTTAAATTTGATTTTCGTGCCTTATTTTTTTCTTTATAAGTTATTTTTTAACATAAAAGAATACACATTTTACAAGGGTGTTTTATCTGAAGGAGAAAGGAGTTGGAATACAGCTAGACAATCTTCATTTAACTTTATTTTATACAAGTTACCTGTTTCCCCCGTTCATATCGGCATTTTTTTTCAACTTTGAAGTCTGAATTTGAAGCCACGAACATTCGCTGATGCTTTTTTCGACCTATTTGCTTAAATCATGCATGGCCTTTTATGCAATATAATAATACACACATATAATTGCTTTCCCTTTTCGGACAATCTAAGCACCCCCCTCGCTTTCCCTTCATATGTTTCGCTAGCATGTCATTATCTTCTGTCCTTGTAAACGTCTAAGAAACCAAAGTATCGTTGTTTAATTATAAGTAAAATCCAACTTTTAATATTGTCTTATACCGTAAATTACTCTTATAGGCTGTAACATATCTCACTTGTCTTCTTGTATGTAGAGGTAATAAATGTAAGTAAAAAAGTTTTATATTATATAGGATTAAAAATGTTAAATAATTTATTAGTGACTCACAGTCTATTAGTCTTGAAATTTTAAATTTAATGTGATATTTAAGTTGTATAATTCGTTCTTAACTTATTAGCAGAAACGTCCCGAGTGAAGTCTAGTTGATAACCATTCAATGCATGCTAGTACCTTGTGAGCTGTAATTGGACGCACCTATCCAAACATGTCCTCCTAACTTGACCCAAGAGAAGTCTACTAGTAATGACAATTTCAATGTCACGCTTGTAGTTGTACAAGTTGCCCACTGGATATTTGCCTTTCATTCACTAACAATTGGACCACTCAATTGCTTTAAATCCTTTCAGCCATGCTAGTTCTATTTATGGTACCTCTAATTCGAATCCATTTAACCACCATGATTAAAAAGTCCTTAGAAAAGAAAACGAATATCTAGATAGACATTTCACTCTTCAAATTTATCCATTAAAATGCCATGATTAAGTTTTACTTTTCTAAAATAGATTACAAGTATACCATTCAAGGAATTCAAATTGAGTACTAGCAACATTAATTTGAAGGTGAGCAAACATCACACGGAAGCATGCACTAACATGGTTGCTTTTTAACTTTTGTCCTTGCTTGATCAATTTTGTGTAGTCGATTTTCAAGTTTCCAAATATAAACGTGTAACCAAGCTAAAGCGGTTTTTCTTTTGTTCTTGATATGGCTGCAGCCATTGTGGGTGCACAATTTTTGGCCCGAGACATAACATTTCAAAACACAGCGGGTCCCTCAAAGCATCAAGCTGTGGCTCTACGCGTTGGTGGGGACCTCTCAGCATTCTACAACTGTGACATATTAGCATACCAAGATACCCTTTATGTTCACAACAATCGTCAATTTTTTGTGAATTGCCTTATAGCTGGGACAGTGGATTTTATCTTTGGTAATTCAGCTGTGGTGTTCCAAAATTGTGACATTCATGCTAGGCGTCCTGATTCAGGTCAAAAGAACATGATCACAGCACAAGGTAGGGTCGATCCTAACCAAAACACTGGCATTGTGATTCAAAAGTGTAGAATTGGTGCCACTAAGGATTTGGAAGCTATGAAGAAGAGTTTTTCTACTTATCTTGGGAGGCCTTGGAAGGAGTATTCTAGGACTGTGTTCATGCAAAGTAGTATTAGTGATGTGATTGACCCAGTTGGGTGGCATGAGTGGAATGGAAACTTTGCATTAAATACTTTGGTTTATAGGGAATATCAAAATACTGGGCCTGGTGCTGCAACTTCAAAGAGGGTTTCTTGGAAAGGGTTTAAGGTCATTACTGATCCTGCTGAGGCCCAGACTTATACTCCTGGAAGGTTCATTTCAGGCTCTAACTGGTTGGGCTCTACTGGGTTCCCTTTCTCTCTTGGGTTGTAAAGTATATTCACTTTGAGTCCAAGTTTTCTTTATTATTTGTCTTTGACCAGTGTTGGTTGATTTTGGAACATTCCCATGGTTCTATCTTTGGCTATAATTATTGTAATATTGCCACTGGTTAAATAATAATAAGTGTAGGCCAAGGTTTTGGCTTCTTGAAAATTAAATTTTGTTTTGGCTTTATAAATTTTAATTTGGACATTAGAAGTTACCACATTCTAGGGTCAGCCATGTCTTGCACACGGCAAACCTAAATAAAAACTTATATACAATCACCATCTAAACAGGAACATCTTTCAGTCAAAAAGGTCAAATATAAATTCTTATGTGTACACTAACATATAATTAAACATTGAGTTTCTTTTTGTCAGAATATAATTAAATTAAAAATGGTTTATTGGCAAAAAAAAATATATAATATAAGAAGTTGCCCAAGGCTTTTGTTTGTTGGGCCATATCCAAACCTACTACAGTGTTTTTTTTTTTCATTGTCGGCAGAGATAATAGCCCCTACATTAGCATAGCCCAATTTGGGTGTGGCATAAATCCTTGTCTTTTGCTACAAAGCTTATGTGATTTTGTTTGACTTGCTTTGATTCAAAATCGGTCCTTCCTTCTCACTTATCAGTGGAGAAAAAAACATAATTTTCACTTTCTTTTTTGTTCTATATCAAATTTCCAATTTCTAGCTTAAAAGGAAAAAAATAATTCTTAATTTTCTGTATTTTTGAGAGAGAGAGAAAAGTGGCTTAAGAAAATAAAGAAACAAAAGGCACGTATGTGGCGCAATTACCGGATTGTCGCCACGCAGCGTGCTATTCTGACATTGGCACATAGCCCACATCCTGTAATAAATTCTCGTAGTGATCTTTTTTAATTGTAGATCTTCACAAAATAATTTTTTAAATAATGTGAGCTTTTATTTTAATAATTTTAAGAGCACGATACTCATTAAATTAGCTATTAAAAATTTAATGTGATATTGAATATATTAAATTTAACTTACATTTTTTTATTACTCATAATAACAACTAATTTGAATTGAATCGTCTTGAATAAAAATAATTTTGATCATTAAAAAAGGCACACCATCCTTTAGAGGTTTCTATAACTAAAACTAAATAAAAAGAATTATCTTTTTAATAGCGGTTTGATAGTTTGACTAAAACTTGCGGCATTTTCTTTTATATAAGAAGTCCCTCTCACAGAGCTCAAAGCACATGGTTTGGATCATAAAACACAGCTCACATTCTCTACGAAATGAATCATAAGATTAACGAATGTCCAAACCGTGTATAAAATTGCTAGCTAATACACAATCCAACAGTTGGTTTAATTCTACAAATCAAAATCAACGATTGTCCAAAACGTGTTTGGGTTTTGTTGGTTAAGATAATGAAACTTGTATCTTTCTCCTAAACGTTTTAAAAGATGACAGATAGTTGTGCAATCAATCATAATGGTAACATGTCGACTTGTTATTATACAAAACAATGAATTTGTTCTCAGACGCTGATTTCTTCTGAATCTTAGCAAAGAAGCATCGTCGAAAGGACAACGCTCCACATTCTTATCCCAAAGCATTAACAATAAAGGAAATAGAAAAAGATAAACCAAAAAAGAAACCCCGACTAATCATAAAAGAATAAAAGGGATCCCAACTCGGACAGTAGAAATTAAATTAAATTGTAATAATGTGATACGAGTATATTTTATAAACTAGATTTACTTTTAAATTTTTAATTTAAAATTCTTTTTTTGTTTTCTTTTTATTGTTTCCTTTCAAACTAAACAAAATCTTTAAAACGAGTTAAATTCATTTAATATATACGATTTTGTTTAGATTTTATTAAAGTTAAAAAATGATAATATTCCACTTAACTCAAGGGTTACACGTTGAATAACATTATGGATGCAATATTTTTTAAAAATGCAGAAAAGAACTTCATTTTTCAGAAAAGAATTTCTCCATCCCATTACCTGTCACTTATAAAATGGACCCAAAGATTGCTATAAAACGAAAGCAGAGCACAACATAAAACACTTCAAAGTTCGAAAGAGCGAAACAGAGGCATATTAATATGGATACGATCAAGTCATTTAAGGGGTACGGCAAAGTAGATGAGGTGGAGCAGCGAGCCTTTCAGAAGAAGACACGTAAGCGCATTATAATAATCGTAGTCTCCTCCATCGTCCTAATAGCGGTGATCATCGCCGCGGTTGCAGGGATCGTGATACACAAGCGCAACACCTCGTCATCACCATCCTCCGACTCGCTCCCCCAAACTGAGTTAACCCCAGCCGCGTCTCTCAAAGCGGTTTGCAGCGTGACTCAGTACCCTAACTCGTGTCTCGCCGCCATCTCCTCCCTCCCAAACTCCAACACCACCGACCCGGAGCTTCTCTTCAAGCTCTCGCTACGCGTCGCCATTGACGAACTCTCGAAGCTTTCTACCTTCTCTTCCAAGCTTCGCGCCAATGCCGGCAACGACACGCGCCTCCAGAAAGCAATCGATGTTTGCGCCGCCGTACTCGACGACTCGCTCGACCGACTCAACGACTCGATCTCCTCTCTCGGAGTCGCTGGCTCCAGGAAGATGATTTCTCCGGCGAACACTAACGACGTCGAGACCTGGCTCAGCGCCGCCATCACGGATCAGGACACATGCCTGGACGCTCTCGGAGAGCTTAACTCCACCGCCGCTCGCGGCGTGCTCCGGGAACTCGGAACCGCAATGAAGAACTCCACGGAGTTCTCGAGTAACAGCTTGGCCATCGTGACGAGGATCCTAGGGTTGCTGTCGAAGTTCGAAGCGCCGATCCACCACCGGAGGTTGCTAGGGTTCCCGGAGTGGTTGGGCGCAGCGGAGCGGAAGCTGCTGGAGGCGAAGAGTAACGAAACGAAGCCGGATGCGGTGGTGGCGAAGGACGGTACCGGACAGTACACGACGATTGCGGAGGCGCTGAAGTTGGTGAAGAGGAAGAGCGAGAAGAGATTCGTGGTTTACGTGAAGGAAGGGCGTTACGAGGAGAACATCGATTTGGATAAGCATACGTGGAATGTGATGATCTACGGTGACGGAAAGACCAAAACCGTCGTCTACGGTGGGCGGAACTTCATGGACGGCACTCCCACTTTCGAAACTGCCACTTTCGGTAACCCGTTTACATATGTTTTCTCTTTTTATTTGTTTGTTAATAATAGAAAAGAGTGTTAGTACCGATACTTACTGCATTTTTTTTATCAGTTGCGATCTTTTTTGAAATTGGAATTTGTTACATACAAATTGAGTGATTGTTAATAAATGATATTGGTGTTTTTTCAGTAATTTCAAAGCAATTGGATATTTCAATGTGTTTCATGGATTTATTAAAAATTCATATATTTGATTGTACTATAGAAATGTGTCTGTGAAGAGTTTGAGTTTTTAAAACAATTCTTTTAATCTGGGCAACATTGCATAGCAGAAAAAATATATATTGCAATTTTTTTAATTGAAAATTGTAATATTTAATAGTAGTAATGCAATTAATTACATTGAATTTAGTAATTTTATTAAAAAATTATTATATATAATTGGATAAGATCTTATTTAAGAATTTAGTTGGTTTATATACAAATTTAATTATTAATTGAATAGCTCTTGAAAAATGTTTTACCCTGCTTGATAATAGTGGTTGGTTTATTTATAGCATTCAACTTACTTGCTGTATTGTGATAAGAAAAGAACAAGTTTGATGGCATGTGGCATATGCTTTTTGGTGGGAAATAAATGTCATGTATGTCTGGCGAGCCACATGATTTGAATGTCATCATGTGAACTCACAAAATTGCCTACACCCTCTTTCCTTACTATGACCCACCACACACATGCTGTTTTGTTGACAAAGATAATGATTGGAATTTTTTTTCCGCCTGCATTGTGCATGGTCTCCCATGTTCCTTCACATTGGTAATATCCTTAATTTCCATAGATGTAGTCTTGAGACAGTGGACATGGTTTTAGATGCTGACCTGTTTTAATGCTTGAAATTGTGATATAATAGTTCAATAAAAGATCTTCAAAATATTTGAATGCATTGATGCTATGAAATGCAATAACAGGAAGCATGTTATTGTTATGCAGCTGTTAAAGGCAAGGGATTCATTGCCAAAAACATAGGATTTGTGAACACTGCAGGTGCATCTAAGCACCAGGCTGTGGCATTGAGATCTGGCTCAGATCGCTCTGTGTTCTACAGATGCTCATTTGATGGCTTCCAGGATACCCTCTATGCCCATTCAAACCGCCAGTTCTACCGTGAGTGTGACATTACAGGCACCATAGACTTCATATTTGGCAATGCAGCTGTTGTGTTCCAAAGTTGCAAAATAATGCCTAGGCAACCTCTATCAAACCAGTTTAACACCATCACAGCTCAGGGCAAAAAGGACCCCAATCAGAACACTGGAATTATAATCCAGAAATCAACCATCACTCCCTTAGATAAGGACAATCTCACAGCTCCCACATACCTTGGTAGACCATGGAAAGATTACTCCACCACTGTTATCATGCAATCTGATATTGGGTCATTCTTGAAACCATCTGGGTGGATGAGTTGGGTCTCCAATGTGGATCCTGCTAATACCATTTTCTATGCTGAATACCAGAATACTGGGCCTGGAGCTGATGTTTCTCAGAGGGTCAAATGGGCTGGTTATAAGCCCACTCTCACGGACATTGAGGCTGGGAAGTTCACAGTGCAGTCCTTTATCCAAGGGCCTGAGTGGTTGCCAGATACTACTGTGGAATTTGACTCTACCTTGTGATTTTAATATGGGCCAGAGAAAAATATAGCGTCGAGTCATCAACTGCTGATAATATTTTTCTTGTCTTAATCACACCCTTGTAACTTGTATTACACACTACACGCATTTTTTGACCTCTTTTTCAATGGTTTGTAAAATTCTTCTAGTTATTACGGCTTGGAAAATTATTTCAAATGCCAAATTTTTTTAAAAAAATTAGCATATTGACTCCAGGGGAAGCTACTATTTGAATATGCTGTGCAAACAATCTCATGTTCTTTACGCCAAGGCTTTAAATATTTTATTCACCAACTAACAATCTTAAAATGAAAAAAAAATTAACTAGGTTTCAAATCGGTGGTACAAATTAACTAGGTAAGCATTTTAAGTTTGCGTTTGTGTTAAGAAAATAATTTTATGCTTATTTAAAAGGCTTTTTTCGAATTTAAAATTATTCATTCTAATTCAAAGAATATAAAAGAACACAAGAAAACGCCAAACATGGGATTTCTTCTCGTTAATCTTCGGGCGATCCCAGCCTTGATTTCTTGAATCGATTTGATTCGGGGGGTTAGGATTTATTTGGTAATACGAGATGGATATAAATGCATATATAGCTTGTGAAATTAAAATTATTTGATTAGTTAATTATACGACTAATTGATTTAAAAAGATATGTATTATTATATCAATACAATAATAAAATTAGATATATTTTATTTATTTATTTATATAGAAAATTATTATTTTTAATTTTTTAAACATGAAATATTTTAAAATATATTTTTTAAATACATACATACAACTAAGAAAATTTGACTCTTATGATATAAATTTGAGTTATCAATCATCAACATGATATCTCTAATGCTAAGTAAAAAAATTTAAATGAAATTAATGTATAAACATAAGATTTTAAGTGTGTAAAAAGTAGGTTGTCGTTTTTAAAAATAATAAAAAATAAGAATTACAAACTTTTTTTTATATAAATTCTGCTATTCCAAAATTACAAAACCTGATTGTTTCCCATTATATTTTCAATAACATCAGGTCATCGGGGCGTAAGCAATTAGGGGTCGAACCAACCACTCGATGAAATCATCCAAATTTAAATACAAAAGACATTTTGATTTGAGTATTTAGTTTAATTTAATTCTAATGGTAAAAAATACAATATAAACTAGTCATGGTTTCAAAAATTTAAGATCTAGCTCAATGGCTTGTATTTTATTTGATGAATTTTCTCTTCTTTAAATATTGTCACGTCTCTTATTCAATCAACTTTAAGATAAATATTATAATAAGTTTGAATAGATAAAGTAGTCATTTTTCAAATTATTTTTAATAATTTTTATTTTCCAAATATTTTTATATTTTTTTTTATCTTTTTTAAAAGAAAAACAATAGACGCAATCATCCGAACACGGTTTTTGATATATCCATAGTTATTAATTAAAATTTATTAAAAATTATAAAAACTTATACAATTTTTAATAAATTTATAGTTAAAAAAATAAAACCAATGAAAAAAATCATTTTAATATCAAGAAAATGTATTTAGACGTTGTTAACATTCCTCTAATGTGTTTTCAGTTGTCCGAATCTCCTTAAATAACAAAAGAACATACTAACTACTCCTTACTAAGCAGTAGCAATTAGCAAACAAGAAAAAACGTAACAAGTCTACTTACGTCAGATATTAAAACAAAAAACTAACATTTGTTTTTTTATAAGAAATATTAATTATTTTTTTAATTTTAATTAAAAAATAATTTTAAATATATTAATTGTTAAGTTTTAAAAATCATTTGTGAAAAATTTTGCTGTAATCAAAGACTTATTGTTTATATATGTAAATATAAATTTATTTAATATTATTTTTGTTAAGAAAAAGAATTAGATGGACCAACAAATTTAAATATTTTATTAGAATTAAATGTTAAATTTACTTATTTACTCTTTAACAATAAATTTTTTAAAACTATTTAAATAGTGTAATTGTTTTAACCATACATGTTAACAAGTTTAAAATATATTTTATTAAAAATTATTTATTATCTGAAAATCATAAAAATATTAAATGTATACTTTTACAATAATTATAAATATTTAATATAAAGAATTTAATAATTTATGACGTGCTATAAATACACATTAAAAATATTACTATTTTAAGTTAATGGAAGGATATAAAAAATTAATATTTTTGTAAATTTTATATGAATAAATAAACAAAAAAAAAGTTTGTGTCTTAAGAAATATAAAAATATATATAAATAATTAATTTGAAAATAATTTAAATTATATATAGCAATAATATAAAAATTATTTAATTGTGAATTTTATGTTGATAACAAATTATTAATATTTTTTATTAATATATTATGTATTAAAATTAAATTGTTTTTTAAGTTAATAATTATAATTTTTTTATTTCTATACAACGTTTTCAAATAAAGTATAAATTTGCGATTTATAGTTTTTTTTTATTTTATATGAATAAATTAATTAGTTTTCATAAAAAAATTATTATTTACAGCATGTCTCTCCTTAAAAGCTATTATCTCATTATTAGGTTTTGTTATTTTATTATTTATTTATTTTTATCCACCTATACCCTGATTTAATATTTATGTTTGAATTTAATTGATTAATTATCTAATTTTTTACTTATTTTGAACATTAAATAAAAACATTTCCGTCAAAATTTTATCCAATAAAACTATTTTCATTTATGCAAAAAAAAACTTACAAAAAAATAGAGGGAATGGAAAATAAAAGTAAAATTAATAATAAAAAAAAGGTAAGTTGGGGTAATGAGTAAAAACATGGTATAAATATGCATCGATTGGGGAAAAAGAATTTGATAAACATAATACAATGGGCGGGTGTTAGAAAAAGTGGAAAGTTGGCTAAGAACAAGACACATAGGTCGTTGCTTCTTTCTTCTGTGTTTTGTTTCGACTTTGCATCACCCAACATCGCATCTCACACAATCAAATCCCTTCCCTTTATTTATAGCCCCACACACAATGCGGAAATCCGCTGCAGACAGATTCAGCCACGTTTTCATCCGTTCACTTCTTCTTCGCCATCGCCATCACTATCACTATCAGCATCATCGTCATCATCTTCCTCCTTCTATCTCTTCTCTCCCCACATCTCGTTTCTTCTCTTCTACTGCTTCTTCCTCAATGGCTTCCCCCCCCTCTGATTCCCCTTTCCCTGTAACTGTCCAAAACATCAATCCCAAGGTTTGCGTCGCCTTCGATTCTCTTTTCGGTGCTACCCGGATTGTTATTTTTTGTTTTTTTGTCTATGTGCAAGCTAAAGTTGCAAGTTTTGAAGTTTGTGATTTGTTTTTTTATCTGGGTATCTATGATGTCAATGTTCCTGCGTTTCTTCTTTCTTAGTTTGTGTCTTGAAAGTGAATGTGTGGCGTGTTTAGTTGTAGAAGGATCAACTTTTGATTAAATTATCCTGTTTTTGGTTCGGAAGGATTGCTAATTATTATTGTTATTGTTTTTTTATCTGACTCAGGTTTGACTCTTATCTTTTTCTCCGTTGATTTTTGTCCTGTGAGGGGTGATTGATGATGAACTAATAGCTCATTTCTCTGGTTTTATACTTCATTCAGTATTTTGTTTGGTTCTTTTTTTGTGTTCCACCCTGGGATCAGTAAAATCAATTGTAGCGAGAGATAGGAGTTTTGTTAAGATTATGCCTCTGATTGAGGAAAGTTTAACTAATAGTTGGGTGGGTGGTTTAGACAATTGAAGTTATTTTTTCTTATTGACAGAAGTGTTTATTTTATTTATCAAGTATGATTGTAAGTCATAATGTTTTCCCCTCTCCTCTCCTTTTTTTTTTCAGTCAAGTTGGTTACGATGTCAGCAATTTTTACACTTCAATTGCTTATTTGAAACTGTGGTTGTTTGTTGTCTAGGTTCTGAAATGTGAGTATGCAGTTAGAGGAGAGATTGTTACACTTGCCCAGGTACTGTGATACGGCTGTACATTTTACAATCAGGTCAATCATTGAAACAGTATTCTATTATTGGTTCATTGCAAGATACATACATTTTATACCTTGCAGCGACAAAATATCTGTTAAATGACTAATTAACAGTGCGGATTTTATTGGAATTTAGCTTCAAAATGAAGTTATATTTATTGTTTAAAGTTTGACAATTATCACTTCAGAATTTTCTATGGGTAATTATTATAGTACTCTGAGCTTACAATGTCCTAATGCTGCAGAATTTGCAAAAAGATTTACAGGCCAATCCAGGCTCTCATTCATTTGAAGAGGTACTTTTCTTTTCTAGCTTCGTATCTTCTTGGTAGAACTCTTTGGGATTTTGACCCAGGTGCTGTAAAGCTCCTGATAAGTGTGGTGTCTGTGGACAGACCCGCTGTGTGGGGCTATAGTAGACACCCTTACCTTGCACTTGCAATAGTTTGATTCCACGACTCACCTGTGAACTCCCGGTCACATGGTCACAATGTCATACTGCTACATGACATCTCTGTAATCATAAAAAGTTTGTAATTGGAATGGGGAATCTTCCCTGGAGATTTTTGTTTGAAAAACTGACCAATGAAATGAATCAATTCTGTGGGATAGATATTAATCATTTTTGCTTAGGAACTCACTTTCAAGACGACAAGAGATAAATATATGATGCAATTTTCTTTTGTTTGTTTTTATTTTAAAATCTTTTTCCTCCCATGAAAGTTTTGGGGGCTAAAGTCTATCTGTAATTTTTCCTGCCACCTCCAAGGTTGGACACATATTCGCAATTTCACATGTGACATTCTGCACTTCCACTTCATGAAGCTGTTATTCTACTTTTTATTTGTGTTTTTCCCCTCACTCACTTTTCTTTTATCTGAAAATAGATACTTTACTGCAACATTGGAAATCCTCAGTCTCTTGGCCAGTCTCCAATAACTTTTTTCCGAGAGGTTTACTTCTTGTAATTCTCTGCTGTGTATCTCACAAACCTAATACAAATTCAGCAATGCTTATTATGACCATCTCACTCTTTCAGGTTCTTGCATTATGTGATCATCCAGCTATTTTGGACAAAAGTGAAACACAGGGTTTGTTCAGGTACTGGGATTAAAAAAAAAAAGTTGCAGCACCTAGATAACTAATCATAGTGAAACAAAAAACTTTCTTAATGTTTTTATGGACAGAACAAATGTCTTAGATCTGAAATCGTATGCCCACAGTAGCTGGTGTAACTAACTAGTGATGGTCTAGGAACACTATTTTCAATTTGATTGTGATATATAGTTGACTTTCCTCAAAGCCTATGAGTACAGAACTAAGATGAAGATATTAAATGAAAGGATGCAAATTAAATTTAAATTTGTCAATGTTATTTTTAATCCAGTTTTGAAATGCTGTATTCTATCCTGTGGAACAAACTCAAAGTTGCTTTTGTTACTGATGATTTGGTCTAAGTTGCTCTTTGGCATATTGCAGCGCTGATGCAATAGAACGAGCTTGGCAGATTGTGGATCAGATTCCTGGAAGAGCAACTGGTGCCTATAGTCATAGTCAGGTATTGATTGGATTATCAATTTTGGTTTATTTCTTTTGCTATATAGCGGCATGGCCATGAAATATTTCTTATTTCCATGTCAGGGTGTCAAGGGCTTGCGTGATACAATAGCTGCTGGAATTCAAGATCGTGATGGTTTTCCTGCCAATCCTGATGACATTTTCATGACAGATGGTGCAAGCCCAGCAGTATGTTTCTGCTTTGCTTTTTATGTTTTCTATTTGGTTTTAAATGCTGGCAGTGTATTTCATTTAAAATCTAGTATGTTTTAATTTTTAAAGAGTATAATTTCTCTGTTTTCAGGTCCATAACATGATGCAATTACTCATTAGATCAGAAAGTGATGGTATTCTGTGTCCCATCCCTCAGTATCCTCTGTACTCAGCCTCAATTGCCCTCCATGGTGGCTCCCTGGTAATGTTTTCTCATACAATTGCATAAAGCATGATTTAATTTTGCTCACTGTTTAGATGCACTCCATTTTTGATGATTTTGTAGGCTATGTTTGAGAGGAATAATGAAAAATGGTGTATATGTTGATATATTTATGTGCATGATTGGCTAGCAATCACTTGAAACTTTGAATTTGAACTATCTTTTACAATACTTACAATGGTTGGAGTTGGAGTATCAGCTTAACTTTGATATATATATTTTTTCTAAAGGTACCTTATTATCTAGATGAAGCTACTGGTTGGGGGTTGGAAATACCAGAACTAAAGAAGCAATTGGAGGCCGCCAAGTCTAAGGGCATCAATGTTAGGGCTTTAGTTGTTATAAATCCTGGCAATCCAACAGGGCAGGTGAGCTGCAAAGAATTGTGTAACTTTAGAGGATGTTTAGAAGAGCTTATTCACAGTGGGATAAGGCTTCTGTTATTGTTGTTTAGAAGTACATATGTGGAGGTTATTTGAGTTTACAAAAATGACATATGAATTCAATAGGCTCCTTTTATTTTATTTCAACAAGATGCTTGCTTTGGTAAAGCTTATCAAAATAAGTTCTTTTTAGTTTATTTCGGTGAGCTTTATGGTCAAGTTTTTGACATAGGCTCTCATGTGATAAAATTGAATGAACACTTAATTAAGTTGCATCCTTAATGTAGGAGGATGCTTACTGCTTATAATGTGAAGCTTTGTTGATTAAATTTAATAGTGTGGATTTTCTGTCATGCTTCCAGGTTCTTGCTGAGGAAAATCAGCGGGATATAGTAGAATTTTGCAAGCAAGAAGGTCTGGTTCTTTTAGCCGATGAGGTAATTGGATTGTTCTTGAAAATCTTAGATATTCAATTACATTGATTTTAAATGTGTTGATGTTCACAAAACTTAGAAATGACTGCTATTAGATTGGATCTGAACATTTTTTAATGTCAAAAAATATGCCGGAAGCTACTGTTTTGTTTGAAGCTTATTTGTTATAATACTTCTCTGATTCACGGAATTCATTTTGAAGGTATATCAAGAAAATGTTTATGTTCCTGAGAAGAAATTTCACTCTTTCAAGAAGGTATCTCGGTCCATGGGATATGGTGACAAAGATATCACCTTAGTATCTTTTCAGTCAGTCTCCAAAGGTAAGTTGGTACAACAATTAATTTATTATAGAAGTGTGCATAGACATTTATTGTAAGAGTTGATCCGTACTGATGGAAGATACCTTTCTCATTATCCTAAGGCTATCATGGCGAGTGTGGGAAACGAGGAGGTTACATGGAGGTGACTGGGTTTTCTCCAGAAGTGAGGGAACAAATATATAAAGTGGCATCTGTGAACCTTTGTTCTAATATCTCTGGTCAAATTCTTGCAAGCTTGGTCATGAGTCCACCTAAGGTTAACCCTTTGGGATATAATTCTTTAGTTTGTGTAGTTAAATGAACATCGAACATAATTCTGACCATGATAAGATTGGTACGAAATATTGAACATAATTATTTTTATTTGATGGATGTCAACAGGTTGGAGACGAGTCCTATGAGTCATTCATGGCTGAGAAGGGGAATATTTTGGCGTCCCTTGCTAGACGTGCAAAGGTTAGTAACATATGAAATAATTTGAGACAGTAAACACAACCAAGAGTGGTTTAAAAATGTTTCATAATATTTTAGAACATTTCTGAGGTACTCTTCCTTGTCCTCAAAGAAAGTTTGAATTGGATTAGCTTCATTTGATGGTGTACTTTTTTTGGGGGCTCCATAAACTTTTCTAAGGTTCATTTTAGAAGGGACTCTCCTACACTATGAACTAATCACAGCTACTCAAATTTACAAATTCTGCTACCCCTTTCCACCACAACTAAAACCCTTTACCAACTTTTTGCTTACTTTCTTTTGCTCTTTATTCTCAACAGACACTGGAAGATGCTTTCAACAATTTAGAGGGTGTAACATGCAACAAAGCTGAAGGAGCAATGTATCTGTTCCCCCGAATTTGCCTGCCCGAAAAAGCTATCCAAGCTGCAGGGGCTGCAAATACAGCACCTGATGCCTTCTATTGTAAACGCTTGCTTAATGCCACAGGAGTTGTTGTTGTTCCTGGTTCTGGTTTTGGACAGGTTAGTTTATATACTGATCTTATTGTAACCACCTTTCTCTTAATTTAACATGACAAAAATTTATTGGTCTTGTTAACCAATATTCTTGAGGAATAAAAAAGTAAAGGGTTGTTCTTGAAAATTACATTAGACATGTGTTAGAAATCACGGTAGGACATGTTAGCATTTACCTAAATTTATGCAGTGATTGATTGATCAACAAAATTGATGATTGATTCCAATTAAGTTGCATTTTCCATCCTTTTTTTTTATTGATTAACTGATTTTATTGTTAAATTGTTGTGTCTTGGAAGGTTCCTGGAACATGGCATTTTAGGTGCACCATTTTGCCTCCAGAAGAGAAGATACCAGCCATTGTCACCCGCTTGACAGAGTTCCATAAAAAATTCATGGATGAGTTCCGTGACTGAGTCCTAGTTCAATTTTGTTTCCTTCAATTTGGGGGTATCCAATAGATATTTAACATTGATGGATTTTGTGCTTAGAGAAAATAGTCCCTTTATTGTTTACTCGATGAATAAATTTGTTGTAAGTTATAGTTGCATTTTGAATGTGCAAGATGCAAAGGATATTTCTTTTTAATTCAATAAAAAATACTTTTCAAACCTAATAATTCCCATTGCCAATTTATTAGCAACATACTTTTTTCAATAGACTTGAGTTATTTAGTTGGATTTACATGAATTTATTAGAAAAATGTGTTATCACTGTTTGTTAACTTCGACCTTCAAAATAATTTTAGAAATTTAAAAATGATAAAATTTTATTAAAACGTATTTATTATATTGAAAATAAATAATATAATAAATACTTATATGCTTCAGCTGATCATATATTGAAATTACGATTGGTGTTAATAGTAATGTTAGCATAATCCTCTTCGTGTTATCAGGCTACAGTTGAGAATTACTTTAAAATCTTCTATAATATTTTCTTTATAATCCTATTAATTATCAAAAAGTTTTCCAAAAAATATTGCATTTATTTTTTGATTAACATTTCCTTCATAAAATATTAGAGTAATTGATTTACTTATAGTAAAATCTCACAGGGCCAGTGAAAAAGCCATTGGATTGCTGACTTCTAGGCTTCATTTGGTATTATGTAAGACAAAAAAAAGTGATACAAGAAAAAGGCAAATGAAAGAAGGAAGAGTATGCCAAAAAAGAAGAAAGATAGAAAGTAAAAGTTCTCTCAACAATGGAATTGTATGAGAACGAATGAAATACATTACAAGTAACCATATATGATATGATGTACCTCACAAAATTACTTCTCTTCCATCCACGAGTTGTTCTTATATAAATTGGGTAACTTAAATACCAAACCATTTAACTTATGAGCCTAAACAAAAGAACCATTTAACAACCTTAATCGAAGTTGACGTAATTACGTTATTTTCTGACCAAAAAACAGAGTAAACTAAAGGGTTGGAATATGTGACCCCATGTCGCATTATTGACACAAGATATAGTTTACTACACGCATCTCTGTTTGGCAGAGGCAGGGAATCGCTGTGTTGGGTTTACACAATCTTGTGGTTGAGAAATCTATAAAGCATGATACCCTTTATTGTTTACTACCCAATTTTGTGTTTTTCGAGTTCCCAGTCCAAACACAAAACGACACAAGCATCGGAACAAGCGCAAAACACAACAAAAACCATGTCACTTTCCCCGTGTAATTTTCAGGTTTCAGCAGTATTCTGCACTTCCATGAGTTCTGGTAAAAATGAGTTAAGGTATTACAACTTCAAGTTTCTTTTGTCAAAATAAAATGTTTAACATTAATTAATTTATTTAAATAAGTTAAATTTAAAGTTTGAGCATGATTTGGTTTATAATTTGAAAATTTGTAGTTCACTCGTTGACTTGTTTATGATTTTTTTTATTTAGTATTTAATGAATTTTTTTTATGTTAAAAAGTAAAGTAAAATTATAATAAAATTAATTTCATTTATATGAAAATGGCTTAACATTAAAGATAAAAACTTTATTTCGAAAATAGTATTTTAAAAAACTATGATTTTTGTTTAAAATATAACTCAAATTAAAATTAGATAAATAATAAAAAATAATAACAATAAAAAATTTATAAATCTCAAATAAATATAATAAATAAAATTATAATGATCAAAGTATGCATGTATATGCAAACTACTTATAAATTATTAACAAATTTAAATATGACTCATTTAAATAATCAAGCTTAACTTTAAGCTTATACTTATTCATTTAAAAGTAAACAAATTTAGCTGAAGATTTAATAAGCTAAACTCAATAATTTAATAGCTTAACTCATTTGCATCTCTTCTTAGCTTTGTACAAGTGACACTAAAAATTTGTTGCTTATAAGAATTGTGAAAATGTTTTATTTTTAAAAAATATTAAAATGGGAAATTATGTCACAAAGTTATTATTTGGGGGATGAAAATATGCAAGGCAAGTTTTAAGTGATCATTGTAGCTCTATTATATATTTAAGTAAATGCTAATGGACATTTTTTGGAATTAGTTAATAGTTCAAAAATAAAAATAAGAAAATAAAATATAAAGCATTTTAAACCTTTGATATACTAATTTTTTTATTCTTAATTCCTTAACAAGTCTCTTTATGCATTCCTAACCACACCCTATATTTAATGTCTAATGATGATTGTTACTTGTTATGGCAAGGGAAACAACCGCATGAACTGGGCCTCGAAAATTGAGTGTTATGTTTATGGATCATCTTTTGAGCTTGTTCAGTGGCCTTGTGGATTTGGTCCAAATGTTGTTGTCTTGCTGTTGCTCTCCAATCCTCAGCTTTCCTGTGAACTATTGACATCCTCTTCATCAACTTCTCTTCCAGGTTTGATCTCATCTTTTGTATTTTCACCTAAGCAATATTTTCACTACCATAAACTTAGTTTCCATGATATGATTATGAAATTTCAATGTGTAATCTATCTAGGGCTCGTTTGGTAAAACTTATTTAACTTTTAGCATTTATTTCACTAATAAGATATGACAAGTCTATTTTATAAACTTATTTTATCATATTCTCTGATATGAATTTTTTCCTACAAAAGGGTCTAAGTTAAGAACAATCAAAATAAGATAACACGATGCATCTACTTTGCTGCATTAATTATAAATTAAAATAAAAGCCTATCGTACAATGTTCTTATCTGATCTTTATATTCAGCTATTTCTCATGGTATCTTACCAAGTGAGCTAACGTATTTATGTTTTCTCTGCTTTTGTAAACTTAGAAACAATTTAAAACAGAATTTTTTAATGTATGTCCATAAGTATACAATAAAAGATTAAATTCTAGCAGTTTTAATAAAAAAATTATTATATATAAATTTTTTGTTGTATCGGTAGACATACATTAAATTAAAATAATGGTACAGAAGTTGAAAAAGACAATATGCCTGTCGGAATTTGTTATTATTATGGTTTGGATAGAGTAGTAGATTGATTTCCTATCCACAATCAAACTATGAAAAAAAAGTGATACTCAAACCAAAGAATAATAATAATAATAGTAAAGGAAAAAGAATAACATTAACATTATCATTATTCACAAACATTTTTCACATTCTCACATAATATGTCAACATTCTGAGCTAAATAGCTTAACGTATTATTCAGAACGAGAATCGTTATAATCATTAACTAGTATATTTTATTTAAAATTACATTAAAAATAATATAAATAATGTATTAATATATATATTAAAAAAAGTTGCTTTAAATTTTTTAGCTTATGATTTTAATATATTGTTTAATATTTCTTAAAATTTAATATTCAAGTTGACTCGACTACAAGTTTCTCACGAATTTCTAAATGAAAAACGTTCACACCACACATGTTCTCCCTAATAATTTAACATAATATTCTCCTATGACCATTATTACTTGTGGGTTTAAACCTTTTTCTTGTGAAAGAGTGAAACATGAAGATAGAGATGTATTTGATTGAGACGAGGAGCATGGACTGGTCAAGAAAATGACTAGTATTATAATAGTGGAATCAATGGGTTAGGGGTGGCTCGAGAAAATAGGGCAACAACATGCCCGGCAAGGCATTCAATTGTAGTCAAAAGTTCATAGCAGAAGCTAATGTATAAAAGTGGTATACATTGTCAACATAGTCTTACAAATTAGTCTTGGGTTTCGATATTGTTCAGTATAGCATGTGCATTTCACAGCAATCTACCCTTACAAACTGTTCAAATTGCTTGCAACAGAGTAAGGTTTCAGTCATCATAACTTGTACATACAAATTATTATATTTCAAATTTCAATGCTAACAGCAAGTAGTCTACTACCTAATTCCAAATACCAACAAAATGGAAATTAATTTTTTTTTAAGCATATTGCAGCCCTATATTAGAGGATAACTTGTACAAAAACTTAAGAGAATGGTTATGGGTTAAGCTACGATTAGCTAGCTGGTCAACTACTACTTGTTTGAATAGTTTAAAGTCAAATAAAATTAATTTTAACAATATTGTTTTTAAGCTGTTAAATATAATTAACATTATATTTTCATACTAAAAAGTGTATTTTTTTTGAGAAACTTTATAATTAGTTAAGTTCAAAGTATTATGTATTACAAGAGAAATGTAGAAATGTTAATAACAGAGTTTTTTATTTATTCTTTTTAATACATTCTTAATTATTAATACATTTTTAATTGTTAACTAAAATGTTGTAAAAATCATAAAACTCCCCAGTTTCATTTCTATTCTTCCTAATATTTTTAAATTTTTAATATATTTTAATTAATGAATAAGTGTATTAAAAAGTATATCAGTAGGACTCCTACCGTGTCAAACCAAGCATAACTCACTAGAAAAAGGATTTGGAATGAAATACCTCAAGCTTTCTTGACCGGGCTTCTGCTTTAGCACTCTGGAGGTTTACCCAAGCTTGGATTTTTGCTTCTTCTCTTTGATACCTGCAACACCTCAAATCATTGTTCAGTTCTAGGCTTCTAGCCATACACATATCATATCAAATGAGAGTGTGTATTTTATTTTTAAGTGTTTATTATTACTTCTATTTAAATAATTTTTGTTTAAAATATTTTTTATAATTATATTAATAGTACATAAATTTTTAAAAAAAGAAGTGAAAAATGACCATAAATAACTAGAATATGCTGAAACTTTAAGGTTTAGTTACCTAAGACAACACTTGGTCTTCTCCTCTTCTTCCCATGTAGCAGCAATGCAGTCTGAATCAGCTTTCTGGCTTGCATTATGCCTCAAACTTTTTGATATTTCCTTCTCTTCCTCTTCACTCGAGCTCCAATTTGAAGTGACTAAATCATACTGTGATCCTAGTTGAAGCTTAGAAAAATGGCACTCCTCAAGCTGAATAACATCGAGACTGCAAGCAGTGCTGTTGGTGTTGTTAGCCAAAGCCAATGGTCCTGACCTACTTGCAGGAGTGTTATGACGTGCAGGTGATGAACTCTTAAATGGGGTGTGGCATCTTGAAGTTGTGGAACTTCCCATTGGAGTCATCTCTGTCCCAACATCTCTGTGTTCAACAACTTCTGTGCAAGCATCTTGCATTGCTTCCCCACCTTGGTTTCTAAACAAGAACCCTTCTTTAGCTGGTTCTGAATATCTCAAATTTGGCAAAATAGGCTCTATGCTGTCTGTGAACTTATCTGCATTGCAATTCACTATATGTCAACAAATTGTTAAATTGTTATGAGAGTAAAATTGTGAACTGTTTATATTATTCATTTTCTAATAGGATAAGCAATTTAGGTTCTCTTCCCATTTTTTATGTATGATATCAGCTTATGTTATAAGTTGCAACAGTATCAACACAAGTTACGCAGCGTTCAACAGCTTAGAATACAAGGAAACAGTAACCTATGAAAATTTTGAATCTTCATTCTTCAACCTATAAAGTCCATGAAAGTTAGGAAAAAGTTTGGAATATAATAATAAAGACAAAAGGGAAAAGACACAAGATGATATTGATAACGATTACTAAAAGGGTAGATTGGAAAGTAAATATAAATAAATAAATAAAGAAGCCAAGGGAAACACCAAACAAGGGTAAAGGTCAATTTTTGAAGTTAAGATTGTGAACCCACCTTTTAGTACAATGTCTGTGATCCCATTGAAAGCGCTGAATGTGTTATGGTGGTGGTCCAAAGATGAAGACCACTGAAAGTTTTGGACAGCTTTGGACACCCTTTCTTCTGTGACCCTTGATTTCTCCGAGAAATCCTCAATTTGTCGCTTAAGGTTATCACATTGTTGTTTGTTTGTGATGTTTGAGGCTTTCAAAGTGTTGTTATGAGCTGGTGAGTCATTGCATGAACTGTTCATGAGCCATTTCTCTGCATCATCCCATTTGGAAGGGAAACTCTTTCTTGGAAGGTTTCTTCCAACACCAGAAGAACTAAAGCTAAAAACGGGTCTACCAGGTGTTGAAGGAGCCTCTAATCTCCTCTGTTGTGAAACAGACTGTTCTCTGTTTTCAGCATTACCATTTGACATTGGAAATGACTTCACAAACTCAGAAGTCTCTTTTAAATTTAACTTGCAAAGTGGGTCAGGGAATGCATCTACAAAAGGGTTGTCTTTGCTTTTCCCATACAAGCTCATGTTGCTCTCAGTGAGTGATTCCTGAATCACAAAAAAGGAAGAAGAAAAATGAGTGAGAAATGAAAACAGAACCACAAGAATTTAAGCTTAAAGACATTAATTAAATGTAGGATCTTTACCCCATGTGGTACCAATGTAGATGGAGCTTGGAAGAATTTGTGGCCAGGGAGGTCCATGGCAGTGGTTTTGAGATTATTGGGGTCACTGATGAGAGAGAAATGGAGTTTCTCTGGCAAAGACTGGTTATAGTGGTTCGGTTCTTTGCATTGGTTTCATATGAAGCTGAATATTGTGGGTCAAGAGAAAGTGACCGTGGAGGCAGAGGAACAGAATACTGAACTAGGAAAAAGCATGTAGACTTTGGTTGGAACCACACCAGACTCTAAAGTTAAGTACATCACTGAAATGATTCACATGTCTTCATGCCACAGTGTGTCACAGCTCACAAACTTTTCTTAATATATTTCATTAATTTAAAGTTAGAAAGAACTAATTTAGGGTGTATGTATAAATTAGTTTAAATTATATTAACATTTTTGTCGAAATATTTGTTATTGAAAATTATAAAATTAATTTATAATTTTTGAAAAAATGAAAGGGGACAAAAGAGTGCATCATAAAAAAGAAGAGGAAGTTTTGAGACTTGACAAACATACATGACCATGAAAAAAGTAAAAGAGAAATGATAAATTATAAAATCTTTAGTTTCTTAATTTGTTCTCATTTTTTAAGGAGAGAACTATTTTATTTAATATTTTTATTGAGTATGATGAGAGTGTTTAGAAAAATATAATATCCTCCTGCTTTGTTGTTAGTTTACTATGAGTAGTAGTTATTTTATTTTATGAAGGTAAGAATCTCGACTTTATTAGTGTAGGTGTTCATTGTGATTTTGGATTCCAGCTTTGTAGGTTAATACCTAGTACCTAGCACTATCAGTCTAGGGAAACTCTGTCTGTCTCATTGCCTAGCTAGCATGCCATATGATTATGTGTTTTCACTTCTAGTGTTATAGCTTCTTTAGGGTATACAAGACCATCGCCTTTGTTTAATATAGAAGGTGAAGTGATTAACTTGCATTTAAACTATCAACTAGCAGATATTATTGAATATGATTATTTTCATATTTGACATAAAATGTTATTTAGTTTATATATATAAGTAAGGTCTTGAATCTTATATATACAAAAAAGATTATGCTGGAAAAATTGACCTTAACATGCAGATGTAGTATATTTTCAACTAAAATAAGATTAACACTCGTGAAAAGGTATTTGTGATTTTATAAAAAAAGTTATTTGGCTCACATTTTGATCTTATGAACAAGGTGCAAAATTTACTAAGAAGCAAAGAAGAGATGTCTCTGTAATGCTGCTGCCAAATCAAACCAGTCTACTTTAAACTTGATTTAAACCATCCTTTTTAGGATTTATATTCTCTGGCGTTGTGGTGAATTTATCGAGTTTAGACAAATTTGAGCTATTAATTTCAAATTTAATAGACAATTCTTTTTATGTGTGTAAAAGTTTATTTTTTTATTGTCTATTAATGATAAAATTTTCTCTAGTAAATTTAAATTTAAAAGTTCAAATTCACTCAAAATGATTAACTTTTTTCACCATAAAGTTTTAAGGAATCCATATCCTCCTTTCTAAAATAGTATTTGATTCCTCCTCCCACAGTTATACAATCAGGTTGCCTAGGAATAGAATTTACTTTTCCAGCCATCATCAGGGTTCAGTTTGAACAAAGACTGTTTCTTTGATTATCAATAAATATATGAAAGTTAAATTATACCTAGGCAAAAATGTAAACATACCCTTTAACTTTGCATGATTTAAAAAATGTATTTATGTAAGTTTTACAAACGTAAATAGCCATATGTACAATTTACTTTAATGGCACATATCATGGATGTTATGGAAATATCAATCTGCTATAGAACACATACTCTTAAGGTTATTTGGCTAATGTTAATGGTTTTGGATTGAACGCCATTTACCTCTTGCCTTGTTGGGAGAGATATGGAGAAGACAGAACCCCAATTGAATTTAAAGAAGAGTTATAAATTGTAAACAGAACCTGAGACTCTGAAAAGTCACTGAGGCCAGCCTGAGACGTGCCAGAATTTTTTCCACAGTTGGGTAGCCATAAAAAACGGATTAAGAAATCCCTCCTATGGATAGCAAAAAAATTCAACACACCATGTTAAGAGGACTGAATATTGTCACTGTTATATTTCTTATTTAAAATTTTCATTTAGTTAATAAAAATTTACAAAAATTATTTAAAGAAAAGTAAGAATAATTATTTTGAAGTCAAAATAGACTCACCCATGTCAAAAGAAGTTTCATTTGCATACTTGTATAAATTTACACTCATGTATTCCTTATATATTTCTGTGCAAATTATTACTTGTACGTTTAATTTAACGTTATGTTTATTTTAACGTTATTAGGTATAATCTATGTATTAAATTCACATTTGACCATAAAATTTCATACAAACTTGTGATTTGCATATTACAGCATTCAGTTGATGTATGCCCACTACACATTTAGTGCAGTTCTAAATACCCAATTATTCACATTCTAACTTTTTTAAAAGGTCTAAATTCTACAATACCTAAATTATTTATCTATTTGCACTTAACCACAATGCTCCAAACTCCAGTTGTTCATCAATCAGCATTTGCATTCCATCTTCTTCAAATTCAATGGCTTTCTCTTTCTCCGATTTCTCCTTCTCTGTAACATCCACAACATCAATTCTAAGGTTTGTCCTTTCTTTTCTTTGCTGTCTTACCAGGTTTTTTTATTTTTGTCTATTGGAAACTTGGAATTATCTCACTTTTTTTTTTACTGTTGGTTATGCTGTCACCAATTTATATTCTTAGTATCTTCTAGAGTTGAGCTTTTTTGGCCACTAGTTCTTGATGTGACCTTGTTTAGGATTAGTTCTTTATTTTACACTTAGATACAATGATTGTTGAGTCAAACTAAATAGTTTAGTTGCATGCATTGGCTATTAGCATCACCGTTCCAACTTACCCAAGACTTGCTTCTAGCTGGGCATGTTGATGCTTAGGTGTGTGTTTAGATTTAAGTTTTGTAATACTTCAACATTATTAGTTCTAATTTTTATGTAAATTTATGTTTATAAATTTTTTAATGTGGTTTCTAATATTGTTAAGTGCTTCTTTAACTTTGAAAAATATATTTCTTCTCTGAGTAATTATTTTCCATTCTAACATTCTCTAATCATAAGACGGTTTATAATCGGGAATGGTAATCTTCCTTGGGGATTTGTTTGAAAAGCTGACCAATAAAGTAGTTCTGTGAAGAATCTAGTTTTTTAACATTTTGGTTAATAAGATGTACTTTTTCTTTCTCTGTTTTTTTAAATACTTTTTCCCCAAATGTTTAGTGGGGTAAAAGTCTCTCACGTCCAAGTTTGCACGTATACATGCATACTCATCTAACAGAGTGCACTTTTACTTCATGAAGCTGTTTTCTACCTTTCTTGGTTTCTCACTTCTCTTTTATCTGGAAATCCTCAATCTTTTCATGCCCAGCAGCAGATAACTTTTATCCTAGAGTTTTGTTTCTTGTGGTAAATGCACTAACCTTGATACCAATTAATAACGCTTTTGGATTGTACTTGCATTTAAATGTTTATATATTCACACTTATTTTATGTTTGTTAGTTGTAATTTTTATCTTATAGTCATAATTCTAAGTCTTCTAAACACACATTAAATAATGCTTATGATAAAACACTTGTCTAAATGGAACGAATATTATTAAAAAAACTTGAATAATTTATAGCACTTGAGCATTATTTGCATTGTGAAATTAAAATGTATATTTGACTTTTCCCAAATCCTATGGTCACAGTCTCATAGAATTAAGAGGAAAGTATTTAAATGACAGGGTGCAAATTTAGTTTAATTTAAAGTAGTCAATAAGTGCAAGTTTTGTAAAAGTTATTTTATTGCTGCATCTATCATGTGAAGCAAAAACAGCAAAAGTTGCTTTCATTGCTGATGATATCACTTCAGACTCTCCATGTTCTGAATTTTAATATTCTCCTTCTCCACTTTGTAATTACATTTTTCCTCTATCACTCTATAGTTCTTATTTTTAATATATTACTTAGCTGACGCAATAGAGAGAATTAGGAATATATTAGATTCAGTACTAATAACACATTCTTTAATTCAAATTCTATTATTGATTAAAATTTATTAAAATTTACAAAAATTATGTGTATCTTACTTTTATTTTCTTCTAATTTAATATTTTTCTTTTATACTTTTTTAGTTTTTAATAAATTTTAATCAATATTAAAAAATATATTAGAGCATGTTCCCGATGATATGCAGTGTGTAACTGTGTATACATGGTCACGGTCATAGGCATAGGCTCATAGGTAGGAATTAATTTCCTTAATCTATTTTAGTAACATACATAGGTTGGGCCATGGCAGTGTTCATATGGTCATGTTAGGGTCTATGAAAAACCATAGCTGATGGAATTCAAGGCCGTGACATTTTCCTTAACAAATGGTACAGCTCAGTGATGGCTTTGACTTTGAGCTTTAATTTTTCATTTGATTTTTAAAATACTGAAGTGTAAGTTTCATTTTTTATTTAAAATCTGGAAATGCTGTTTGTGGACGTTTACAAGGCATAACATTATCACTGATGCATGAAATTTGGGAAACAGAAAGAACAAATACATGAGTGGCAACATAATGAACCTACAAAAAACATCACAGGAATAGAGAACATCCTTAAAAGTTTGTGGGGTAAATTTAAAGTATTATTCATCTTCTTAGTCTAAACTTTGGTAGAATTGATTATAAAATAATTTATACGAAAGAATTAATATTAAAAAAACCATTATATTTAAGAATAATATTTTTAAAGTGGGTTATACGAAAAACTGCACTTTTATGTCTATATCACTTTCTCAAGAATGTTTGAAGATTTCTTGTATCTAACACTACCTAAAATTAATTCTATTCATCCAATGGGTAAAAAAATTATCAAACAAATGTCTACAGTGCGCAGACCACAAAATCTAGCCGCAAATAGATAATTTGGATGGAAAACAAACAAACACCTAAACATTGTCATTTGAAAACTCTGGAAAAGCCCATTTCCAAAAAATAAGGAAAATATACTTGTCACTTGTAGGAAGCAACACCAAGGTTAAATGTTTCACATTCAATGAAAGGTGAAGAAAGAAAAATTGCATTCAACTCATGGAGGGAATCTTTTCTATTTCCTTTTCTAAGAATAGAGAATCTGAATTTCTCACAAACTTGATTCCTTATTTCTTGAACGTAAAATATGCAATCACTATCTCACACATCACTAACAACTCTAATATTTTTAAGTGCCTTGTTTTCTTCCATTCTTCCAATGCTTTATTAGTGGACAATAGAGGCCCAATCATATATCCTTTGGTACTGTATTTGATTACAAAATTTGGTTTCCTTTCGTGTCCGAGACACTCAATAAAGACATAAAAGTATAAAAATATAAAGTCACACTAATTTCAATAAAACAATTGGTTTGCTTTACATGTTGATTATTTCTTGATAAATGATTACTTAACAAGCATAAATATAAAAATGAATAATGGACACAACATGATTGATACTGATACTTACAAAAATTCCAAAAATATAAAATAGAATCACTAAAAAGATGCCATACACTAGCAGTTTTATGTTATATTAGCCTCTATTAATATAGACAATAATATTGACGATTATTAATAAATGATTTTCTCAATACAAAAAATTATATATTATCAATGCGTACATTAAATGTTAATATACTATATCAATGTCAGTTGGTGACTATATATATCCATCCCTGTGCCACTGCACTTTAAGTATCTATATTTAATTTATGTATGATTTTAGTTGTTTAAATTTCGTTCAGTAGTTATTAAATGAATTTTTAAAATACTTTGAATAATTAAAAGTTATAAAGATTGAACATAAATAATGAAATTATATTAACCAGAATCATATCCAGAAACTACAGAATAAAGGCAAAAATTACAAATAAGAACTAAAAAACGTCCTTACAAGATCATACAAATTTTTTTCCAATGAAGGCTAACCAATCCCATGATTTCAAGTTAACCGGCAAAAGAAGGCAAGGCCAAAAAGCAAGTTTGGGCAGACACGACTCTCTACTGATATATTAATTAATGCATCGTGACAAGACATAAATTATCAATAATTGAAATTATTACGTGACCAAAGCATACCAAACCTATGCTTACTTTTAATAACTAATCTTCTGATGTGATCATTATATGATTACTATATATTAATAAACCCACCCATCAACACAGTTACATTCTTTTTCTTCTTCTTATCATCTTCCTTCTACATGTTCTTGAAGAATTAAAAATTGATGGCTGTTAACTGTAATTCTTCAGCTCAAATCTCAATTCAGAAATATGGTTCATTTCTGAAATATACAAACAAAAAGTTTATGTCCAAACGCAGCTCTGTCCCACAGAAAAGGGTACCAGTTGGTCCACTAGCACTGAGGATCACAGCATCCATCAAGAACATTAAGGTCAATATCTTATGATCTGCTTTCTTTGATATGCTTAACTGATAAACAGAAATTAGACCATGATGAGTTTATGCCTGAAGAAACTTTTTGCTAATTGATGTGTATTTTGCTTCTAAACAGAATTATGAAGACGAATCTCAGGGCATAGTTTGCTATCAAGATGAGAGTGGAGAACTAATTTGTGAAGGGTATGATGAAGGGCCTCGTTATCAAAGAATTTCAAGACCAACCCATCATCCAAGGTAGAGAACCTTACCCAACCTTGTACTTAACTCTCTCACCCATTAAAAGGAAAAAAAAAAGGATATTTAACTACAAATTTGTACTTTTATACTTATATGACTAAGGGTAATTTGTTGGGTTCAGGGATGTTGAGATCATGAATCTTCTACAACAACAAAGTTGGCTTCAGATTGTTAAAGGGGAAGAAATCAATCATGTAGGTGACGTTGAAGGTGTTCAGCCACAAGAGGATTTAAATTGCAACAAATGGCTTTAACTCATTCCAAACAAGTCTTGCCTTCATCACTATCAAAGGTCGTGCTCTTAACAGTTACATGCAGTGCTAGTATGTATCATAAAAGAATAATAGCACAAAAACAAGGCGTAAGTGGTGAATCAAATATGCCATGTGCAGTGACTTCGTTTCTTGCAAAACATTATTTTTCATGCAACTTGTACACATTAATAGTGATTATGCTTTACTTAACTGCTTTTCCTTTTTCATCTATTTATACAGTTGCACATCGGAATTTTATATAATCTAACAGAGGAAAGGGAATTAATTTTGATTCACAAAGCAAAAGAATCGCCTGTGGTCTGAATAAAACATTATGGTACTAAATTACTTATAATTAGAAGAGGTTGTGAGGACTCAACAGTGATTAGTCAAGATGTAATGAACTGTGACACAAACATTAAACTTTACACATATGATGTTAGACTTAGGAGTTCGAATCTTAGACTAAGGCTTTATGCAACCAACATTTTTTATTTGAACTTTAATGTCATACTTTTATTTACGAAGATTTTCCAGTTTTTATAGAGAGGCTATGAAGGCAAATACGTTCAAGAAGAGCCCCTGCTACGAAACAAGGAGCAAAAGTCTATTCTCAAATTTCATCAAGGCCTACTTTTTTTTTTAATACTATTTTTTGTAAGATTTTATTTTATTCTAATCTCTATATTTTTAAAATTCATTATTTCTAATCCATAGTAATTCTTAAATTATAACATGATTAATTACGAAATTGTCACATTTGAAATGACATTTTGCAAGACCATGTCATTAAAAAAAATCAAAAGTAAAAAATTTAAACAAAATAAAATAAAATATTTTTTAATTTAAATTAAAGCGTCACAAAAATATATAAATAAAAATATATTTAAATTTCTGCTGTAGAGATTATTTTGCTTGTGTTTTTACAACACCCAACAAATATAAATAAATAAAAGAAAATGAAAATCAAGAACATAACTCACATTTGTTAAATACATATTTAAAAAATGATATTTTCAAAAACAAGTTTCTTGAAAATTTTATAAAATATGTTTGCCTATTATTTAATTTTTAAATAATATATTAATGATTAATCACTAAAAAATAATAACTATAATCAATTATTGTGAAAAATGTAATTCTTAATTATTTAAAAAATTAATATTTGTAAAAATAATTCTGTCTAAAAAATAATTTTATTTATTTTTGTTAAATATGATATTTTTTGTTTCTTGGTCGACGTGTTCAAGAGGTCTATGATGGAGGGGGAGGGGGGGGGGGATCTGTTTATTTTTTTGTCAACAAATCAATGGGGCCATGAAGTGGGCCGAACTACTTTTTCTGTGACAGCGCTATGGCTCTCTTAAAACCAGTTTCTGACAAAAAAAAATCATATTTTGAATATCCTTTTTTAAGAGTTTTTTAAAAGTGGGCCCAAAAAAAAAGAGATTTTTAAATATCATATTCGACTTACAGTGTATTTTTGGTTCTAATTAAATAATATAACAATTCCTTAAATCTAAGAAAAATGTTATAAGTCTATTTACCGTTTAATTCATGCACTGATGTGAACACATGAACTTTGAGACCTAAACTATGTCATCTTATAAATTTATCAATTCTATTATTTAAATTTTTTAATACTGTATCTACAAATTTTTAAGTTTTAAGCAAAATTATGTGTGAGATATATAATCTAAAACAACTTATCAGTTCTTTTAATCCTTTAACTTTTTGAACCATAAAATTATCAGTCAAAGCTTTACAATCAAATAGTTTTTACATTTTATTCTCAATAAATGATAGTTTATATTTAATTTACTTTGTAAAATAATTAATTTTAAACAAAAATAATAATTAAAATATATTGATCGTGCAAAATAAATATATTGTCATTCAATTATAGATTATCATATCAATAAAAAATTAAATTTTATAATAATTAATTTAAAAGCAATATTTATTATATGTTTTAATTAATTATCAGTATAAAAGTTCTTTTATTAACAATACATTTAATTAAACTCTTAAATAGAGTTTAAGTAAAATTTATTTTTGAAAATTTAAGTTAGTTATAACAATATTACAAGTATTATGAATAATATTTTATAAATAATGCATATCATTGTAAAAATATATAATTTTTTTATATAGTTTACTATTTTTAATTTCTTTCGACACATTTAATTCTAGAATTAAATTTCATCTATGTTAGAATGTTCATCAAAACTTAAACGTCTTTTTTTGAATCACTAAATTTAAATTATTTGTCTATTTTAATTATTACTCTTCAGTAGAGTGATCCAAAGCATATGAAAAATAATTTTCTTTTTCTTTTTTTTTTTTTTAACTTTTTACAAGTAATATGACTTTTTAAATGATCTACTACAATATTTATATGCAATGTTTTAAATTGTATAATTTTTCTAGTAAAATTGATAACAAATCATCTATCATACTACAAAAAAAATAAAATATCACCAAATGATTTGAATTTATGATAGATGATTTTTTAAGAATATAATTTTTAAAATTTTAAGCATTAGGTTACTTACAACCTTAAACAACTGCTTTGAATGATGAGATGATTAATAAACTTACTATACTGGGAAATAATTTTTTCATGACTAGGAAACATGTAATAGTTTTCTTGTAATTACCCGTATGAAGACAATTTATGTGATAACGAGAATGATAGGATTTGAATGATGTTATATTATTTATCTTTATTTTATCAATATCTTATCTCACTTTTTTTTTCTTTCTTGATTGTAAATTAAATTGTATATTTTTATAATCTCTCATTTGAATCATGTACCCCACCTTGGAATATTCCTTTGATCCATTTATGAATCTATCTTATTAGCAAAGTGAACATCTCCTTGAATGCCCCTTTTTTTGGGAATTTCCTAAAAATAGTTTTATCTAATTTTATTCGTCAAGTCTATTTGTATTAGATTTGTTGAAGGCAGAATTAAAAAAAATGATCCGAGATGATTTACTAATGATATAAAAACTGACCATACATGGTGAGGCTCTCTGAAAATTTATAAATTTTTAAATATTTTTTAAAATTTAGTTAATTATTCATTTAATTAAATTTTTTAACTATTTACTTAATTTTTTTTAATAAATCATCAACATTTGATGACTCACTAAATATTTTAATTTTCCTAAAGTATAATAGTCAATTAGCAAGATGTGACTTTAACGTGATGTCACGGGTCGTTGTACTCGTTGTATGCATAGTAGCTTGAATTTGGTACCACATCACTTTCACAATTAACTCCAATGAAAGGATCAGTTTGTGAGGATGTTACTTGACTTGTTCTGCTAATCTGCTTCAGTCTTAATTAGTTCCTTTATCATCAAGCTTTAAATAAGAAATTGACTTATATAATTTTATCAAATTTATGTTTCACTTCCCTTTTTATATTAATCTTTATAATTTCACTTAATTTTTTCAGTAAATTATTAATGAGTTTAATCCCTACAATTTTTATCCACAAAATCATTGATACTTTTTTTATGAAAAATTGTTTTACATAATATTTACTTGTTCAAATATTAGCACTTAACATACCAAAATTTAAATGAGTTAGAGGAACCGATATCCAAAGCTAAAAATCACTTGGTAAAAAATCCAAATGCATAAAAAATTAAACCATAGATAAAACTATTAATTTATACTTAAAATCAATGTTATTCCTCTTGTCACTGCCTCAACAGACTAACAACATAATATGGTAGTTGCAATGAAATTTGAGATATTCAATAACACGTTTAACAAATTTAAGTGATATATATATGTGTATATATATATATATATATAACTTCAAGCTATAAATTGACTATAGGATTTTGTACAAAGATTTCATCCAGAGGCCATCAAATATTTTTACCCCAGACAAACATCCTTGGCTGCTAGCAGCCCCTCTGTTGGTATCTTCTAACAAATAATTGATAATGTCTAGAAGACCAAATTACAAATGAACCAAAAGAATTCCTATACCATTTAAGAGGGAAAAGCAAAAAATAATATAAAATTATGTGGTGGGAGTTAATTCCCCAAATTGCAGTGACCTTTACATAAACACAAAATCAAAGAATCATTCAGCGGGAGTCCTAGGTTGTGTGTTGTCTTCACCTAAATCAGACTGAGAATTACTAGGTTTCATAGATGGAGGAGACCACTGATCTGGAAGCATTAGAAAATAAGTGGTCATTGCTTTTCTGAACCTTTTCTTGTATTGCTTTGGTGATATCACTGTTGGAGATGTGTTTTTTGGTCCTCCAAGGATGCCTGAAGCTTTCACCCATGTTTCAAGATGTTTGTCCCAAGTATATTGCCTCATGAAATCAATGATTCCAATAACTAACTCATGCTTCTCTTCATCCACCCCAACTAGTAAAGAATAGTCCATTACATCAACTGACTGCAGAAGAGGAAAAACACATCCATGTGAGATGAACATAAGATGATATGCAATTTGCAAGCAAGAGACAATAAAAGGAGATTGTTAAAAGAGAAGGAATGTTTTGAGGCTTACTGCCAGAAAACCGGTATCGTTCCACACCGCTCGCTCTAGCAATCTCTTTGCTTTGTTTCCTACAAAAATAGGAGATGTTGGCATTGCTTCAATCAAGTTCTGGTCCAGCAGAACTTTGTTTTTCCCGCTACTGTCTGCATTATACCGAGATCTGGCAGACCCTTTAAGATCGTACAGTCGTGTCACAGTCCTCCGAAACAAAAGATTCTCCATAACCAAAACATCCATCCTTGATTCTTTCCCTCCTTTAAGATGCTTTGATGTAACCTTTCCAATAGAATGCCATCCAAAAATCAAGTGGTTAAGATGAAATGCAATCAAGTGAAGCAAAATACAGATTCATATATAAAAAAGTCCATTAAGAATACACTTAAAAGGCTGATTGGTCCTTCCATCTTATCTTTTAGTTGTCATATATTTAACACGTTAAATATTATCTCAATTTTCAGTAGTCTGTATATAGCACTTCTGTTGGTCCTTCTTTTTTAAATATAGATGTGGCAAATATGTTCACATGAGATGCTTTAACAAAATAAAAATGGTTGTTTTGGTATTGTGTTACCACATAATTGTCAGCAACACTTTCAAAAGATAAATGACCGATTAAACTTCTTTGATAGTTGAATTTGATTCCTAGTAAATTTTTCTCTCAACTAGACTCAGAAGGTCTTTATTTTCACTAATGAAGAATGGTAATTTAGCATATTCAACATTTGAGACTCTTAGAACAAAATTAAAAAGGAAAAAAAAGGTAAGGCTCAAAAGACAAGTACCTGGTATATGCCAAGAATCTTTGCCAGGCATGTTGGACTTCCTGTGCCTATGGATTCAGAAAGGTATTTGAAGTATTCAGAACCAAATTTAAAGAATGATTCAAGCTCTGTTTTGGTAACTTGTTTGATGATAAATCGATCATCCAAGGTTTTTGCAAAGAACACATTACTCTTCCCACCTTGAGCTCCCCATTTCTTACAGCGACTCAGAGACCTTATATAGTCAAGCTCGGAAGGACAACAGACCCTTCTTAAGGCTTCAAAACGCTTGGCATAGTAACAAGTAACTGAATATTTTACTTTGCCAAGAGGACCGTCTTCTCCAAAGGAAACTCTGGCATGCAAAGCCTTTGAATATAACATTGGGTCCAGCATTGATGAGGCACGAGACCCAGACATGGAAAGTATCATTTCCTCTATTGATCCAAAACTTTTCTGAGAATCAAAAGCTGTTTCGTCAACAGATAAGAATGAATGGAAGGTGCCTGAGTCAGAAAAATATGATGAACTCAACTCAATTCCTTCTTTTGGTCTTTCTCCTTCATCAGTCAATTGGAGATGATATTCTGGAGACATTAAGGCATAAGCTATAATACTTGAGGGTTCATCATCATATACTGGAATTACAGTGTCATTGACACCAATTGGCAGAAGTAACCTTGCCTCACCCTGGAGATCCTGGTTCCGGAAGGATGACATATAAACAGGATTGTAGTCAACTAGAGTATCAAGCTTCTGTGTACTAGCAAAAAGATTCTTGTTAAATTGGCGATAGAAGTTTAAGAAGGGCATTCCTAACCAACTTGAAGAGTCTTCCACGTTATCATGACCTTTAGAAGGATAATAGAAACTCTTCGCACCATTTTGATCATCTGCACGATCCCCTTGATAGAATGTTTCTTTATGTACAGTGGTCGTCAAAGCATCTGTCAAAAACATATCAGGATTGACAGAAGCGTTGTCCTTTTGAATTCCAAATCCTGAGTGGTTTTCACCAGTCCATTTAGCATCAAGTGTTTCAGACAAACTAGGTATGATAGGAAATGGTCCATCAGAGAGAGCTCTGCGGACGCCCACTTCAGGCTCTGAAAGGTCAGATGGATCACTAATGCTTTTGGCGTTTGAAAGAATATGATTGTCTTCTTTTTCATGATTTTTACTTTTGGCCATGTCAATTTCTTGATGCAATGCATCCTCTTGGGTAATTTTTGCATCAACTACTCCATCTCCTTCAAGGTTTGGGCTTTCATAAAGCTTTGGATCATCATTAACAGAATTTACACTATTGAATTCTCTCCCTGCCATAGGGACCATGCCCATCTGATTTTCATCGATTGGTTTCTCCAAGTCCTTATCCTCTGAAATTGGACTGCCTAAATCACTTTCATTGTTGGAATTGACTAAGTTAGATACATAAATAAGGCGGTGATCCCACATATATGATTGAAAAAGTAGCTGCCTCCATAATCGATTAATTTCCAAAATGTCAATCCCCGGTTGGCCATTTCTCTTTTCTTGGTTCAAAATTTTTTGAAGAGTTTCCTAAGTAAATAGAAGAGAGAATGATTTAACATTTAAAGCACAAACTTTTCAGGCTATTTATATGATGCTTCAATACCAGATTTATTCAGTAATTAACAAAACATCCAGCCCATTAAGACTACTAATAAAAAAGAAGCCTCCTAAAACAGTAAGTTTTCTAATATTCTAACACATGAATGATTTATATCTCCAACAGTTACTAGAAGCAAAAGTAATCACTAAAACGAGGCCACTACAGGACACAGAACTTGACTGAAAGAAGCTAAAAATTTAGTTATAATTACTGAATACCCCACCTCAAATTCTAGTTTCTCCTTTTGTAACATCCCCTCCAATTCAGCAACTTGGCGTCTTAATTCAGTTGTTTTAAGGCCATTATTGCTTTGGACTGCACTAGATCTATTCTCTCCAATATGGCTAAGACCATTGAGAACCTCAGAGAATAAAAGCTCTGCTCGGTTGACCACCTGTAACAACCAAAAATTAGGTGCACAATAACACAAACAAATTTTAAGATCCAAGGCTGCAAATTTTGAACCTCATCTGATTCTTGTTGTATCCAATCCTGATTCCCATAATCAAAAATCAGTTGGGGTGGGGGAAGGTAGACAGAGTGAACATCAATTGATGCATATCGAAAACAAGCAACCATTCTCCCAAATCTGCAAGAGAAACATACATGAGTACAATGAATTAATGAATCCCACAAAAAAACTGCTAAAGTATATTTGCTTTAAAAACATGTTCTTTTGAACAGCATAATAAGACAAGGAGGTTTATATGGTTTTCATAACAAGACCCCAAACCTATATGTCCTCCAAAAGGAACTTATAAGAATCTTCTCTTACATAATCGGGTTGACTAAAAATAAGAAAAATAATGCTCTTTTTTTCTTAAAATAATTCAATCACTTGTATCATAAATCAAGGAGTTCTTTATAAATAATGAGATCAAGACCACAAACATGACAGTTTTGTTATAAAAGGGAAACATTTATAAAAATTGTAACAGTGCTTGTTTGGTTCAAACACAAAAAATAGGGAAGACTATAACTACCCATAAAAGCGAAGACAATCTCTGTGTAAAGAATGGCCACAGCTTGCCACCCTGCTGGCTGCAGCATGGTTTGAGAAACTGAGCTCCAAAAATTTCCCGAATGATAAACCCCAAGCAGCATCAGACATTACTATTCTCTGTGTAGCAGGAGGAAAGCCATTGATTCTTGGACATCGCAGGCACCTGTGCCACATCCAAATCTTTCCATCCCTTTCACCGGGTAGGATAATTTCTGGTAGCTTCTTGACAGATATGGTGAGTGTTCCCTGTCGATGTGTATAGCAATGCACATGTGCTTCCGAGGGCATATCACAAGAATCACATCGATAACTCTGAAAAGTAACGACATTTATTTTTTGTTAAAACTACAGCCACAGTTCCAATAATCAAGAAATATTTATTACCAGAACAGACAATTACCTGGTCAAATAAATGGTCCCGCAGAAACCGCCCCAATGGTTTATCAAAGCTTCCATAGTATTTAATTCGAAAAAGATGGGACCTCTCACACACAGTTCCCTTCCATACGCATCGGGAGGACAAAGACACCAATATGCTTTGATGGTCAGAGGGTGATGGAGGAAATTCCTCTTTCATGGGAATTTGCTCTTCAATTGTGATTCCAAGCATCTCAGGTTGGTTTTGACCATCTTTTGGGGAGAAAGATTCTGACCCATGTAACTGGTTTGTAGGGACTTCACTGTGACCGTTTTGAGGAGTGTCAGCTGAAATGCATTGATATAATTTCTCCAAAGTTCCAGGGTCATTTACTGTAGGATCATCCCCGACACCCAGTGTGTTGTCCACTACAGAAGTTTCTTCTGCTAGAGGGTCTTTGGACTCCATTTCATTTCTGTCTCTACTAGTGCACGAAATAAGCTTATCATGGTGTGATTCTGGAATTGAATTTCCTGATGCAACAATGGAGGAGAGAAAGGCAGTTGAAAGATTGAGACTTGATTCAAATGGCATAGATTGAGAAGCACCATTAGACACATCAGGTTCTGTACTGAAGGCTGACGAGGCTAGATCAGAAATCATGACACTTTTGGTTCTCTGTACTTCGGTGTCAAGTTCATGCCCTTGAGGCTTTTCGTTGTCAGAAACACCGAAACCAGGAACTGTTGAAATGGACCTTTGAATGGATGATGGGTTATCTGGAAGGGCCAGACTGTTTAATGGAAGTTCTGGCAGGGAGACTCCTTCATCAGCAAGAAAAGATGTCTCCAGAGCCAAATGGTAAGCTGCAAAAACTCCATACTGAACCACATGCTTTACCTTCTTCAGTTCATCCTTGTCAGCACCTCTAAGTAAAATCTGTTGAATTAGAAAAACCAGATAAATGAACTCTTCATATAGTCTCCAAATAACAACTAAATTACAATAAAATAACATTTAAATGATCACTAAACATGTCAGATATTTTTTTAATAAAATATGTCAAGGACGAACTATTTCAAAAACTTCAGTCAATCCCTAATCAATATCTCTAATATGTCCTCACACCCAATAACCCTTTTGCCTTGAAGCATGGGAAAAAAAATAGGCTTACTACTATTGTTGAAATATAATTAATTGGAAGAGTGCAGATGGCAGACTCGACCATTTGGTCAGCGAGGCTTCATTACGATGTTAGGAGTGAGGAGTCAACTATCCTAAAATTTTAAGCTAGGGAGAAGGACAAGACGACAATCATCAATGTGGTTGCATGGTGCATACAGAGTTACAGATTATCTGTAAATTAAAAGTTAGAGTTGCCTTAAGGATTTTTTCTTATCATATTAAAATTACATAAAAATTCATAAATAAAATAACTAAGACTTACGGTGAAACCTAATGGTTTTGGGCAGCCATCAAAAAACATCAATGTCTTCATTGCTTTTTTCCCACCTTGACCAGCACTGTTAAGGTCTTCAACAAACTTTTCAACATGAAATGTTTCACAGTAACCCAACTTTTGTGATGAAAGATGATCAATTGAAGGCACTATTTGAGTGCCTGTGCAACGAGCTATGCGCTCCAGAAGTGGTCTCTTGACATTGAGAACAAGAGAAATGTCTTTAGCAAGAAGATATTCCTGTGCATATCGCGAAACTGATTTCTCTACTAACAAAATGTTTGGCTGGTGTGCAGCTATCTTTGCCACTGCCATCTTCAGATGGTCCATTTCCTAGATAAAGGATACAGAAACATAAGCATGAACTCGTGATACCAGTATGGGCACCAACAATCAAGCAAGTACCAAACTAAAACTTTAAAAATGGTACACAAGTACAACCTGCTGCAATAAGGTATCGACACTAGATAAGAGATTGGTAACACGTTGGTACTCTAGAGCCCCTCCAAGGATTAACAAGCGAGGTTTATCTACTTTTGACGTCATTCGCCGATGAGCCACATTTTTCTTGCAAACAACTCCTTTAACCACCACACTAAAAAGAATATGAATCCAAAAAGTCAGACGAAAGGTATGCATATAAAATGTTATCTTTGACCCGTTATAGAGTTTAATAATATGTTACAAGGTATAATAGGAGATATGACCTAGTGATCAACATAAAATCAAGAGAATAAAAATTAAGTTCACTTTAAGCCTACAAGTATGATGCAGGTTTTGTGAACATTAATAAAATAAGCTATTAGGGTAGAAGTTATTATTTCTATTTTCCTAATTCTATCGGTGGAAAATCTTTTTATGGATAGGGTTGAGCCATGGCTCACCCAAACTTTTATATATATATATATATATATATATATATAAGAAATAACTGAGTGAGGATATTTATTTAATATGAGAAAGAAAATAATATTAATTGAATTTTATTTGAATAGTCAACATAAAAAAATAAATATACATTAAATTTTAAGTATTCATGTGGCTAATAATTAACTCTTAATTTTGATAATTTATGTATGATTATATGATTAAGATTATTATTTTTGTACTCTTAAAATAAGAATACATCTCATTCTATATGTTTCATATAAATACATATCTATATAATTTTTAAAATTTTCCTATCTTCTTCTAATATGTTGAGAGACTAAGAACTTTGCCAAAAATATCAAGATTGAGATTAACAAATAAATAATTTTATTTTTCTATATAATTATTTAATTAATTGATTGATAGTAAATAAATAAATAATTTATATTTAATTTTAATAGTATATTAATATAATATTATAAATCTTTTTAAGTTATTTAATACAAATCAGCTAATCATACAACTAGGTTGTCAAACAACTTTAATCCATAACCTACTTATACAGTTATATAAGTGATTGTTACAATTTCACAATTTTCAACTAACTTCACAGGTAGAAGCTATAGCTTTCAGCTCGTTTTACCAAAGGAAGCCTTAGTACTTTTTAGATTTCATATGCCAGTTTTTATCTGATCTCATATTCCCTGCATAATTGAAGGCCATTCTCTCATCATGTTACATGCATGTCTAATCCCAGACTATAAAAATAATGCAATTGGATGTTTTTCTTCTAATACTCAAACAACATTCCTGACTCTTTGGAACTATTGGTTTTTCAGTTATTTGCTTTAGTTTATTTTTATAATCTATTTTCTCTCTTTTGAAACCAGACATAAAATATCCAAAACTACAACACCATTTCTCCAGAGTATTTTTGGTCAGTAAATTTATGACAGTTACTTTTTTATATAGAGACCCACATCGTGCATATATGCACATAAGAGAGAGGTTTATGAGGTCTTAAAATCCATTCCTAAATGCCATGCAGATTGATAAATTGTATCAAGTGATTTACAAGAACATAAACCAATGGTAGATAGTGCATAGATGTTTTGTGTGTGTATAGTACTTACCTTTCAAAGCGGTTCCCACATGCTATGCATTTAACTTTCACATAACCAGCAGGGTCCATCCCTCCACTTTTGCTCATATCTGGTTTCAATAGAGTAGCAGCATCCCATGACAGGGATGTGACAATCTCCAACCAACTATTTTTGTCATTTTCTTCAACAGTAAGGTTTTCAACCTGTAACAGCTGAGCTACCAATGCCCTAAAATGCCCATCAACTACATTCTTCATTACATTTTTCTGCTCCTCACTTGATCTATCTCTGTGTCGATACTCCCCACTTCCAAAACTGCTTGAACTGCGCAGGTATCCCCACTCTCCACTGGCATTCACATCATTGTCATCATCATCATCATACAAAATAGCTTCACGTTCATCTTCTTCATCTTCTGGTTCAGGAGGGAGCCAGAGAAGTCCATTATTTTCAAAATCAACGGGTTCAGTGTCAACATCCTCTGAAACATATAATGAGGAAGGTGCTTCATTTTCATCACAGATATCAGGGTCGTCTTCATTTTTTGCAATAACTGGGGTTCCTTCTAAACCCTGTGTGTCAAAACTGTAGTTTGAAGAGAGATTTGCATTAATGTTTTCTCCATCAGGATGCACTTTCTGCGAGCCATCAATGTTGCTTATCCCATCAACCTCAGCTTGTCCATAGTAGCTATTCACTTGAGGATAATGCCTCATATCAGAATCTGACTGATATACACCATACTCATCCTCATCATCATCACTCCTGAAGCAAGATATAGCAACAGCATTCATGGACTTGACACAGTTGAAATGCAAAAATTGTTGGTTGATAGAGAATGCAAGCCCTAGTTAAATAAGTTACAAGTCAAGCAGTTGATAACATCCACATTTTCAGATTCAGAGATTCCTGATGACTCTTGATACCACTTGAACAAAAATGTTTATGTTATGACTTATCAGATTCCTCAGCTTAATTCCAATCAAAATAAGTTATAATGTATGGTTATAACACTCCTTTTGAATTTGGCATGACTCATAAGAACAATGAAGAAAATGATTGTTAAAAACAGTATAAACACAAAACTAGATGAAGAATGTCTTAGAAAAGAAATAGCAATATGAGCAATCAAACATTAGTTCTCTCTATCAATGAAACTAAGAAAAATAGTGCAATACCTGTTTATTGAGAATTCATATTGCTTTGGTAATGGATCACCTAGATCTGCTACAAGATCATTCCTCCCTCCTAGTGCTGATAAACCTTCCCTATCAATGTCTTTTCCCTTCACAGGTGATTGATGCAAGTTCAGAACGGAACCCTGTTGCACTTGTTTGTAAGACCCAACTGAATAAGGCATGGAGCAAAGAGTAATGTTACTACTGATTGCAGTGGCACTAGTTTTACTGCTAGCCAAGCTCGAAGTTGATTCCGAAGTACTATGATCCAGATTGGAAATCTGAACACTGTTATCCAAAGCAACTACACCCTGCTCCCATTGCTTGTAACAATAATTGCACACACGAATCTTTTCCAACTCATCCCAAGAATTCCTTTGGCTGCTAAATGGGGCAGGAACTGAATTTGTTGTACACTTGGCACAGAAAATTCGTCCACAAAGACGACAGTGGTGTTTACGATTAAATAAGGTGAACTGGGAATCACACTCGTAGCATACTCTACAACTCTGGTCGGGCATCCAAAAATCCCTTGACACATTTGCTGGCTCAGATCGCCAGGGAATCCATGATTTGATAATGCCGACAAGATCAGAAAAAGTCTTGTCCACGACATCCATTGACAAACAATCTAGTTTGCCTGCTCATTATGACTTTTCCATTTGCCACTCCTAACAGACCATGTTCAGAATAGGGAACTAATCCAAAACAAAGTACTAGAACCCCAACAGAAATATAATCTATCTCAAAGATCCTAAGCTACTACACTCGTAAGTTACAACTCAGGCGCAAGCCCTCAGAATCTGAAATTCAACTCTTCTACATCCACAAACAATCCCCAACCTTGTCGAGGCGGTTTGTGGTTCTCCATCCACCCTAGGAAACAACTTCATGAACAAATCCACACTTAGAAAAAAAGATCAATTGCCAACTTTATTGAACCTATTAAATCTTGAATTTAAAATTCATACAGGGAACCTACTTGTCCTAACTTTCAACCAATTCAACTCCCATTAATCACCCTATACTACTTAACAAAGATTACAGTATAACTTCAAGTATATTTCAAACAAGCCAAGTGAAATTAAATGAACAGCCAAAAAAAATTCACCAAATTCAAAGGAGACAAAAAGAAGCTCATACCAGGATGAAAACCTTCTGCACCATCACATACAAGAAAAGAGCATGCTTCATGCCAACTCAAGAGGTTAACCCCACTTCTCCCCATTGCAAAACAGACCCATTGCCCAGAGGGGCAGGAACGGAAACTTCAACCCCAAAAAACCATATTTCTTCAACCAATCAAACAAAGCAACCCTTGTGATCAAACAGGAAATTCAAGCATAGAGCTCCATCAAATGCTGATCAAAATCCCCCATTTGAAACAACACAAGATCACAATCAGATCCTCCTTAGGTAAACTTTAAAAAACGTTGCAAACCAGATTTGCCCCCACGTAGTTAACACACCCTGTTACACCGAAACTTCATACGTGCAAGGAAGAGAGAGAGAGCGACGAAGAAGAGAGATATCAAGGGAAACCAACACGGACCCAGAAACGATCCGTTGCAGAATGAATCATCTACGACTTCAAATTTGGATCTTGTTTATCCATTAAACATCATCGTCATCCACAAAATTATATCTGAAATTCAGGGGAAGAATAATATTACAATACAATAATGATAATAATGATAAAATAATAATTGTAACAACTGTCTGGAATTCTATCCGTTTACACGAATTTGAGAAAGGAAGGATCCTTAGAAAAATCGGATTTGTTTATGGCAATTGAGTGATGACTTTTCCATTTCGCTTTTTGTTCCATTTTTTTTCTTTAGAAACCAGTCATCGTTTTAGTTACCCTTTTATTTTTTTCCCTGTGACCCCAGAAAGAGACCTCATCTGTGCATGACAAAATCAAAACTATCAACTTAATAAATTTCCCTTGAAAATGTTCGTCCACTTTTTATTTCTCAAGAGAAAATAGAGACATTGTGAATGTAATAGTATAAAATTAGTTATGATTGGCCGTTACTTAAAAATATTTAAATTAAAATTTTATATTCATGTGTCTCTGTGTTTTATAAAGTCAAGGTAACAGGCCACCGCATGACTCGTCAAAGTTCACGAAACGAAGGTAATGAAAGTCAAAGCAGAAAATAATTAAGAAGGCACATGCAATTACACGAATGTCCTTTTTGTTTTATATAAAAATCCATATATCTTTTTAGTGCAACTTCATTTGAAAGGAAAAGGAAAGAAAAAATAGGAGGGATAAGAATGATAATACATCTTACACTTTTGTATATTGCATTTAAAAGAAAAGAAAATTAATTACAAGAGATTTGGACAGACATAAAAATTAAAAAATAATAAATTTTATTAAAATATAATTTAAGTTGAGTACACTAACAGTCTAAATTTTATTACACTTTCAACTAATCATGAATTATTACATCAATAAAAAATTGTTAATTTTTATAAAATGAATATTTATGGTATATGTTAATTAGGTGACAGTGTACGAACTTTTACATTAAAATGTATTAAAATTAAACTCTAAAATATTATTAATATATTAAATTTTATAATATTATATAATATTTTATAAAAATTATTTTGTATAAATTTTTATTGTGTATCTTTTTACATATATTAAAAACATCGTTATTATTGAGGAAAGGAAATGGTTGAGGAGAAGCACAATGCACATCGCATTCGCCAACTTTATCCACAAAACGAAAGCGCGTGTTTTCGTGGTTGAATCCAAAAGGCTTTGGACATAAATGATTCATAATACAGCCTATAATTTAAGCAACAAGCAACCTATTACTTTATACATTTATTTCACATTAATCATGATTTAATAATGCTTTCAGCTTTGATGTTTAAGTTAATGTATCAAAATCTAAATTATAAGTTACAACGATTGAAAATATAAGGTTGATTTTTACTCCTAGAGCTATATATGGATTCAATTATTATATTTATATTTTTAATAAATTTTAAGTAATTATAAAAATGTTTCGTTAATATTTCATCTTTTACTTTCTCCGTAGATTTAGCAAGAAAAGTAGGTAGAACAAAGAAGTTGGAAACACATAACATGCAGGATTAGTTAATGTCATAAAATGCAGCAAATGGATAGGAGAGTGATTGTCTCCAGCTGTTTGTTTAGTTTTCGTTATATCTGACAAATTTTGGTTTAACATTAACTAATATATATTTTTATAACAATTGCATATAATTTTGTGTTGGAATTTATCATTATTTTTAACTTTATTAAATAAAAAACACTGAATACTTTATGGGTTTATAAGATTTTCAACTGATAAAAAAAATATTTAACATTTTGTAATATCAATTTTTTTTAATATTAAAAGCATATGTGACAAATATTTTATTTTAAAAGTGGAGGGTAGGCTAGGTCTTGGTAAAATATTAAAAAAAATTTATCCAGATCATCGTTTAAGAAAAACACACACTTGAGCTCATGCTTATGCGACAAATACCAAAATTTTAATGTTCATTCAGAATGAGTACCTAGATATATAGACTAGGTTGAAAGCCATTGCCCTTGTTTTAGTTCAATGACATATTCTCTTGCCATTGTTTGTCCTTTTCATAGAAAATAACTAGTAAACTAATTGAGATGTTAGTTTTAAATTAAATTAATTATGAAATTTCAAAAAAAAAAAATTGTTCAAGTTCATCTCATTTTAATATAAAATGTTTTATTTTTTAAAAGGCCCCTCAATAAATTAAAAATATGAATATTTTATTAATTATTTTTTTATCTAGATTCTTATTTAATGCAAGACTTTAATGGAAAAAACAACAGCATTAGTTAAAAGTACAATTTTAAAAATATTTAAAGATATTTTAATATTAAAAAAATTAAAGGGGTGCACAATGAAAGTTTTGTATTCTGCAACTAGTAATATAAATATATTGTTGGATGAAATATTAGCCAACCCAATTGATATGCATTTCATCATAAGCCAAGTGGGAAAGACTTGAGTTTTTCTTTTTGTAACAACTAGTAACATGCATTATTAAATTAAATTAAAATTTTAAATAAAAATAAAATATATATTTTATAACTATTTTAAAATTTAATAGGTAATTAAAAAATATTTTAATTACTGATAAAAAAAATAATTATTTAAAGTATTAAAAGCTACATGATATAACGAAGAAGAAAACTAATATTTATCTAATATGATTCTTAAAATTACTTTCATTTAAAATTCATAAAATTATATATAAAGATAGATTGAAAGTTTGAGATGACATGAAGCAAAGAGTGACTACTGTATTGATAAGGTTTAATGGAATTAATATTAAACAGCTTACGGTTGCAGTTGTGGAGTTTTGCTTTAATTCTAAAGAAGTCAATAAATCAAATTATAGAAGGACAGAAGGGTGGTAGACATGATATTGTATTTTATATCATGTGTGTTTAGTTTAATTATTCTATGTTTTGCCTGCATCTCAAACCACTAATTGCCATATGTATAAAGATAATAATTAATGTAGAGGTCTTCTTCTTTTAAACGACTAATCTGATTAAATACTTTCATGTGGCTATGATTGTCCCATATTATTAGTATATAAAAGCTCTTTTACTTGTTATATGTGTCATACACAATTTCAACCATGGGAAAAGTTCATCCCCACCAAGCACTGCATTCCTCTCCTACTTGCAATTTCACTTCCAAGCAAGAGACTTTTACCCTGTGGATGAAATCTCTGGTACTCAACGGAAAAGGATGTACTGTCTTTGATTCCAATGGCCAAATTGCATTTCGAGTTGATAACTACAACTGCTCCTACAGAGATCAAGTTCATCTAATGGATCAAAAGGGCGATATCTTGTTTACCATACTGAAAAAGGTAAACAACTTTCGTATCCTTGAATGTGTGTTTTGGATATTTTCACGTAAAATAGCTCAATCTTCATTCATAATATATTATATTTATAGGATAAATTTTTCTTTTATGTCTTTCAATTATAAGTTTTTATATAATTAAAAATTATTCATTTTTATAATTACAATTTAGTTTACTGTCATAATTCTATACAAGTTAAAAAAATTGTCACAAGTTAAACTGATTTTTAATGTTGTGTATGTGCATGTAGCAACATAAGTTGTCCAAGTTTTGGGAGGGTCACAGATACCCCGCCAAAAGGGATGACAACAAAGGACCATGTTTTCGAGTTACTAAAAGTTATAGGATCACTAGAGGTGGTTCAACTTATGAAGTTGAACTTGGATTGGACAAAAACGAACCATATACTCATAAAATAGAAAGCAGCACATGCAAGTCAACTTGCAAAATATCTGATGAGCTTGGAGGGTTGGTTGCAGAAGTAAGATTTCTTAACATCTTGTTAGCAAAGTTTGGTAAAGATCATACATATGTGTGTTTGTATTTTACACATATTTTGTGTTTTTTTTATGAGCAGCTAAGGAGAAAGAAGTCACGTTGTGGAGTTGACTTAGGAGACGATGTTTTTACAATGGTAGTGGAGCCAAATATAGATATTTCTCTAACTATGGGGCTTGTTGTAGCATACAACCTTATCAACTGTAAAATGTGAGTGTTTTGGAAGCAGCATAGTGCACTGTAGTAATTAATTGCATCTTGGGTAAGTGTTCTAGCTTTATGGAATCTGTTGCTAAATTCAGTTTCAAGATTAAGCTTTGGAGATGTCTGTGGTGAGTTCTGTCTAACAATCACGTCCAATCTTGAAATTCCAAGTGCAATTCCATACTATGTTATGCTTCCTCTTATTATTATTGAAGTTTTCCCTTATTCTATAATTCAGTTCAGAAGGCAAGAGTACTCTCTGATATATACACCCAATTTGAATAAATAAAATAATGTTGTAAGGGAAAACAAATAATATAAAAAATAAATAATTTTTTTATAAGTTAAAAATAATTTATGTATTTAAATTTTAGAAAAGTTAGATGAATTTTTTTTTAAAAAAAAGCATAAACTGATTTCAACTTATTTACTTCATTTTTAGCTTCTATAAATATTTAATAAAAAGTTTATCTAAATTAGAGTATATTACACTGCAAGTAAACCAAGCTGCCATGCCAGATGCCACAGAAGTAAATTTTGGTCCCATGGTTGCAACTTGCAAGAGTTAATTACTAATTAATACAATACACTGTATTAATTAAAGAGAACAACAACCACTTATGTGGTATAAACAATTGATAAGTATTATTGTAAATGATTCCAGAAAATGCTACTTTGCTAATAATTTTAGCAAGGATGATGCCACACGGTTAAGACTGCATTGTCCAAATATAACCACGTATTTTACTGAAATAAAAGAAAGGAAAAAAAGCAGTGAACTTTGAATGGATCCATCAGCGACATCACCCAACAACTCAGAAGCATTCAGTTAAAAAAAGTATTTTTATTTGAAAAAAATATTATTTCTTAATTTTATTATATATTTTTAAAGATTTTTTAAAAAATAATAAATTTGTATTATTCCACTATTATTTATACAGTTTTTTGAAATTAGGAGATAAAATAAAATGAGTAAATCATTCTGTAACAAACAGAGAGATGTGTGCATAAAATTAAAAGAGAAAAAAAGTAAGGCAAATTACATCATTTTAATGTATTATAATCATAATCAAGGACAAATTAGGGAGTAAATATATGTGCTTCCCTTCCTTTCCAGTAAATTATAGAAAATGGAATAATGTTAATAATATATTCTTTGTGATATATTTTTTATTAAAATTTACTAAAAAATTATAAAAATTACATATATCTTATTATTTTTATTTTTAAATTTGCATTTTTTAATTTTTAATAAATTTTAGTTAATAATAATAATAATAATAATAATAATAATAATAATAATAATAAAGTGTGTAGTATTATCTTTAATGAAGAATACATTATTTTACGTTAAAATGAAAAACTCAGTCCTGCGCGGTGATGATACTATTTTACTGCAGTTTTATCACTGACCAAGCCGTTCGATCTAGATTTTGATTCTGCTTATAAAAAAATTATTAAAAGAGTTAAAGTTTGTTTTAATAATTTATATTTAAAAAAATTAAGTATTAATTAAATTATACTCTTGTGTAAGGAATATAAATGAATCTTTTGTTCTAAAAGAGTGTTTAAAAGAATTCGTGATATTTTAAAGAATGTTTGATAAAAAAAATTATAATTTTTTTTTTTGATAACCTATAAATTAGTTTGCGAGTTTTATAATTTTTTAATTTATTTTAATAATTATTTTGTGATACAATTTATCAAAATGATTTTTTATTTTAATAAATTCTACAATCAATTTTATATTATAATTTTTTATATAATAAAAAATTCTAAAATAAATATTTAATTAAATTATTTACTTAAAAACACTGTCCATTGAATGCATTTTAGGTAAAATTTGTATAAAGTGATATCATTGGACCAAGCTCTATCTGGTTCAATCTAGTAATTCAGATATATAAATACACACTTGACCTAAAGATACATACATACACGTATATTATTAAAAAAGATTATATATTCTTTTAAAATTTGATCTCTTTTTTAAAAAAATAAGCTTTTCATAAAATATTTCTATTATTAAATGATTGTTTGTCTTTTTTTCTTATTTAATTTATTTAAATATTATAAAGTTTCTTATCCCTCTAAATATTAATTTTTTTAAAAAATTACAAAATATATGTAAGAATTTGTTGTAAAAATAAAGTATGAGAGGACATTAATGATAGTAACAAATTTTATGAGGAGAGGAGAGGGACACGTGTAATATTTGGATTGGATGTGATATGATTTGAATCTTAATCTTTAATATTTACATTTTATGATCCTCTAACTTATCATAAAATGTTCAAAATGGTTGGATTCAACCTCAATATTCCAATACATAGATATCCTATAAATGTAAACAACTGAAACAAGAAAAATACAAAAATAAAAAAAGAGAGAGTAAACTCTTCAATTCAAACTCTATTTTTATTTATCTTAGACACTCTATTTAGATTAAAGTTTCACTTTAAACTATTTTTATACTTATTCAAAAAAATTTGAAATAACACGTAACTTTACATTTTATTTTATTTTTTTGCTTCCAACGTAAAACTATAAGAATAAAGCAATACTTTTGTAATTAATTAAAAAAAAAAAACACAATATGTCCTAGTCATTTGGATTAAAATATATTTTACTTTTACCTTTAATTATAAAAATGTCATTCTGATAATACTTATTTTAAACAAGATTAATTAAACAACACTGGTATTTATGAAAAGTGTCTTACTTTACTCCACTGCAATACCTTACATCGTTTCGACGTGATTTCACAAGCTCGTCGTCACTGTGTTCGCAGGAAGATCTGTCTCTTCTTCCTCCTCCTCCTCCTGAAAACCCCAATTTGCAGTGTTATGTATAAATCTTTACACTCTGAAAACCCTATCCAATGGTGGGACCCAAAAGGCAATTCCTCCCACTGATCTTCATCTCCCTCGCCGCTTTCATCTTCTACACTCTCCACCATTCTACTTTCCCTCCTTCAATCCCCGAATTCAACCCCAATTTCACTCTCTCTACCCCAATTCGAACCCGAAACCCCCTTTTCCCCAACTTCACTTTCGTCATCAAAGTCCTCGCCTTTAACCGCCTCGATTCTCTCTCCCGGTGCCTCCGTTCCCTCGCCGCCGCCGATTACCTCGGCGACCGCGTTCACCTTCATATTCACATTGACCATTTTTCCCTCGACAACGCCTCCTCCGTGGATCACAAGCTTCGTGAATCGCATCGGATTTTGGAGTACGTTGATGGGTTCGATTGGAAATTCGGCGAAAAAGTGGTGCATTACAGAACCAGCAACGTGGGTTTGCAGGCACAGTGGTTGGAGGCGTGGTGGCCAAGTTCCGATGACGAGGTTGCGTTCATTGTGGAGGATGATTTGGAGGTTTCGTCGCTTTACTATGAGTTCGTTAAGACATTGATTTTGAATTTCTATTACAATGGTTCCAATTATAGCCCATCCATCTATGGAGTCTCGTTGCAACGAGCAAGGTTTGTTCCAGGTACCATTTTCTCTTTAGTTATTTATTTTTGTTTGAAATTTTGGCGCTTTATTGTTGGTAGCTGGTGAAGTTTTGATGTTAGACGAATCTGGTTACTTCGTGGTGTTGTTACATGTTCGTTGCCTGTGTTATTTGTAAGAGAGATAGAACAGAAATGGCTTTCAAAGAAGCTTCTATTAGGGAGCATTCTATTGGATGTGTAATGAGTGCTTAGCTAATTGCTAGTTTTTTCTTTTTGGTAGGATAAGAACTTGGGATTATGAAAAGATGATGTTTTAGTGGAATGGGGAACATGGGGTTGTCTGTGTTATAGCTTGTTGCTGTGTTTTCAGGATTTTGGTTCAATCCATTATATAGATACGCTAGGCTGTGTGAACGAGCAACAAAATGCTGCCAAGTTGAACCTTCTTTTTGTGGTGTTGTGATTTGAAAATGGATATGACAAAATAGAGAATTGGGGAAGCTTTTTGTTAAACAAGTTTATGTGACTTTCCTGTATTATTATGTGATTGTAATCTGCTTCTTCATTACTTCCGTACAGTTTATTGATGATATAATTGGTTTCTGACTTCAGGTAAACATGGAAACAAATTACAGTTGGATGATCAGACACGACTTTTCTTGTATCAGTTGGTTGGCACATGGGGTCAAGTTCTCTTTCCAAAGCCATGGAAAGAGTTTAGGTTGTGGTACGACAAAAACAAAGCAAAAGGGAATAAACCATTTCTTGAGGGGATGGTAATAAAATGCTTTAAAAGAAGAAAACCTCTCTTGTTCTTTAATATCATCCAATTATCATTTAACTGACTTTTATCCTTTAGCAGTTCAGTTCATCCCTAATTTCAGTTCTGAAATTTTGTCCAGGTGACTACAGGATGGTATAAGAAGATGGGAGAGAGAATTTGGACACCTTGGTTTATTAAGTTTATTCAATCCCGTGGTTATTTTAATATCTATTCAAATTTTTTGCATGAGAGAGCATTAAGTGTCTCTCACAGAGATGCGGGAGTGAACTACGGGAAAACTGCTGGACCTGATTCTAAATTACTAGAGGAAAGATCTCTGGACTTCAACCTTTTGGAAATGCAACCTTTGAGTAGTTTAAAATGGTTCGATTTTTGTTTCAGAGAAGTACATCCTGAAAAGGTTGTTGGGAACCTAGAAGAACTAGGATCTTTTCTTCGTTCTCTTTGGAAACAAGATAGTGTCTTCTTCGTAAATCTCTTCGGGGTGTCAAATGCTATAGCAAGAAACATACTGTGCTACTTTGAGAGGCTAAATATCAGGAATTACTTACTCATGGGCCCTCCATCTGACTTCTTATTTGATCTGGCAAGGAGGGGACATCCTGTAATTGATGTAGACCAATTTATAAGTAGCGTTGGATTGTATAAATTGACTTCGCAAGGTTCAAGTATTGAGACCATCAAGGGTATTTTGACAAAGACACAAGTAATTAAAATTTGTATCGAGAATAAGTATAACACTTGGGTTATGGATGGGAGCATGCTTCTCACTTCAGACCTCTTGTCTGAGGCCAGAGATCCCAATGATGACTTCTTTGTTGCAAACAACTTGGAACTCTTTTATGTTAAAAGCTCATCTTCTAGTGAGAAAATCTGGGTTGATGACTTTGTGTCCAAGGTTGTAGCCAAGGCAGAATCTTTGGCAGGAAAAGATTCACCAACCCTTGGTAGTAGCTTAAGCTTTGTGAATATTGTAACAAAATTGTTGGAACAGAATGGTGCGAGGATTAGAAGAGTTGATGAGACTTCTTTTGGCACGAAAATTGGCTCTGGTAATGTTAGTGGATCTTCTCTTGGAAATAAAAAGTTGGTGTATTGGTCAACTGAGGTGGAGCTGGATTCAATTCAGAAATGGCTTGAAGAGTTGAATTTGTGGAGCATAGACAGTGATTTATCCTGCACCGCAGTGGTCTGCCACAAGTCGTAGCATTTTATGGAAGCTAGTAGTTCTACAATTTTTTTTCCTTTTTTGAAATGCCAATTTATCTTAAACATTCTTTTGACCCGTTTTGTATCATCATTTGTATCAAAAAATCAAGTTGTCAATGCAAGGCTTAAAGACGGGTAATTAAATTTTAACTTGAATTTTGTTCTCGTGATTGGATTACTCGTATTTTCCAGCACTGATTTTGCATTTTACCGTTGTCATGTGTTTATGATGGAGCATTAATTTGACTCCTCTTACATAAAATAAATATGTGAAATGATAAATGAAGATTTTATTTACCTTTAATTTGAAGTGAGATATTTTAATTTAAATTAATGCTGTATGTATTTCAATTTTCTTATTTTTTTTTTTTTAATTTTAAAAGAGTTAAATGTAAACAAATATTATCATAACTATGGTACAAACTGGCGAGAGGAAAATGCGGTGAGGAGAGAAAGGAGGAAAACGACGACGCATTGAATGGAGAATCGGAAGACATCGGCATACTATGAGAACAGATTGGCGCACTTTGGAGTAGTGAGCAGAGAGTGGCTCGCGCAAGCGGAGTCTGCCACCCATCCACATCCACATCATCATGACCCTCATCATGATGACCATGACATACATAACGACAACAAACCCTTCTCCGTCATCGATGAGTTCAATAGATGGCGCAAACACCCCGATTTGGCCGAGGCCGTCGCCGCCATTCGCGCCCTCGCCGCCGTCATCCACTCCAGCAAGGCCACCACCATGATGCAACTCGAAATCCAACTCAAAAACGCCTCCGATTCTCTCAAAGTCTCTCTCTCTTCTCTTAATCTCATTTTTAATCAAAATTAACCTATTATTTTGAATTTTAATTAACACCACTACATCTACATGCAGAATTGGGATACAACCTCGATTTCGTTGACGGCAGGGTGCGATTTGTTCATGCGATATGTGACGAGGACTTCCGCTTTGGAATACGAAGATTTCAATTCAGCGAAGTCGCGCTTAATTGAACGCGCCGAGAAGTTTGGGGAAATCTCGTACAAGGTGACAATCACTTGATTCAGTACACTCACTCTCATTGTTGGTTCCTCAATTGATTTATTTTTTTTGTTGCAGGCTCGTAAAATTATTGCAATGCTGAGTCAGGATTTTATCTTTGATGGTTGTACGATTTTGGTTCATGGTTTCTCCAGAGTTGTCTTTGAAGTTCTCAAACTCGCTGCACAAAATAACAAACTTTTTCGAGTCTTCTGCACAGGTTTTCCTATTTCTCTCTCTTTCGATTCGTGTTTCAACTTTCGCATGTGTCATTTTATGGTCAGGTTCAGATTTACTTCATTTAAATTGAAATTGAATCAATAAGAGCCTGCTTCATTTAAGAAAACGTTTATTGTTTTCACAATGTGTTATTCAATGACATTACTTTTTATTTTTGTTTCGTGTTTCCAAAGGTTTATATTAGTTTAAATAATAAGAATCTTGTTTTTGCCATAAGTACATGTCTTTATTTAAAATCAGAAAACAAGATAAAAAAATTTGTAATTATCAATGAAAATGGAAAATGTTATCTCAAATCTGGTAGACCTTAATAAAATACTAAGAAGTCGATCGAGTGAAGCAAGAGAAAGTCTCACATCTGACAGGTCGCAAGTTCTGAACCCCCTCTCGTCTCTTCGGAGTGATGTAAATGTAAGTCTTCTGTAAGTGTTCTTCGAGTCTGGGAGCTTTCCCTGCCTTGGAATGGAGCATTATCCTCTCCTAAAATTTATGTGCCAAAAAACAGACCTTAATAGACCTATTTTCTCAATGTAATATTATAACATTCTCATGAAGATTTTTTGCAGGAGAGTGGGAATTCTGTTTATTGTTTCTGTTGGCCTGTTAATTTGATGGTGGGCTTTGAAGATTTACCTCACTTAAATTTCTTGATCACATATCATTTAAAATCTCGAGTGAAGCTATGTCTGTTATTTTCATTGTTAGCAGTTTGTGGTTCAAACTTCATAGCTTTAATTTGCAGAGGGGAGACCTGACAGAACAGGGTTAAGGTTGTCCAATGAGCTGGCCAAGCTTGATGTTCCTGTGAAACTTGTAATAGACTCTGCAGTGGCATATACTATGGATGAGGTTGACATGGTATTTGTGGGAGCAGATGGTGTTGTTGAAAGTGGTGGTATAATCAACATGATGGGGACATACCAAATTGCTTTGGTTGCTAAGAGTATGAATAAACCAGTTTATGTGGCAGCTGAAAGCTACAAGGTACATTTCCAGCTTTCAGAAATTAATCTAGTGCTTCAGTTGCTGCTTTAGAATGCATGCATCTTTTTGTACAAGTGTTATATTAGTTAGGAATGGAACTTCTGCGATTACATGTCTTGTGTGTGCTACTCTGCAGTTTGCGCGTCTTTACCCTCTGGACCAAAAGGATTTGGCCCCTGCATTGCGCCCAGTTGATTTCGGTGTACCTATTCCATCCAAGGTTGAGGTTGAATGTTCTGCCCGGGATTATACTCCTCCTCAATATCTGACTCTGCTTTTCACAGATTTAGGTGTTCTTACTCCATCTGTTGTCAGTGATGAGCTCATCCAGCTGTACTTGTAGTCATCCATGTATAATGTTCTTCTGATTCTTCTAGAATTTGGTCTCAGTTCAAGATTATGTGCTTGTGAAATAATTTTGTAGCATGTACGTGCATTAGCAAGATCAGTATAATTATAACTGGGGATAGTTTTTGTAGTATTTAAGGTTTCGAAGAAATGCAATGGCTGCAAGTGCAACCTATATAACTGTATTCCCTTTGGTTCTCATTATGACCAGGCAGACATCTAAATCTAATACCCATGTAGCTGTTCGTATTGTGTCTGAGGCTGAAGATTGTTAATTGTTGGCTTATGTCTTCTCATCAGGTGCTTGATGTCTTCTCATTTTCCGAAGATTTGTTAACTGATTTGACATCTGAAAATCGGTTCTTGTATTAGTTGTGAAGTAACTTCTCTTCGGCTAATTTAAATCTTAAATCAGATATATAACTTTCCGTTTATAACAATTGATTTAAATCTTTGTTAACCTGTTAATTTGATAGTGGGCTGTGAAGTTTTCTATCACTAATTTCTTGACCATCTCATTTTGAACTTTCGATTGATGCCAGTGTCTGTTATTTTCATTTGTTAGAAATTTGTGGTTAGAACTTTATAGCTTTGAAATATTTTGATTTCGTTTTCAGAATTAATTATGCTTTCCTCCATTAATCAATGCTTAAACTACAGTATTTTCTTTAATTACACTCCTCTCTATTGAAAGATTAATATGCACTATAATTATACTGCCTTTTTTTTTTTTTTTTTTAACAGTCATTTTTTCTTTTTCGTTGCATTTCGTCAAAGCCGAAACGTGGTTTAGTACTACATCGGTAATGGGGGAATAACATGATTTTCTGTCCAACCTGATTGGCATTGTTGATTGGAATAATAAAACACTAAGATTTGTGGGGAAAAAAAAGTATATAATCACGTTTAAATTTGACTGTTCTACAAATCGACACCAAAGCTTTAAAATTTTCTTATTTAGCTCCAAAAGTATGACTATTCCGCCAATAAATTATTTTGTCATATTGCCATTAATTTACTAACCGGTTTTTAATGTGATAGAAGATTAACTTTCCATTTAGATAATACCTGCATGATTAGTGAAACTATTTCTTTAATTTTTTTGTTTAAATATTTTAATCCTTCAAAAACAAAACTTGAAAATAGTTTTTATAAAACAAACTTCAATTTCAATTTCATGGAATTCTATCCCAACCGATTGAGTTAAAGAGCCGTCACCAAATGACTGGATACCAATGTCAAATTATGCCCCTACATGCAACCGTTTCATCATGCTACCCCTCCTTGTAAAAACTTGAAAGCATAAATTTTTCATCACATTTGAGTTTGGATAACAGGTTTTTCGAGGTTTAGAATATCTCATTTCTTCTTATGTTACTAGAAAACAAGATAAAATCATATTTATAATAAGACTACATGTTGTTTATGTAAGATTTACAGATTTATAGTCAAGTTTTATTTATTTAAATGAGTTATCCTGACTTAATAACAAGTGAGTTGTACTTAATGACAATATTAATTTGGTGATGACTTTTTGAGTCAATCAGTTGGCTTAGAATTCCATAAATTGAAATTGAAAATTGAGAGTCTTAGATTAGAAGTGAGTTTGTATTGAGAATATCATATTAAATTTTATCATAAACTTAGAAATAAACATTTCCAAATATAAATCACTTAACTTCAGACCTATTCTTTCATCAAAATTTATTTTAGAAAATAACATGGATTTGACATACACTTAGCTAAGGCACTTAAGAAGCAATTTAATAATGCATAAACCAAAACTCCATAATTAATCATCCATTTGACATTTAGTATGGTCAGAATAACATAAGAAAAGGGAATCAAGCATAGATTTATTCAAGCCATGTTTGTCCTTATCAGTTTGCGAGAATCTATTCATCAATGGGTATAAAGGAACTACATGATGTTCCAAGCTTTTTTTAAGGATGATGGGGTTCGCTTTCAAAATGCGAACAATGTCAGAGGTAGAAGCACCTTTAGAGAGAAAAATTCCAAACTTTAGCAAATTCTTTGAAAACTGAACCCGGCTTTTCTTGGGGGAGGGGGGAGGCATTGAGCCAATACTGTGATCCCGTAATAGAGTGTGATTCTGATTCTGAAGTGCCAGTGCAGTATTCCAATTTCAGAGAAAATGGTAATGGCAATTGCAATTTTGATTCAATGGATGGTGCAACTATTTTATACGTATGCTGCTAAATCACCACTATTTATTTTCATTATCTATCAAGGCTCTGTAATAGTAGGATGAACTTTCAATTCTTTTATATAGAGGGTAGCCTTTAAGATATTCGTTGTCAAGTTTTTATAAATATTGTCATATTTATCCACGTACTCAAAAGGAAAAAGAAAAGAAAATACATTTAATTTTTCATAGTTTTGTCATTAAGTTATTAAATTAAAGAATGACATATGAGTTAACTTCTATTTACAAAATCTTAATTTTACAACTTGCAATAAAGATATAAAGAATTCGATACAAAATGTTGTTCCTAAAGAATAATAAAGTTGCTTTTCTTTCTTTTATTTATTTTGCCTGGTACTTTTTTTGGTTTGCTTTTATGTTATAAGAGATAAAAAATCACAATGGAGAACAAATTGACTAAGAAAAAATATATATAATTAGAAATGTTTCTTCCACAAATAACTGTCGGTGTACCCACATTCAACTATTAACGATGCCATTAACAAGGAAGTTTAGCTATAAAATTTTAGAAATATAACTTCACTTTGTAACTCATTTAACAAATAAATAATAGTAGAATTTTATTAAAATATATTTATTATACTTTTACATTTTAATACAATGAATGTATATTTTCAACAAAAAACTATTTTTTTAGATACTTCAGCTCGACTCTAACAGTAGAGATTAATAAAACCCATACTTTTTAACACATTTTTTTTTAAAAAAATATTAAACTCAATTTTTAGGACTCAATTCAAGGAACCAATAATAATAATATTTTATTAAAAAATATATTTATTGTACTTTTATAACTTTAATATAATGAATATGTTATTTTATAATAAATTTTTGTTCATTTTAGATACTTAAAATTAATCTTAAAGGTTAAGATTAACAAAATTTAATTAAATGAAATAATATTAGTTATAATTTAAATTGAATATAAAGTAAGATGGGATGGGATATAATTTAATCAAAATTTATTTTATTCTTTCTCAATTTTTTTGGTAGATAATTTCAAGGTAAGGAGACAGAATCTTCCTCAAAAGTTTAGAAAGGCTTCTAAACTCAAGAAATAATTTAAAAAAAATTTAAAAAATCTTTTACCTTTTATAAAAAAATACTAAACATAAAATATTTTTTTTGTTAAATATATAAATTAAAAATAAAATTTATATAAGGAATAAAAAATATGCCATATTTTCAAGAATAAAAAATGTATTTCAATCTTATTTTATTTTATTTTATTTCATTATTTCCATTCATCATTGAACATTAAGATATAATATAATTATAACTCATGATAGATACGTTAACAAATTGATTTAATTTATTGTAAATTTAAAAAATGGAATAAAAAATCCAAAAACTAAACTAATCAAAAGAAAAAACTTACAAAAATACTTTTTTATTGAATTAGATTAGATTTTGAATTCAATTTTAAAAAAATGATACAATTTAATTAAAACTAAACTTAGGTATGTATATATAATTTTATTTCATATTTATACAATTATATGGTTATAAGATTGTAATACTTAAGAGTTTATTTTTATGTACTTCTAATGTAAATATTTTATACTATCAAACAATTAAAATATATAAATAATATAAATTTAAAATTAATGATTGTAAAAATATATGTTTTTTAAGTGTATTATTCTGTCTATAAATAGGCTTTAAATTAACTACTCAAAACTTTTATTATAATATATAAATTCAAATTAAGCAATTAAATCGCAAAGTGAGATTCACAACAAATATTTTTATACCCTCTAGTCTAAGATAAATGCTGAAATTTAACTAAACTAAAAATGATTTTTAGTGTATTACATTATGGGTTTACTATAATCATTTTATGTGCTTATAAGTTTATTGATTTTATATTAATTTAAAGTTATTTTTGTGTCTCGTGCTTTTTATTACAAATTTATGTTTTATATTTAAAATTTTCTAATTAAAGATAATATAAAATAGATAATAAAATAACTTATTCATCACATTTAAACCAACAAAAAAAAACTGAATAATCTTATTAAATCTAAATTGGTTTTAATTATAACGGATGGAATTAGATTAAAATTACCCGTAACTCATGACATGTTTTTAAATAATAATAATTTAGAATCATCAACTAAAACGTAAGTAAGGGAAAGAGAGATCAACATCACAATTTATCAAATGCCAAAATGAACATATATTTATAAGTGAGGAACAAAGTGAAAGAAAATGCAAATCAATGATAAAATTTTTGAGAAATTAACAAGATTATTGTGGTAAGGTTTTGATTTCACTGAGACCCTAATTAATTATTAATGAATTAATCAGTTGATTGGAAGGTTTTGTGTGTCTTGGGAAGAAAATTCTCTCTGAGGTCTGCAGCATCAACATCGCCAAAGTGATTCTCTGGAATCCAGTTTCCACTCTTTGGATCTCTCATCCAAAATATTTCCTCTTTAGTGGATGCTGATTTTATCACATTCCCTTTCACCATCTTCTCTCCAATTTCCAACCTTAAACTTTCCGCTACAACACCATAGCATCGCTTCCTACACCATTGTCTCTTCTTCGTTAATTAACAACGTAAATAAATGCATACAATAATTGCTATGATTAAATGTCAAATTTAATTAGAAAGCATTGCTAATTAATAATACTTGTGATATTAAAATTTTGTTACAAATAATGATGATAAAGAATCACATGCAAAGCAAAAGAATAGAGAAGAAGATAAGAGAGGTAGGGTTATATAACCTGAGAAGGAAAAGAGGGTTAACAAGAATGTTGGGCATGATGAAGAAATCGATGGACAAGTTGAAGAGTGAGTTATGGATGATATAGAGAGAAGAGCGTTGGGGTAATTTTTGAGGGATGAAGGACTCGTTTGGACGAGAGGGTCTTATATAAGAAAACTAAGTGTGTGTTTTTTTTTATCCTCTCAAACTACTTGTAACTCATTAAAAGTAAAGTTACTACCAACGAATATTTGAGAATCTAAGCCTTGCTATAATTTGATAAATAATAATGTTTTGATCACGTTTTTCTCATTTTACTAAATAATTGAGGTAAAATATTCTTTTATTTTAAAACAAATATTTTTTTTAACCTTTGCAATATTGTAGGAGATAAACTCATTCAATTCATTATCTTCTCAATTAATATAATCTTTAAAAGGTAAACTAATCACCCTACCAAATATCCCTATCGATATACATGTTTTTAATAAATTTTGAATTATATTAATATGAACATTATGGATTTATATTAACAGTATAACAATATTTTATAAGTTTAAAATATTAATATTGCATTATTTGTTAATATAGGTTTTCTAAATTTAGTTTAGTAATTTAAGTTTTATTAAACCAAAAAGTATATCAATATTGGCTATTCTAATAATTACTAATATTTAATAAAAAATTTAATAATGCCTAAATTTATCTTTTTAAACTAAATTAGTGATATAGTTTGTTGTAGAGCTCGCAAAATGAGCTACTCAGCCCATTTGTGCTAATCCATTGTATTGAGTGAATTTTAATTAATCAAAGTTGAAAAGGTTTAAATATAATTTGAACTTATAAAAATATTATTCAAAATGAGTAAAGTTCAATTTTCTTTTAAAGACTTTTACGAGTTTTTGCAACATTAGACTTGATCAAAGCTAAAAAAATTAAATTAAATTTAGTTTAAAGTATAAAACTTGAGCATTGCGTTTTATTGGGATAGACCCATTTTACCAGCTTAGTTTGTTGCATCATTTAAAATATAATACTTTGGTAAATTAGATTTACGTAAAAATAAAAACAACTTATTTTAATACTTTTTTGAATAAATAATTTACCAATCTCATTTTGTAAGGGGATATTTGGTAGGGTGATTCTTTTAAATTTGTTCAAAAAAACTTTTAGTCGAGAATATTACTTTTTTATGTATAGTATGAATATTTTAAAAATTATTCATAAGGAAATAACAATCTCAAAAAGAATTTTTTGTTTTTTTTGTTTTTAGTTTCAACTATGTTTCGGAATAAAAGACTTCTCCTGGAGAGATGATGATGTTAGATTCTTATAAAGGTGAAAAAGCTTTAGTTATACCCATAAAAATACTTTTGAGAATCTTTTAAACATATGAAACATGTTTAACCCAAAATTAAAAAAATTCTGATAATCGTTTTTTCAAATCATCTTAGTTATATCTAAATATAAATTTAACTGACTCCAATGTTTGTATAGTTCCTTCTATAACACCACACTGTAGTAAATATAACGATATAATAATTGTGACGTTAGGATCAACACGTTATAAAATAATTTTTTGGCATGTGATTTTTCTGTTTTTCAAAAAATACCTGTTAAGAACATATCCTTCATGCAAATTGCAAAAGCAAATCTATTCTTCTTTGATGGTTTTTTATTTTTCCGTCTTGTTTTCAGAGCTTGTTTCAGCTTGTGTGTTTACGTCAAATTCAACTAAACGTTGATTTATTTTAACCTTATAAATTATAATTTTTATATTAAAATATAGTTTAATGTAATTTTATTATATTTTTAAATAATTAGAAAATTCAATTCACTTTCTTTTTTAACGTTTGCAACTTTCTTAATAAATTTATGGATGATCCAACACGACCTTTTCAAACAGCAGCACATTATATACCAATCGTCATAGCAAGAAATACAATTTTCGGACTCAAGAAAGAACACAGTTACAATTTATAAGTTGGTTTTAAGTGACAATTATATATAATATCAATTTTAATTTTTAAAATAGTGCTTTTGATATTGAAATTACAAGTGCGCTAGGCTTTTATTTTAATGAAATTTAATTCATGTGAAAAATAAGAAAGCAAGATTGTTCTTTAAAGTTTCTATAGTGGCTCCTTCGTATAGGCAGAGATGAACTCTACGCAGCTAAAATTCTGAAAAAAGAATGCGTTACAGCCATAAAGCCACAGATACTGATTCCAATTTGTATTTATCAAAGTAATCCCTTGCTAAAGAAATGTTTTGTCTTTATTCAGAATCCGTTCTTTCTGTGATCAATCAGATCATAAACAGAAACCATAACTGAAGTTTCAACGTTTTTTAGGACTAGAGTGAAAAAAAAATATCATTGAACATAGTTTTGTACCAACAGTCCCGTCTGATTTTATGTTGGTTAACATTTTGTAGTTTACAAACAGTAAGTCTGAAGAATTATAAAGAAAGTAATCGATGGCATCTTCAAAAATATTTAATTACAACATGTAAATTGTTGGATATTTACAAAACCAAACTTCAAAACATATCTGAAATAGATACGAACAACATTATCTATTAAAATAGATAAAGACAAACTAATCCTCAAAACATGTAATTTTGCTTCTCAGCGTATATATCAGATTACATACCTGATCAGCAATATGAGTCAGTGCTCATCATGTTGCTTGGTCTCATTAATTTACCATTACTGCTAGCACGTGAGAGGATCGTAAATTAAAATGTTTACAAAATGATTTTTCACATTCCAGTTTTCTTCACAAAGAATTTTTTTGTTGAACTACAATTCTGCACGATCGTCACTGAAGTTTGTGCAGACATTTTATTGTATCACGCTAAACAAATGTTAAAAACTAAATTAAAAATCGAAATAATAAAACACTAAACCAAGTTAGGAGATTAGGATTTGTTAATTAGGCCAAGGTTTAAAATATAGTCAAACTAATAAAATATTTTTTAATATCATGTATTATACTAAATAATAAACTAATAAAAATTCTAAAAATAAATTTAAAATAATAAAATTACCAGATTATGCCATGCAAGATAAGAAACAATAATAAAAACCTAAAAAATAAATAATCATAAGAAACCTCGTATGTAATTCTTCGGAACTTGAAATTTAGCATTTATTTGGTTTTTTTTTTTTTAAAATGACATTCTTGATTCAATTGAGAAAAGAAGTTTAAAGTTCAAACTGGATTCTTCAACACCGGCCTTCACCAATTTCAGGCCAATTCTTGCTAGGAATCAGATACCTGGCCGGTTGACCAACTGAGCCAACCAATCCATCCATTACTGTGCCAAACAATGCATGTGTATAGTGCGTGAAGTAGAAAGACTAGAAAATAATATGTTAAATTAAATAGTATAAACATACTGAGTGCACAAGACTATACATTTTACTTTCAATACAACAATAGGGCACTAGAAATAAAGTAAACTTCCAACTCACTGCTCACAATAGAGAGCTTGATGGGATTCGAAAGTGGTAGGAGTTCCATTTCTGAACTAGGAATTTTGTTCCTCTTAATCAAGAACAAAGATGGAAAGGGTTCACCTACTCCTAATGACATCTGTGTTGACTAAACCTAGCTAATATTTTTCAATCCTATATTTCACTAATCTATCTAAAACATAGTTTACAGATAACTCAAAGCAAAGGAGGTAACTAGTTGTCCGCTATTCCAGAAGGGGGTGGAGGAAAATGTATCAAAGGGGTCGTGAAGACAGAGACCCTTGAGAAAACCCATTAGCAACACTTTGTTTCTTCTTGAAATTTGTAATACTACAATGAGGACATATATATTCTAGCCCATCTGTTTTTGCATAATCCTGCAGAAGTTATGAAAGGAAAAAGGAATCCTTAATATAATTAAAAGCAAAGAGGTACATTATTCTGTGCTAAATAATATCAAGACTCTTCGCATACAAAGTGATGGTATACCTTAAATGCGCCAAGACCCTGCCTTCTGTCACAGCCGAAGTGGGCCCACTCACCACATATGCCACAATTCACCCAATCACCAGCTGCACTACTGTTTAACAGTTGACAGATTGTAAGGAAAACATATACAAAAATTGAGATTAGCTGCTTCTACTTGTACGCAACATAATGCCAAGCCTCTCTACCAATCATCATAAATTGAATGATAAATTACAAGTCTTAACAACTGGGAGTCTGGGAGGGGATGTAAGTACACAATCAGCAAGCAACCATACTTATAAACTAATGTAACTGCACAGCTTCATCGACTTAAAAAAATAAATTGAAGTACAAACCTGTGACACAACAAGCAACACTCTCCATCTACATCATCATGTGCTAATTCATACTCTAAAAGGTAGGTCTCGTAATGTCTTTTGAGAGTATTTCCAACTCCCTGGGGAAGAGACGTTATGATAAGAAAAAATATCTTAGCAGCCATTTAATTTCACATAATAAACAAATATCCAGTCATCACATAAATTCTGTATTAGTTAGAAAGCTTTCTATTGGTGCAATTTTAACTTTTCTTTATCTTTATCAAAACAATTCCTCTGCTCTACTAGAGGTAAAGCCAACCCATGATGTCAACACGTGATCAGTAATCATGCCAATGTCTCTCAAAGGCCTAACCCAGAAAAATAAACTAATTGCACTTATTTTGGAATGAGGAACAGGATAGATAACTATAGAACAAGTACTATTTTAAGTAAGGTTCTGATGAATATTTTCGATGGTAGGTTCCAAATAACAATCAGCTTTGGGGACTAAATGATAACATAAACATAGAACTGGCTAGAAGTGTGCCCGTAATCTATTTTACCCATAATCAAAATTAGAGAACAGATGCATATGTTATTGCCAAAATATATTTAAAATCATTTACTCGGGAGTACCATATAATTTACTACTATGTCAAAGATTAATAGAATCTGGAAGACACAAAACAGGTGTGCTAATTTAGTTAACATTTTTTTTCAGTCCTAGGGATTTTTTGGGAGGGTAAAATAGGGATAGTAATTCTTTTATTAGACCCTAAGGTCTCAATAGCTGTTTTAGTGGGCTCCTCCTTAAGTTATTATAGTTAATTAGGATTTTATTAGTGTTTATTGAGAAGTGTGAAAATTTTTCACAATAAGATGTAGGAAAACCCATGCCTTCTCAATCTCAATTTTAAAGTGGTATAACAAACAATAAAAGCCAACCACTCAAAGTTAAGACTTAAGATATAGCCAAAGAATAGAACATACAGTCATTCTATTGGTTGTTGTGTAATTGCGCATCTTTGAAAAGATTTGCCCCTTCCAGTTGATGCCATTGCCAACATGAAATCCTCCCCTGGTAACCACCTAAATAGACCAGCAAATTGAGAAACAAAATATACAAAAACAACTCCTACATAATCATACTCAAAGAACAGGTATAGTAACTCACCTCTTTATACAAGTTGTAGAGATCAAGGCGTTTTCCATTAAGTATGGCATCAGGGAATTCAGTAAGCCCACCTTGAGGAATCAATCGACTATGTCCCCGGAGAATCAGAAACTCCATGACATCTTTGAGAAATTCCTCCTATACATAAAGTTATAATTTTTCTGAATTTAAGAATATATTCTCAATAAGTACTTGTATAGTAATCCAGCATGATTTTGTAATATTTAGGATATCATTTCTTCATGGAATATGTATTAAAAAAACATTAATAGGAAAACAATCAAAAAGTGAAAGAAAAATACATTTTTTTCAACTTTTCAGCACAAGCAAAATATTTGAGATTACAGTCTCTACCTGTGCATCCAAATGACACTGAAAATCATACTTAAAACAATGGACAAAGGAGAACACACCTCAGAGCAAGTCTGTACTGGGCCTCTTCCACAACCATGTTTCTTAAGAGGCAATGGGTTCAACGAAATAACCTGCTTAGACTGAGCTGAGCTTGAAAATGATTTTCTCTGTGTTGCTGATGTTGATCCAACACTACTACGCTTTATAGGGGCAACAAGTGGCAAGTTCGCCTCTACTTGGGCACCATCAAAACCATTTGTCTCAGAAGGTCTACAAAAAGGTGTCATTCTATGGCGACGAACATGAGGAATAGGCCTCATTGCAGATACTTTTAATCTCTGCCTAGCAAGAGTTAAGGGTGTGCTAATCCCATTCACCATTTTTCTATCCTTTTCCTCTTCATTTACTTTACAAACAGTGTCTTGCCCTGCAAAGACACCTTCATGAAGACCAGGGCTAGCCCCTTGGCTTGGTTCACACCGCTTTCTTCTAGGAGGGGGTGGTTTCAACCAACCAGGGGGACTGCTGAAAAGTAGATTATTTTGGTTGGCACAGCTATCTTTTTCACAGCTTTGATAGAAGAAAAGTAAGCGCTTAGCATCATCTTTCTCAAAAGAAGCTATAGGCAACCCCTGAATACTAGCAATGCCAAGTGCAACTAAACTTCGATAAGAAGCATCAGGTGCTAACTGTCTCAAAATCTGAAAGGAGTAACAAGACATAATTATGAATTTGAATAACAACTTAATATGCTCCAACATATAGAATTCCAATTCTTACAGTAAGCAAAACTTTGGGTACATTACTCAACATCCAAGTATTTATAGGCAAAAATTGTTGTTACCATCTGCTTCAATTCATTATTAGCCATGCAAATGTTGATCATCCAACTTGAAAATTGAGGTTATTTTCACAGAATTCAAGTTCAATTTTTGAGACTTTGCCTGTATCAAACACAACTACATTTCTTCTGTTCCAATAGAAAATCATTTTTAAAAATCCCAATTTTTAAAGGTAAAACGAATAGCACTAATGCACTACAACATTGACAAAACCCCAGAAAGAAACTAGAAAGAAGCAAAGATAACAACCAACAGTCAAGTCTTATCCCACTAGATGAAGTCAGATAAGACACACATTCAGAAATTATAATTTTAACCAATAAAACAGCAATTACACAGAAAATATAGCAATAAAGAAGGTGAAAGAGAAGGGAAGTAGGGAGTTTTAAAACCTGCAAAGCCCATTGAGGAAGCTTCATGCAAATTTCAAACACGGTAGCTCCACAAGCAATTGAAGCAGATCTGCGAGGTTCAGAGATATTCTGTTTGTTTCCCTCGATGAATTGTGCATGAACCAGCTGACTCTTCTCAATTATCTCATTTTTTATATGACTCTCCATGAGCTAAAAAGTAAAATAGATAGGCCAAAGAATAAGAGACCAAAGATTTTATCAGGTTAAATTTGCTTGCAAAATGAATATGTTACACTTTAAAATTTAACTATTGACTAAAAAAAATAGTTATTGGACAATTTAATGATAGAAGAAATAGTCAAAGATCTGTTTCTTTCCACAAAAAATGCCAAGCTAAATTCTGAGGACAAAATTGTAATGTAATGCATCTCAAGAAAATCAAATTTACTTCCAACACTCAAAAACATAATATATATCTATGCCTACAAAAAAATGTTATGTGAAAGAAATGTAAGATTAAAACTAAATAATTAAATAGCATGTGCAAATAGCACTTGTTGCTTGTTACATTAATAATACATAGACCATCATAAGACAGACACTTGGAGGATACCTGATCATTAAAACAAGTTTGTGCACTGCCGGATACCAGAAGTGAGATATGTGCAGAACTACAGGTTGATATATCACATCGCATGGTCACAACACCGCGAGAAAAAGCAGCAGCCTGAAGAGGTGGTGGGGGAGCACTGTACCATAGCATAAAGATATATATTACATGGTGGCAGACCATACTCATTGGTCCAACAAAGTTCTAACGAAAAAACAAACAAACCAAGGGATTTGAAGGAGATCGAGAGAAAGACAGAGAGAGAGAGATGCTTTAAGTCATCAAATGTGTAAGTCTTAGTGATATGCAAATTACACTAGTCATCAACATACCTAAACTTGCCATGGAGCTTACAACCCCGTATCTGAAAAGATAAAAATAAGAAAATTGAGAAAACCTCGTAAGAGACCATTTTGAGGAGATGAAAATAGTGTAGAAAAAAGCTAGCAAACAAGAGAATGGTAAAGGGCCACTGAAATTTGAAATTAAACAGGGAGTTGTAGCTTATGATATCATATTGCCTCCACATAAATATTATACCAGATTGAATAATGACAAAAAAAAAATGCAGCTTAGATTAACAGTGTTTTAGTTTTTTACATTCAAAAGATAGGATATATATCTAAATATTCTGCTAAAATAGCTATTTATCCAAGATAATTTAATTAAACTATACATTCAACGTACTTCAATAGTCAAGAGAGCTCTGAGTCCATCCTCCAGTGATCTCAGTAATGACTCATCCTGAAAAGAAATAAGCCCAGGTGTAATTGACAAATAACTGAAATAATGTCCATTGTGGTTGCAAGTGTTTGTTTGAAAGACTAATTGTACATGCATGCATGATTAAAATTTATCCTTTCCTTTGTCCCACATTATTAAAACATATTCCTGCTTAGTCCCACAATGGAAAAACTTATTTGCAGTGTATATGCTGTTGTGGGCATGTCAATACATGTGAGTCAAACAAATATTTGCCTTACATAAACATCAATGCTTGAATGTGGCTTTAGACTTTTGTGAACACTAAGCAGGAAGTAAAATCCAAAGAAGCTTACAGCAGTGGAAGGTGCACCGCAGATGAGAAATCTCAAGTTCACTTCATCATCATGTATCTTTATAGCAGGCAGACTGCCTAAGGAATTTTCTTCATCATCTTCCTCATCCATCTCTGGAGGCTCAACATTGATTTTGAGATATTCGCCAAGAAGGTGTGGCCCCATCTCACTATTAGCATCATGGCTGTCAGTAGGAAGTACTTGATTGTTTTGAACACAGTAAAGTTCAAAAGAGGCACGTGCAAGGTGAAAAGCATCCCATGTATGTGTAGATGAACTGAAAAACATTTGTAAACAGCACTAAACGTTAAGTACTATCTCGAAATTCTAAACAAAAGCCACTACTTTGATTTCTTCCTTTTTTCCCTAAGAAAATGTTTCAAATAATGCATGGACATAGAGAAATAAGTGAGAAGTCAAACGGGACTTTATAAACTCTGGTCATTCATAATATAAAACAAAATATTCATGAATTTTTCATAAATTAACTATCACAACTTGTGAACAAGACAAGTTCACAGATTGCGGAGACAGGAAATTATTCCTTTCATGTACAACCCACCACATGTATGCATCATTAAAACCATTCATCGATATGACTTGTATCAATAGGAGAATTAGATTCAGGACATAAAAAGCCATTTCACAGTGAATGCAACTTGAGCTCACAAGTTGCAATCGGATAAACAATAACATACCTCTGCACTACTGAAAGAAATGCTTGACAAAAATGGCAGGCAGCATAACATGAAAAGGTATTCTTCCAAAATATAACATACGGGATTCCCTGCAAATTCCAACAGCTTGAATAAGCCAATTTCCACCCATAAAACAATCAGAATGCATGGGATTATTCTTGTGCCTTTTATTATGCTTCAAAAAGGGACCATTGATATCTGAAAGTTTTCTCAAGCAACTAAGACAAAAGCACCTTAAGATGAAGAGCCTCAGCAAAATTTTCTCCATTTGGAATTTCTAAATAAACCTGGAGAAATTATTCAAACTACATCAGATAAAATATCATACAAACAAAACCAATAAAGGGGGCAGAAATGCAAAGCAAATAATCCATATTAGTCTATATAAGATCAAAACAGTTATTTAAGCTTTAAAAGGCAACGGATGTCAATACCCAAGATTAGACATTGACATTTTAAGAAACATAAATTTCACAAATAATGTATCCAAATATCACGAACCCCCATACTCTAGTAATCCTCAATTTATTTCCTGCAGAATCATTCAACCATATACACTTTATTTTATTATTTAGGCATAAATATCACATTGACCGACTCAAAATATTCACACGACTGCAAAAGTCCATGCAATATAACTGAAGGAAAATATTATAATAGACAATGGCTTCTAACATTTATCGCGGTATGCAACTCTACTTCCTTCAGTTTTCCTTCTCCGTCCCGTAGTCAGCATTAACCATTAACCATTACTATCCACCAAAAATAGTAACTCAGCAATTACCAAAACAGAAAGTAACAATTTTACACACTCCGTTTCTTCACCGACCATAAATCATGTAACCTAGAGCCCTAACGACTAAACACACACATAGTTAAAAGTGTAACTACAAATTCAGAATACATACAGCCGTGGGCAATGTGGAACCAAAGAGCTCTGTTATAGCTTGAGAAGTGGATAATTCCACACCTTGCCAAACCAGCGATCCAATTTCTCCATTCTCCAACTGTTCTCCTTGTAAGTAAACAAAATTCGGTTGATACGACTCAAGAACTTTACGAAACTGTTCCTTTTCAGGATTGCGTAGAGTTTGAACCTGCATTAAGAAATCATTCACATCACACAATTCCCACAACTCCTAACGTTGAAAGTGAAACCTACATTACAGTACTATGAACTTGTCAATCGTATATACCTCGAGACGCCCCGCGGAAACCAACTCAGGGAAAGGATACTTGCATTCATTCTGTGAGGGTTTGCATTCTGGAAAACTCGTGCCACATGTGACAGCAAGAAGAGTGCAAGTCTGTTTGGGAGCTCCTTGAGGATGAAACTGAAACATCGCTCAAGCTAAAAGTAGCACCACACACTGAGAAAACAACGATAGAATTTCAGGCGCCGATAGTTGGATTCCGACGAAGATTCAGTTCCGTACTATCCTCAACCGAAGAAAACACCTCGGAATCGCTGGATTTCACGAAAATAATGAGGAATTGCGTGGTTACGTTGCATCGCAGGATGCAATGAATTAATGAACGAGAAAAAACGGTGCTCCAACGGCTGTGTGTGAGAACGAAAGGAAGATGAACAGCAATTCTGAAAACCCTAACGATCTGGATGAATTGGAATTGGAGGATGAAGATTGAACACGAAGAGGATTTGGGAATCGATGCGTATTCACATTTTTTCATGTTGTTCTTCTAAAGTTTAAACGGCGTCGTTCTGCTCCTTCTTGTTTATTTTTCAAAAACTTTTTTCTACGCAGTTATGTTATGTTTAATTGAATTTGCTCTTGGGATAGGGTATGTTGTTGACTTCTTTGGAAAATAATTGTAAGATAAAAATCAAATATCAATTATTATGAATTATCTGAAAATATTAACTAAACAGTATTTTAAAATCAGATAGTAGTGTGATAATAAATGCAAATTTTTTAGGATTTTATAAACTTTAAATTTAAATGTTGAATTTAAGTATTTAAAATAATAAATTTTTAATAAGAATAAATACGTTTATAATAGTAAAGTTATAAAAATATGAGAAATGTTTATTTTTTAATAAAACATTATTATTTAATAATTAATTAAACTTAATTTTAAAAATTTGGGTTATTTTTTATAATATATTAAAATTAAACTCTAGATTAAAATACTCGTTTAGTTTTAATTTTTACATATATACAATTTTTATTAAATACATGTCTTTTAATGTGATATTTATGATTTTATGTCTTATCTTTTCATGTTATATTTGATTTTTTCAGTATTTTTTTATTCGAATATTTTTCAATTCAATATGAGAGTGTTACTAAGTCAAAATACACGTTCATGTTCACAAATTATAATTATTATTAATTTGTAAAAAAATTTAAACATATAAATGTAAAAAGATTTTACGCTTAAATCCTTATATCATTTTATAATATCTTTTGAGTTGAATTTTTCTTTATTAAATTATGCTTGTAAAGGTTACATTAATGTTAAATATTTTGAGACAATCAGTAAATGAAGGTACATTATTTAATATTATTTTAATTTCATAATAAATTTATTTTTGAAAAAAATAAAGAAACGTATTTTTTTAAAAATCTTTAGATTCAATAAAATTGTATATGTTAAGTTTATTTTTATTTTATATTCTTTTTGACTCTTTTTATAATAAATTATTAAAATAAAAAATTAATTATATTTTTTTATAAATATAAATTTTATTCTAAAAATATTCATATTATTAAATAATGTAGTTAATAATTTATATATTTAACGATACTAATAAAAAATAAAAAAAATAATTAATGCACTTTAAATTTATTATTTGTTTTTTATAATAAAAATAAAAAAATATTTCATTTTATTTTTTATAAAAAAGAGCGGAAGGACTATTTTTTAAAATATATAATTTATTATTAATTAATATAACAACTCACATTTATGCTGTAAATATAATTTTTTATTTTTAGGAGATAATATTTTTGAAAGAAGTTTTTATCTCATAAAATCATGTATTTATTTTTTTATTAATTAATTGTTTTTTATTTATAATACTTATTTTTTTCAAATACTATTTATTAAACCTAATTCTAATTTAAACTAATTTTTAAAATTTGGAATACTGTATTAAATATACACACATATATAGATAAATTAAATTTAGAATTATTATAATCTTACAAAATCTTATATCAAAATATGTTTTTAAAATTTGGAGATACCATATCAATTTAAATGATATGTATCAATTTTAAAAGTACATTTTTCTTACGTCAATTCTATTTAATATCAATATAATAGAATATTCATTACTATTAAGAATATATTATTGAAAATAATAATAATGAAACATGACGTGAAAATATTTGTAATGAAACAAATATATATCTGTAAATCTACCCATATATTATTTATTTATATATTTTTTATTGAACAAAACAATTTTTTGAAATTATGTTTACCCTGTTTGAGTTATATGACTTATTTTACATCAAACATTTAATTTAATTTTTACAAAAATATTATAGTTATTAGAAATTTTAATTTAATTTAAATTTTAAAATTTGAAGATATCTTCATTTTACTCAAATGAATTTTAAGGAATTATAATCTTCGTAAATATTCATTCATTTCTTATATTTAAATTTTAATTTAATATTTATATTTTTGTTAAATCAGAAAATAAGTTTTTAATATTGAACCCTAGACAAAAAGTTGGGTGAAATTATTTGCCCTCTTCAGAAACCTAATTTCTTGCACCATTCCATTGTGTGTTTTTCAATTGTAACACAGTCTTAAGTTAGCATATTTTGATGGTTGAAGATAGCATATTTTCGAATTTAATAACCTACTTTGCTCGGATCCAATATTAATGGTGGCTATGTTGATGGTTATTCATGGAAAGAATGATGTTTCTAAAAGTTTATGGTAGCAAAGTAATGTTGTACACATGGTATATCTAAATGATCTACGTATCAAGATCCTCTAAAACCTTTTATAGTACTGAAGGCATGAAAGTAAATAGATACCTTTACTGTTCCTATTTTTTAAATTTAATTTAAGAATATAAAAGTAATAAAAAAAATTAAGAATATTTATTATATTTTATATTTCAATCTAATAAGTATTATTTTTGAGTAAAAACTATTATCTTAAGATAATTAAATTCAAATAAAATTAAAGTTCATAAAATCATATTGTTAATTGCATAATTGAATTTTTGTATATTTTAAATTGGTTTTCTTCTGATTTTATCTTGTTTTATAAATTGTTTTAGATCTCATCATCGCATCACTTTTTTCAACCATTAGTTTTATTCTTTTTCTGTTTTTCTAAATTATTTTTAAAAAGTACAAATTTTGTATATAAATAGCATTAATCTTTTATCTTTGTTTTTCTTCTTATTTTACACGTGCAGTTGTGAAAAGAGCGTAACACAATGATGAATGCTGAGTTGTGTGACAGTTGAACGGACAAAAAGAGTGTCGGTAAAAAAATAAACATAAAACAACTCCCTTCGTGTCCATCATTATTGCCTGGTAGATTATTTTAGGTAAAAAAATATTAGTTTTTTTTCCATTCTTGCTTACAATTATTCTGTTTATCTCTTTATTTAATTTTGATTTGATTCTATTTTTCAATTATAACAATTTTAACCATCGTAAGTCATTTTCTAAAACATTTACATTTTAATTGACAAATAAATAAAAATTAAATAAAAAGACAAAGGAATAACTTAAATAAAATAAAAAGTTGAAAGATTAAAAAAAATAGAAGACCAAAATATTAATTTTATAACATTTTTATTATAATGATTTATATTAATTTTAATACGTATAAAATTAATTGTGTCACGTTAAAAATACATGCGCAAATATGAGTGTCTATGTACTAATTTTTTGTGTAATTACACAAATTATTTAAGATAAAGTAATGTATACAAAAGAAAATAATCAAATTAAAATTTTATTAAACTTTAGAGACTATAATTGTAATCTACCCTTTTAACATATAATTACCACCTTGTTAAGTGTTTTTTACTTATATGCATTAATCACGTGAAAAAACATGTTCTACATTTTTGTAAAAAAATTATAAAACTTTTTCTTCAAATATTTAACACAACTGTATTTACTAAAATTAAACTCTAAACAACAGATTAAACTGAAATTATTTTCAATAGTTGATGTATGTGGTCCAAAATTCAATATATTAATTATATTAAATATTAAAATTTAAAATAAAAATATACTACTTATTAATTTTTTATTTATAGCTTTAAGCAGATATTAATAAGAAGATTATATTAATTAATTAGGACACGGTTGCCTGCATGTTACATCTCTATCCCTAAAGAAAACGATTTCATTCATACATTAGAAAATGTGAGAGTTAGAAAGCGTCAACATATATAACAACTCAAAATGCTTTACAAAAGCATAACTAAATTCATGATGCAAAATTTTATTAAATAAATATACACTTAGTGAAAATATTTGTATAAAGATACATCTTTAAAAACCATCCATGTTATAAATGAAATTTTTATTATTGAATGAGAATATTTTTATGAACTACTCTCATTCTTGTTAAGTCATGTGTTTTTCCCTATACTGAATACTTTAGTTTTTATTTATACATTTTATTACTTTTAAATATGTTTTCTAAATTTAATTTTAAACCTTGATATACTGTATCAAATAGATATATATTTCTTAGATAAGTTAAATATTAAATCATTATAATACTAATCAACCTTAATTTGAATATAAATTTTAATATAATTAACATGTCTATAAAGATTATTTGATTTTAATATCTTTTATAATTTTTTATATTTAAAATTTTATCTATTTATTTTGTTATTTTATAAAAATCATTACTTTTTTTGGTAAATTTGATTTAAATGTAAAATTCAGATGTATAATTTATTGTTACTGGCATATAGATTTATTAAATATTTATTTATAATTTATGTGATAGAAATATTTATAATAACAATTCATTTTATAGTTAAATTACTCAATAAAATAATGTAAGAATGGTATAACTTACTATTAGTGTAAAACATTACCCTTAAATTTGATGTTTCTTTGTGCTGACCTTATTTTAAAATGAACATCCCCTAGACGTATATACGGCTAAATTAATTCATAATCCCGAACGACAAAAAAAATGTATTCAAAATTTAAGAAATGCCCATTCTCCCTCCTCCAAAAGAAGAAAAAGAAAATTAATATGTGGAAAATAACAATGTTATTATCTTTCTTTATATCAGTACATATAAAGAGGGATTACAATTAACAAGGTAAAATAAAATTAGAAATTATGATTTTAAAAAGATTTTTTACAAAATTGAAAAGCGATTATGAATCAAGATTGGGATTACCATTTTTAAAACGATTACGATCGATAACGACACAATCAATGCAATTAATCACCATCCTATTTTTTTGAATTTGATATAAATTATTACTACTATCTTAAAACTCAGTACAATACATTGCCCAAACATTATTCGAATTTCAAAATATTAGTATAACACAGTCATTAATTACATAAAAGAAAAATTAATGGCACTAGTTATAGATTTGAATCATGAAAAGATATTAGTGAAGGAGAAGAATAAGGAAGATTGAGGGAGTGGGTAATAAAAGGGAAAACTCACCTCAAATCTCAGCACAATATCGAACCATTCTCTCCTCTGAGTGTTTTCTTCTTTTGCATGCATAGCAATGGCGTCTAATGGAGCAACCACTTCAGCAAAGCCAAAAACAATAAGGAGAAAGATTGAGATCAAGAAAGTGGAACAGAAAAGCAGGCGTCACGTGACTTTTTCCAAACGCAAATTGGGGCTTTTCAATAAACTCACCGAACTTTCCATTCTGTGCCATGCAGAAACCGCTTTGATCGTTACGTCTCAAAACGGCAAGCTCTATTCGTGTGGCTACCCTGATGCTGACGCCGTCATTCGCCGTTATCTCACGGGAGCGTCTCCGCAATGTGGCAGTAAACGGAAGCAACAAGAGTTAACTGAAAGCCTAAGGCTAGAATACGAGGCCTCTCAAAATCACTTATTAGAAGAGAAAACGCGTTTGCAAGAGATTAAAGAAGAGTCAGAGAAGAATAGCTTTGGGTTTTCATCGTGGTGGAACCATTCCATTGAGGATATGAGTTTGGATAATCTTGAACAGTTTAAGTCTTCTTTGGAAGGTTTGAAGCTTAACTTAGTTGCGGCGGTGCAAAATGAGAAGCTTGCGGTGGTGCAAAATGACAAGTTCAATTGTGAATTTCCACCTTTGCCACTTGCAGTTGTTCCACCGCCACAGTTGCCAAACTCGTTGATTCAGCGTCTTAGTGAACATCAAGTTCATGATTATTGGAATAGTGGTGGTGATGGTATTGATTACCTTCCATTTAAATTTCCTAGGAGTAGTTTTGCCCATTATTAGTTGCTTTGATAGTTATGGTTCTATATGTATGTTTTCTTTTTTCATGTTTGATGTTGACATATGGTTTATAATTTCAATATGATATTCGTTTATGATAATATTCGTAAAAGTTTAGAAAAGAATATATATATATATATAACAATATATACATACATATATATAGAAGTAATTTTCTATTGTGCAATTTGGGTATACAATTTTTTTCGTGATGTTCTTACTTAGGATTTTATGACAAACTTTGTGTCTCCTTTAGAATGTTTTAGAGTTAAATTTATTTTGCCCTTTTTTATGTTTTGGATCGATTGTCTTCCTACAATCTTAGTGTTCATGTCATTGAACAAGAAGTCCTTGCAAGTTCATGTCATCGAGAAACTAGGAAAATTATGGGTAATATATAAAAGGAAACTGAATCCTCCCTTGAATCAAGGGGCTTCCTCTCGGTCAAACATTAATTGTAACAAAAGGGTTATCCTAGTAGTGTTCTAAAAAGGAGATAATCGCAATAGTTAATTGATTTTTTTTCAATCAGTGGATGTGTTTAATTTAATATTTATAACAATTTCTTCAATCAAAAGATACTCGTGAGTTTATTACGAAATCTTTTGAGACATTGTATAACAAACTACCGATGATAACTTTTCCTTTTTTGGTAAGGTTGTTTCAATTTTTTTAACCCATACAAATTTACACATCATAAAAGATCATCAACATTCATGGGAATTTCAATAGCTATATCATACTTGTCATTGTTAAGAACAACAAAAGTTGCAGAACTTTTTTTTTTATAACAACAAAAAAAACTCAAATAATCAACTAATTAACTGTCAACAAGGTCATCAAACAACATAATTGACAGGAGAGTGTCAATTTGGGCGTGGTTTTGTTACCATTAGCTATGTTATAAAGAGGTACAATGAGTATTTTTGGTAACATAATCGACAAGATCATTGCAAACAAGTAGAGAGTTGATCGATTGAGTCAATCTTGATAGTTTTTCTCATTAAGTTTGATGGACGGCTGCAGAGAGATGACGAGCCCAAGATTTTTGGAGTCAATGGTGGGTGTGTGACGGATACAAATTCATGTTATTATTAGGTAGTGAAAGCAGCGTTGTCAAATATCATTGACGAGGATTGGAGGTGGCTTGATAAGCAAAGAAAGAATCTAATACCATAAGAAGCTTAGGAAAAAGTTATTGCATTGAAAAATAATAAATATTTTGCAAATAATATATACCGATCATATAAGAAAAGAACTGTAACTTCAAAATTCGTACAGCACATTTTATACCTTTGGCTTTGTTAATTCTCCAACATATACGTTCGATAGTGGCAATCCATATTCATATGTTCGATCAATATATTGCTAATGAAATTTGAAATAAAAGAGGATATGTTTTAACTTCTAATTAATCAAATATGTAAAAACTACTAATCAATAACTTATATCAACATGCCTGAACTTGCTATGGAGCTTAATAAAAAATTTGAGGGAACCTTGTGATATGCCATCTTGAAGAAATGAAAAAAAAATTATTCTCATTTTTTTTTTTCAAATATTTTACTTATATGTATTTTGTTACATTTTTTAATTTATACTTATCTTTCTTTTTTTTTTTACATTCATTTCACACTTTGTCATTGAATCTAAAAACATCATTATTCAATGACAGCACATACAAGATAGTGCACCTAAAGGAAAATATTTCTTAAATTAAAAGAGATGTTTTTTTATAATTAAGATATATTTTAAAAATATACGTACATAAAAATTAATAAAATACAATGATATTAAATATGGGAACAAAATTTATAATTAGTGATTTAAATCACTAATCAATCAACCGCGCGATTGATGACAGAACCTCTGAATTCCATTTCTTCGACGTCCATTCATTATTCATCCACACTGCAAACAGCATAAGTGTCTTTGCATTGGAATGTCGAGGTTAAAGAATAAGAAATCTTCGCAACTTTTCTGGGATTCCAAAGGTGACTTGCGGTGAACACAGTGCCAAATATGGAATCACTGCTTAAACTTTATGTCATGTCTTATTCTGTACCACAATTTTCATGTGTCAATATTGAAAACTATTTTAAAATTAAATCTCTGTCCGCGTCACTACACCGTGTCCAAGTGGGCCAAATAAACAATAATACAAACTACACAAATAGACATAAATCATTATTATTTCACCACCCACTCTCTTCACTTTTCTTCTGACCAATGGAAAAACATGCAAATAAAAAGCTGTAACAATCTCAGACAAAAAAATATTTGTAATTTAAAACGTGTTAATAAGTGTATTAGAGTAAAAAAAGAGTTGAACATAGTAAAACATGAGTGATGTGTCTCTTTGTGGGACCTGCTTCCTTTTAAATATCCACCCCTGCTTCCTCTCACTGAATTCATCAAATTCCGTCTTTCAACTCTTCAATTTCAATCCTCTCTTCTGTATAGCTCAAGATGCTTCCAAAGTTCATAACCCATTTCAAGTTGGAATCCCAAGAAGAGAAGCAGCTGAACAAAAGAAGAAAGCATGTGAATTCATTTGACAGTACCACCATGGATGTTGGTTTGAGACTGCTTCCTCAAATTACAAGCTCAAAGAGCACCTCAAACGTCCTTGTGAAATCTGCAATGAGAAAACCAAACCAAACCAACCCTTTAGATTTTTGCTTCCTTCAAACTTGCAATCTATGCAATAAACAGCTCAGCCCAGACAAAGATATCTACATGTACAGGTACTACCAACCTCTTCTACCTACTCTTAATCACTTAAAAAAATACCTTTTTTGCAAAAAAGTTGACATTTTCTTGGATCATTCATTGTCTAATTAAGTTACCTATAGAAATTAATATGTTATGGTTTTATTTACATATAAAAAATCTGAATCTGGGTCTGTGTTAATTTCTGATAGAATTTGGATATGGTTTTTGTGCAGGGGCGATCAAGGATTCTGCAGTATAGAGTGTCGGAATAGACAAATAGTTTTGGATGAGATGAGAGAAATAGAGAGTTCTACCAAGAAAATGGTAGCGTCTTATAGGCCATGTTGTAACGAGGCACGTAGAGAGACTCGTCTTATACTAGAGGATCTCCGAATGCAGAGACTTAAATCTAAAGTCTAAACCAAAGTATTAATTCGTTGCAATAAAAATCATGGCAATAATTTTTATGAATCCCTTCATTTTGCTCATAAAGTATGAGGTTAAGGTATGATTTACGAAAAATGTTATACCATCGTTTATTTTTTAAAATTTTTAACAGCAAGATTTTGATGTGTTTATCATCTTTTAAGTAGAAGAATTATTCTTGTCAGTTCGTTTTTCCTTTTTGAAAAATCACCATTAAATTTCATCAACATTTTGACTATTTTATGCTGCATGTCTATCACTTCGAACCCAGTATTTGGAGCAGAGACAGGATGCGACTTTCCAGCATGTGTGTGTGTGTATATATATATATGTGCAAAATAATGGATGAGGATAAGGTTATAATGGAGGATTTTTAGCACTGTTTTCTTGTCCTTCAAATTCAGTAATAACTATCATGTACAATGAATAAAGTGATCGAGAAATCTGTGGACACAGCATTAACTTCGATATGGATAGGCTTCAAGATTTTCTCACGTCAATTGATTTTTATGAAATTAGGTTGTTGCTATCTGGCATCCATTTTAACTGAAACCATTTTGTTATACATTTTTATTTTATGAAATTCTGGACCAAGTGAAGTGTATTTAGATAAATAATTTATTATATTTTTTTTCCATTTAATGCTTATTGAATAAGAGATTATTAATAAACTTGAAGGTAAAATTTGTTGAGCTAAACTTAAAAATATTTTATAAAGTTTTTTATGAATTTATTAAAGCAAGTTAAATATATGTAAAATATCACACGAAACCTCCACAAGTTTAAATAAGTATTCTAAATATTGCTTCAATTGCATGTATAACAGTTACTTACTTATCCATAAAATTACATTCATATCAGCAAGTTGTGATTCATCGTTTCAATATTCTTAATACAAATGCATTTCATCCCATTCTTCTTAGTAACAATTATTATGTCTAATGAATTAACAATTCGCATCATTTTTTAATATTTTAGAAACAAAAATATAATCATATCTAATAAAATTAGAGATAAATTTATAAATTAATGACTTTAAAACTTTTATACATCATCATTTCTGTCATTTGTACAATCATATATATATATAATTTAACATATTATTTCAGTATTCTGTTGTTATTTTCTAATAGTAAATACATTAATAATTAAATTGATGGATAATTGAAAATTTGAAGGACTGTGTAAGACATTCTAAAATCTAAAGAATTAAAATGTCTGAGTGTAACAATTTCAAATGCAATTTAAAAGTTTATGCAAAATATATATTGCAAAATAAAATGAAATAGGATTACTTAGAAAGATATCACTTTGATACACAGTTGATCAATGCTTTCAAAAATAAAAAAATTCAGAGTAAAAAAATACCATTTAAATGAGTATGAATTCACTTTTGAGTGTTTATTTACAAAAATTAGTTGAGATTTGGATGGGTATGAGGTACTGAGTATCTACTCTCACCTCACATATTTTTAAATATATTAAGTAAAAATTATACTTATTAAACTTACACATATAATTTATATATTTTTCTTATTTTAACTCTTATTAAGTCGTCATCATCATTATATATAGATAGAGAGCAGAGAAAATTGTTGAAGAGGGAAAGCATTGGAAATCGAAGCTTAAAGATAATTATTTCTTAATTTTATTATATTAAATTTGAACTTATCTTAATTATTTGAAGTACTTATTGTATTATGTTGATGTAATTAATTACTTTATTGTATTTATATTTGATTAACATTTCAGTTAAATATTTTGTTGGAGATATTTTATAATCAGGATATGTGGAATATTTTTGTTTAACTTGAATGTAGATAACTGACTTTAGTATAAGTATCTGAATAACAATAAAATATAGAGATAAAAAGTTAAAGTTATCACCTAAATATAAATATAAATATATTTTTAAAATACGAATATATGCTATAATACAAAAGTCAAATGTTAGCAGATACCATTCCTAATAACGTGTTATATATATATATATTGGAAGAATGAAATAAAAGTTAACAAAAAGTTCTTTTCATGTCCTTTGAAATGCTTTGCAATGCCTTTTCTCTTTAAGATAAGGCTCCTAAATCCTAACTTGCAAGTTCTTGTTGCTATCGACACATCTAACCTCGTTAAATATTTGAATGTATCTTTATTTGTTTATTTTCATCGGATTTTATTATGTATTCATGAATATATATTAAGAAAATAAAAAAAAATATTGATAAATAAAATTATTTTATTCTTTTAAACATATGACATTAAAATTCAGCATTTAAAATATAGTTGGTATTGTGATTATAGTATTAAACAACGTGCACCATGTTCCAACGATTATTAAATGCTGATTGTTTACTTCGTCTAATGGTGAAATTGTGTGGCGTTTGCGAGTGGTCGGCAAAGATATAGTCTTTGTCAAATATCGCAACATGTTTATATATAATTATTTTTTTTATACTTTTAATAATTTTGAAAGAATTTTAATTCATAAATAAGAGTGAGTAAAAAAATATGTTCTTAATGTTTCTCATAAGTTAATTGTATATATATTTTTATTATATTAAAATTATAATAAATACTTAAATTCTCTCTAACCTATTTACTTTACAAATCACCGTTAAATTCAGTTTCTCCTACAGAAAATGTTGTAACATCGTTTTGTTTAACATAATAGCAAATATTCTTCTCGGTCTTTCACTACACTACATTGGACTGCATCTTTCACAAGGCAAGGTTACTACTAATTTTGGAAAAAAGGTTCCAACTAGGTGTTGATGCAGTTCTTTTTCTACATTTTGGTTTACTAATTAATAATAATAATAATAATAATAAATAAATTATTAATAAATATAAATATATCTTTTTGGTGGTCCTAATAGTGTAGATCAGTGTACGGCAGATGCCTTGCAAAGACTATAGAGAGAGAAGGTCTCTCTTAAGTATCTAGTTTTTTCTTGGCAATTGTTGTTGAATGCACTTCCTTGTAAAGGTTTACTGATTGATCGTGGTGTTCAAATTGATGATATAACTTGTTGTTTCTGTCATGGTTTGGAGGAACTTCCAACTCATTTATTTTTAATGTGCTCAGTTTCATCTCAAATCTGGTACTTTACTGCGCGTTGGCTTGGATTCTCACTGGTTTTGCCTTCAGATTTATCGACTCATTTGCTTTCTTGGGTTAGTGTTGGCTGTAGTAAAAGAGAAGGAATATGCTTATTAATTATTTGCGTAAGTACAGTGTGGTCTTTGTGGTTGCATAGAAATAGAATTATATTTTCCAATGGTGTTTTGGATGAGAGGGAAGTCCTAGATTCTATTATTCTGAGATCCTGGAAATGGTTATCACTTGTTAGTAAGGGAGAAGCTATTATGTTAGTTGATTGGTATTTGAACCCACGAAATTGCATCTGTCTTAATTTTGCATAAGTATATTTTTACTTTTTATTTCTCTGAGTAAGTAATTTTTTGTGTATATGGGTTTTGAGTTCCCCTTGAACTCTTTTTAATAAGATTTGTTTTGCCTATAAAAATATATATATATATATATATATATATATATAAATATATCTTAGTGATTCATCTAAGAAGACATAAAATATCCCTTTAAATTTAAGGCACAGGAATAAACACTTATTAGTTATTAATTAATATTTATTAAAAATTATAAAAAAATAATATGATTCTTATTTTTAATTTAATTATTTGTCTATACTTTATAATTTTAAATAAATTTTAATTCATAAATAAAAGTGTGTTAGAAAATATGTTTTTACCATTTCTCATAAATTAATTGTATGTATCTTCTTACTACATTAATAATTTTTTAAAATCATGCATTTATTAATTGTAGGCCCAAATCACAGTACCAATAAAATATTTAACAACATAATATTTAATATATTTTAACACACTCTTAAATATTGATTAATTTTTATTTTTTTTTCAAAATTTTTAATTAATAATTTTTATATTTTTAATAAATCTTAATTAATAAATATAAAAATTAGAAAGAATACGTTAAAAATTGTCTTCCTAACACTCTTCTGGTCCATAATGAACAATTCCTTCAACTATGAGATTTCAACGATTAGTTGCGTAAATTCGCTGTCTTCGGTGTCGACCCAATTCGTAGTAAGTAATGAATGAATTACATTATTTGCAACTTGAAAGTTCTCTCATTTTCACCATAATTTGAAAAGCATATTTGGGAAGTTACATAAGTAAAACAAATTAGTTATTTACTTATTCTAAGTATAATTTAACTAGGCTTAATTGAACATTTTTCATATCTCTAAGAAATAAGTCAGTTTAGTTAATTTTATTTTTAAAATAATAATTACTTTATAATTTTAGATAAAATTATTATTTTTTAATTATGAATACCTAATTTTATCTTAATTCCATCTAAATAAAATTTTAAAATATAAAATAATAATAATAAAATAATTAAATTAAATTAAATAAAAATTAGATATAATTTTAAATTTTAGATCTATATGAGATTAGTATTTTAAATTTTAAATAGATAGATATTTTAGTTAATAAAAAAATGATTAGAGAGTAAATTTTTAATCGCAAAATAAAAAGAGATATAAAAAGTTAGAATCTCTTATCTAAAATAAAAATAATAATAATAAATGAGATCTAAGATTTTAGAGAATGCCTATAATTAAAAAGTTTAAGTTTTTAGTGAAAGAAGACTTTTTTCAAGACAATGAAACAAAAGAGGAAAGAACTTAAACATTTTCAAAGCACGGGAAATAAAATAAAGAGATTTGAAAGAATTAAAACTTTAAAAATACTTGAAAGAGAGAGAGAGAAAATAGTTGCAAAAAGGCTAAACATTCTAAAAGTACGAAAAACAAAGAATCTTCAAAGTATATTTTGAGGTCAATAAAGAGAAACTTAGAAAGTTGATGAGAAATATAACCGTAAATTTTAAATCATCGCAAGAAGTCGATAAAAAACTCTTATTTGTTAAATCAAGTAAGGATTCTTCATTCTATTATTTTTTATTTTATTTGTTTTATTCTTTATCTATCGTGTGTTTCGCTTTTGTTTTCTCTTGTTCTTCATTTGTTTATACAAAAGTATCAAAAAAATATTTACCCTAAACAAAATCATCTCTTTTTACTAAATCCTAATTTTTTCTAAAATTCAAGATAAAACTAATTTGGTGAAGTCCTAATTTTTTTTTTCCTTTGGTTTCATTCTCCTTAGTAGTAAAAGTTTAATTTTTACAAAACCCTAACTTTTTTCCCAAGAAAAATATAATTCGGTGAAGTCCTAATTTTTTTTTTTCCTTTTTCCTTACTAGTAAACATTGAACTTATACACAACTTTAACTTTTTTAAAATTCTAAAAATCTAATTTGTGAAACCCAAAAAATATTTTTTTAAAAATCTTTTCACTCTAAAAATTAAATTATTTTTAATCTTAAAAAACTGATTTTTTTTACCCTAAAAGTCAAATTCTTTTACCTTAAACCTTAGAAATCTTTTTTTTTCATAAATCTAAAAGAAAAATTATGATTTCTTCGCAAATCTTAACAAAAAAAACTAATCTTTAAATCTAGGGTTATTTTCTCATTATTTTTTGTTGTTTTTGTTTTTTTGCTTTTTCATTTATTCTATATGTTTTCCTTTATTTCCTTTTTGTATACAAGAAATTAATATTAATGTGTACATAAACTTTTTGTTGTCTAAGAAAAGGAATCTTTTGAATTCATATACAGCATATAAATATTTTAAATTCATGCAACCAAGTGATTTTGATAAAGTAATGGATCTATCTTCAACGTTACTTGAATGGTAATGATTTATTGAGTTGCTATATTAATTTGAACTCTTGAAAAAATAAATTTACTTTTTGAAAATAATAATAATAAAGTAAAAGTCAAATTTTCAAAAAAAAAATTTAATTTATCCTAAAGCCCAATAAAAAAAATCAAGTTTTATTAAAAAAAAGAATATAACAAAGAAAAAAATCAAGTTTTCTGAAAAAATAAAATATTTGAAACTTATCTTGAATTCAAATTTCAAAAAGAACTACATGATTTTAATTTCTCCATTGCACACATAGAATACGTATAAGTAGAAACCTAACTCATCAACTTTAAAATCTTTTTTAATTTTTTTATTTAAAATATTTTTAAAATTATTTTAAACTAAGATTAATTTCAAGCATTTTTTTATAAAGAATAAAAAATAAAATTATTCTTTAATAAAAAAATTAATATTTTTATAAATAAGTCATCCCTTAAATTCAAATAATTTATTAATTGTGTTTTTTTTATCTAAAAACTATAAAATTAAAATCTCTCAAAAATTGTAAAAATTAGAAATAAGTCTAAAATATAATAATAAATTTGAAAATAGTAAAATGTATTAATTTTTAAAATGAAATAGATTTTTTTTTAAGTTAAAATAATTTTTGCATAATTAATTAGAAAGTAACTATTTTATTTGATCGATGTTGTAAGATGCTACAACTTTTTACACATAAATGACTCCCGAATTTAAATCTAGTTTCGAATTTTTTTTTTAATAATTTTTTCAATATTTTTAAAATAAATTTTGGTGATGACTCTATGTCATATTTTTTTAAAAATTGATTATAATTTTTTTTACTATTCTTCCTTTTTTTCTACGTAGTCGTCATTATGTCGTGATCTCAGTTTTAACATTAGTTTTATCTTTAAAATAATTATTATTTTAAAATTCATCTTCTATTTGTTCTATAAAAACATTTAAAACATTTCATAATACTTTTAATAAAATAAGATATTAAATGTATTTTTAAATTTTTGTGTCATTTCCTTTAACAACTTATTTTTTAAAGAGGAAGGAGTAACAATTTATCTCAATAATATAAATTTTACATAAATAAAAGTATAAATAAATTAATAATTAATAGATTTATAAATAAAATTTTATTTCTTATAATTTTAAAAATATAATAGTTTTTATAAATAAAATCAGAGATAATATCAAACAAACAAAAATATTTTAAATTAAAAATAATAATAAAAGCACCTAAAAAATTATACTTAAAATTAACATACTTTTAAGAGTTTTGTTAAAATTAACCCTTAGGATTGAGGATAAATAAAATTTTATTAGAAAGAGAAGTATCTATATCTATATTTATATCTATATGTAAAATTATATATAAAATTGACTACACCTACTTATTACTTATTATCATATGTATTAAATTTTGAAACGTATAAAGTTATCTTTATATATGTGACTCCATTTACTTATTATTCTCTATGTATTAAAATTTGAAACTTATAAAGCCCCTCTTATGTGCATTCACTTATTACTGCATGTATTAAAATTTAAAACGTATAACTTATTAATTGAAATTATATTATATTCATACTTATTTATTTTTGAATTGTATTTTTTTATTATATTTATATATTTTTTATATTTAAATTATATATTTTATATTTTAAAATAAATTAATTTAATAAAAAAAATAAACCTTGCAACTCATGTGCATATTTTCTAGTTTATTATATTTTTATAACTTTAATAAAAGAAATGTGTATGTTTTTTATAAAAAAAATTATGTATGAATACTTAAACACGGGTTAACAAAACCCTACTTTTTATGTCACTAGGTTTTTGGCTGCGTTTGGAAACCGGTGGAGGAATCAGACAATGGACCTTTACGATTCCAATATTGGTATGCTGCAACATTTATTATTATGCAAATTCCAAGCACTAAATTAAGATCAAACGGTCAAATAATTGGAACTCATGATTATCAGTTTGCCCATTGAATCGCCAATGGTTGCAAAGCAATTCATGCATTTCTCTTCTGAAGATAAATATAAATTTTATATATAAACATAACATATATATGCAGTGCTAGTAAGCTTTCTACTTTACATTGCTTAGGAAAAGAATTTATGCGAGGCATGGAGGGAACTTCATCGTCCTCCAGGGCCTCTACTGATGATGATCATCTATTAGTTGACGATTTCTACTTTTCAGCCCTTTACGATGCTGAAGAAGTTTTTCCAATCTCGGATGAGAAATATGCAGAAGAGTTACAACTACAAGAAGCCTTATACTCCTCTGCAACGTCAAGAACTAGAGTTGAAAATGATGTTATCAAAATGGGTGCACAAGTTGAGAGTGACACCCCTTTGAGAATCCTCAAGAGGAAACAAAAAGAGGTTGGTCAATCTTCCCAATCCCATGTCTACTGTGGTATTTGCATGGAAGCAAAACCTGGTGAAGAGATGTTTAGGAACCAAAACTGTTCTCACTCGTTTTGTGATGATTGTATTGTGAGATATGTTGCTGCAAAGATTCAAGAGAATATATCGATGGTTAAATGCCCTGATACTAAATGCAAGGGTGTTTTGGAGCCTCAGTGTTGTCGTTCAATTATTCCAAAGGATGTGTTTGATCGATGGGAAAATGCCCTTTGTGAGAATTTGGTGCTTGCATCACAAAAATTTTATTGCCCTTTTAAGAATTGTTCAGCTATGTTGGTGTGTGATGCTGAGGAAGTTATCACTACTTCTGAGTGTCCACATTGTAATAGATTGTTTTGTGCACAGTGCAAGGTTGCATGGCATGCAGGAATGGATTGTGAGAGGTATAGGCGCTTGAAGGAGGGTGATAGAGTTACGGAAGAACAAATGATAATGGAACTTGCGAAGAACAAGAGTTGGAGAAGATGTTCCAAATGCAAGTTCTATGTGGAGAAAGTTGATGGATGTTCACATATTTCTTGCAGGTTTGACTGTGTTATACATGTTTCAAACCAATTTTCTATTTATTATGGAATGTTCCTTTTATTTGTTCATGGAGAGATAATTTGAAAGTATTGCTAGTAGATGATGATTAACTTAAAAAAAAAGTACTAGTAGTTGATTTGATTAAAAAAATGTTCTTACTTTGAATGGAAGAAGTAATATATATGATCTTATTTTATAAATCAACTTGACTGCAGATGTGGTAATGAATTTTGCTACGCTTGTGGATCATCCTGGAATCAGCACCATGCATGTAGCCCTCATTAAGAATTGCTGGATTCAAGTGAAAATAAAGAAACACAGCCTCCATCAAGTGAAGTTTACTAGTATGTCTTTTAAGTCTTGTTAGTGAAGCACACAAAGTAAATTATATGGTTTTTGTTGTTTGAGTTTTTGAATGAATCTGGATGTGTTTTGTACTGTTGAGCCATTAAGTTTGTTCGTGGATGATGCTCAAGTCTGGAATAGGATCAGGATTAAATTTAACAATTACAATTACAAAAAGACAGTCTACTAAATCAAATAATTTAATTTTTAAAATAATCAAAATTTCAACTTATTTTATATTTTATTATTACCTAGAGTTTTAGGGATAATATTATATATGAATAATAACTACAAAATATTTTTTTCACAAGTACTTCAATTGAAAGGCCAAACCCTAATAAATAATTAAATAGATAGGTATAGATGATTGTAAACTTTTATTGGGCCTACGGCCTACCAACAAAAGGCCTATGATAAATAGCTCCTTGATCCAGAAAAAAGAATGCAGAAGAAATGCTGCATTTGTTTGATAATTTGAAATAGAAAATTTATGAGATTTGAATGCTAAAGTAATATTTTTTTTTAATTATGTTTTGCACAGTACAACTATGCAAATATGTATAAGTGATTGTTTAGATGTAGTGGTTTGGTATTCTCTTTCATTTTTTGCAACCTTATAAATGTGTTTTTTGTTCTTAGTTTAAAATTTATTTTCTTGCAAATAGTGGCATTGTCCAACATTGTTATTGGCATTATTAATTGAATCTCCACTTAGGCACGTCTTTTAAAAATTACTATACTGGATTATTAAAAAAATTGAATTTGAATGTTCCCATGATATTAAAATGAAATAATATGGTCATATTAAAAATGTGTATTTTTTATTTAATTAGTAAGGCTTATAACTAATTACGTACAGTGAATCATTTTTTACTCTTAAGTTTGATAATTTTTTTCCATCATTTTAATTAGTTATGCGTAAGAATGATGAAAAATATTTGAATTAATATTATATAAATGATTTATATTTAATAAAAAATTATTTACAAACATCATTTTATGATTTAATTTAATTATGTCTAATTAATATTTATTCTAATTTTTGTAAAATCTATGCAAAAGACAGGTAAGTTTACTAATTACTAGTCGTTGTAACAAAATATAGCATTATTCATAAATTATAGTATTTGCAATAAAAGTATGCATTCGTTAAATATAATATACAATTTGCATTTGAAATAGATTCACAACAAACAAATAAATAAATAGAACGTAAATGTAAACATTTTTAGCGAGTGCTTTTAAAAATATAAGTTTATAATTTGAAATTATTAAATAAAAGCATAAATATTTTATATCTTAAAGTTTTGAAAGTATTTAGTATTTTCTAAAACAATTATACTTTTTTAAAATGTAAGTTAGGAAATCATAAAATATTCCAACCACCAGAGTAAATTTTGCATCGCGTAATTACTCTGTTGTACCCTCCATGTTAAAGGAAATTAAATGGCTTTTAATTTCATCACAAAAATTGAAGAGAGAAAAAATGCAAAATGAAAATTTAATTATATGAAAACACTAAAGTTCTTTTAAGAAAATTTCACTCTTCCCCTAATGTTTTAAAATATATGTTTCCCTCCATTGAAATTTTAATATAAATTATTCTATCTATTTTTTTTTTATCTGTACACATGAGAGGATAATATATAGATTAAAAATATAATTATTATCTTTGTTTATTTTTAAATGATTTTAAACCTCAAAATATGACCTTTCTGTCTCATGCGATGATAATTACAAATTAAATGAAGTTGTTGACACTACCATATGCATTAGTTAATTATAAATGTATAGATTATGGAGGTTTAAAAGGTTAGTTATTAGGGTACAACTTCTGGTTACTAGGTTTTTAATGATGCAGCGTTTGATTAGCTTTACCACTTGTTTACATAAAATGTTAACTTTGACCTTAAAATTTGATTTTAAGCAAATAAATGTAAATGATATTCAATGGAAGTATAATGTTTGAAGCATTCAGAATTTAAAAAGTTTTTTCATTGAATAATTTTTTATATTTAAAATGTTAATTAATTGTAATTACTAACATTTGCCACATTTTTTAGTCAGTTAAACTCTTTTCCCTTCCTAACAAGATTCAATTCTAATTTTTGGTATGGAGAAAAATTTGTCAAGGGAAACAAAATTGTTAATCTTTATACCTTGGGAAATGTACAATTTTTTTTAATATATTTTTCTCCTGAAAATTTGTATATTTTACATTTGAAATTTAATTTAATTTAATTTAATATAACCAAATTTTATTGATAATAACAAATTTTGAAAGAGTCGCTCAATTTTTTTTTCTTTCTTTGGAAAATTTTAATACTATAAAAGGTTAATTAAACATCTTATTATTAATTGGAAAACTAGAAAACAAAATAAAATAAAATTTCAAATATTTCTATTGTAGATTTTAAAAGTAAACCTCAACTAAAAATTTATTACAATGACTTGAAATTTTTAAAAAGTACAGGAAGGAAAATAATATTACTAAGTAAAGACAAAGTATTTAATTTATGATTTTTTTAATGTATGTGACAAACAATACACAGTAAAAATTTTTGTATAATAATTTTTTATTAAAAATTATAAGGTATTACAAAATTTAACCCATTCATATTATTAAAAAAATACAATTTTTAATAAAAAATATGATTTATTACTTTTTATTAGTGACCTTAAACATATTATTTAACTTAACCTATAATTAATGAATTTAATTAAAGTATATTGACAATATTTTTTAAAATTTTAATTATAAATTGTCATATTAATTAATTAATTAAGTTTAACAATAATTGATTTAAAATTTATACTTTTCACATGTTTTAATTAATGAATAATATAAAACTTATGTACTAATTAACATTATATAAAATTAAACTCATAATTAATTTGATCATAAAGTTAAACACGTGTGCCCTGTGCACATGTGGGGGTATTGTTTTTCATGACCAAACTAATGTATAAAGGCACTACAATTTGAATGATGCAAAAGTTGGTTTAAACATAAATGTCTCACTCCTTTAATAAACAACTCATCTTTTTTCACCGATAACATTGCCATTATGACCTTTAAATTGTGTGGTTGATTGGTAGTAGTAAATTATTATTATAAAGCAATAATTGAAGGAACTCGTAAGAAACAAGCTTTGCTTACCATTATTTTAACAAGTTCTAAATTAATGAATAATTAAAAGAAATAAACAAATTCAGAGACTTCTTGATTAAAAATACAGTGTTGCAGCTATTTTCATTAAACCATCTTGTTTAGTTAATTAATGAATGAAATTTTTGATATATTTTTTTATTTTTAAGTTTCTAATTTTTTGAATTCTTAATACACTGAGCATTTTGTTTCTATTTGACAATATATTTAATTCCTTAATCAGCTTTAAAAGTGCTTCTTAGCATTATTTTTAAACATACAAAAAGCTTTAGCTCATCACAATGCGATAAGATTAATAGAAGTTTTATATGTTTCGTATTTATCTCAAGATATTTTTTGCTTATTTTTGTTTGCAAGTTAGTTTTTGGACGAAAAATTTATATAATAATATTTCTCATTTAGGAGATTTTAGATGAATTTATTAAACAGTTAAAAATTAATAAAAAAATATATTTAATATTTCAGTGAGACATAGATTAATAAATAAATTTTATTAAAAATATTCTTTAAATTATTAAAATAATGAATGTTTTAATATAAATCAACATATTTAAGAGACTATATTATATGAAACGAATGGAATTAAAAATTATTATTTTATTATTATTATTAATATATATATATATATATAGCTTGTATAATTAACATTTATTTACAACTTAATTTTTATATTTAAAAAAAATATTTTTTAATTCATATAAAGAAATTATGTTTTAATCTAGATCATTATAATATTGTTAAAAATGTATAATTTAGTAAATAATAACTTTTATTAATAATAGTATAAGAAAATATTTGTTTAAAAACTAAATATAAGTTTTTAGATAATAAAACTAATTGGTAAACGAATTTTAAGTATAAGGATAAAATTTGTATTTTAACTCTGTTTCATCAGTAATCTATTTCATTTTATTTAATAGATATTAAGAGATAAGCATACAATTTTGAAAAGTATTTATACTCTAAAAAGAAATAAACACATGAAATAAAATTCACAATAATAATAATTTTTAAAAGAAGAGAAAGTAATAGCAAGACCACATCCTAATTACGGTTTTGGTCTTATATAAACTCAAACTTAGCAAAATGGTCCAAACTTAACCTCTGATTTAAACTCATCATAATTACAAGATTCCTAATAATTGCATCTGCACTGCAATTGCAAACCCCACATGTTTTTTTCTAATTTAAATACCCAATGCCTTATCCTTTTACCAATTTTCTCTCTTTCTCTCTTTTTTGGTGATTTCTTTTTGCCTCTTTTGCTTACTTCTTTCATTGGACATAGTCGTGGGGCCTCTGTTCAAAAACCAACACGCTTTGAAATTAAACATTTTCTCTTACCCTCTTGTAATATATGAACACTTTTTCCTACAAGGGTTAATATTTTGGCATTTATCCATATATTAATCTTTTTACAGCAAAAAATTGTAATACAAAATCCAATTTCTCTTTTCACTGTATAGGCAAAGAGAGTTGAACTTGGACCTCTCTTTGTTAGATATGGGTCACTTTTCCCCGCATGATAACATATTTTGGCTTTTCCCCCTTCATTAACCCTTTTACTATAAATAGAGTGATACAAAATCCAAAATCTCCTTTCACTGTTTGGGCAAAGAGAGTTGGACTTGGATTTTCCTGTGTCCAAGTGTTTCAAATTGAGGGGTAATACAAAAGAAAAAGGAGTTTATTTTATTTTAGGTCCCCACCATGATAACATGCAGTTCAGATTATAGACGAAAGAAAAACAAACAGCTTGCCAAGAGGGGTCACCATCAGCTCAATACAAGGAAGATGATGATTATGTTTTAGCTAATAATTGCAATATCCTTTAATAAAATACATAATTTTTTAAACTGCAAATATTTTTTATTAAAAGACTGGTGTATATATATAAAAGAAAATATGATAGGTTGGAGGCATTAGCATGGACAAAATTTAGGGGCATGGCCTTCCAAGTTTCACTTGCAAAAAAGTGAATGATGACATTTGGTGAGCAACAAGTGTGGTCCCAACATGCATGCGAAGTTGAACCTTTTCTTTGGGTTCCACCAAATTGCTTTCTTTCTTACACTTTTGATTTTACATATTTGCATTCTTACGCTGATTGGCATCAATCACGACATGGACTTGTTCCGTGTTCCTTCCATCATCCATATATGTCATTCAATTTCTAGTTATTTTCAACTCAGAATCTGTTCTTTCTGCGGAGACAAAGCTAACATAGCTTTCGACGTATGAGTCCCCAACCCAGAATTCCACAAACAATATTTTGTAACTCGCTTCAAATTTTACGTAATGTTTGAATTCATGTTAAATATTTTTTAATGTTATTAGTTATAATTTTTATACTAAAAATACTGTATCTTCTTTCTTCTAATACTTTGTGGTAGCTGGTAGCCTTTTCCCTTCAGAATAACATAGTCATTAAAATAAGCCAACTTAATTGGTCCAAATATAATTTAAATATAAAATTTAGACGTTAAGTTTAAGATTTTATGAAAACTTCTTCTTTTTAACTCAATTTAATGAAGTTTACGTATAAAAGATAAGTTTAGTGTAAGTCGACCTCCGTAAGCTCAATATTCACAAACAATAACAGTGCACTTAGTCTCAGAAAAATTCCACTGTAAATTCTCACCATTAAACTTAGCTTAGGTATTGTATGGATGCAAAGAAAATGATGTGAAATATGACTTCATCTATAATTTTTGGTGGAATAAGTTCTTTGTTATGGTCTGGTAACATTGTCTTCCAGTGACAAAAAGAAAAACATTAATTAGAATCCACAAATTTATATTCTCACAGAAGATTATGTGATTTAAAATGGGAATGAATCTTGTGAATATATATATATATATATATAGTTAAGTTTTTTAAATAATATAAAAAAAACAAAAAGTGACAAAGTTTTGCATAATATAAAGAATATTACATTAGAAGTTCTAATTAATTTTAATATAAGCTTCTTATTTTTATATTCTGTTTTACATATCTAAATAAGAAAAAAAAAACTTACTTTTATCTATTCAAACAACACACTTTTTATCGTTTGTTTATTTATTTATACTATTTTCTTTTTTCTTTTATGTGTTTTCTATTGCATCTAAACAAGCTTGAAAAATGACTAGAGGATAAAACAAAGTAACATAATCCTAAACTTATTTATTGATTTTTCATTTAAATGAATAAATAATATTTGTTTATTTTATTCAAATAATATATCGCTTTTATTTTATTTCTCACGTGTGTTAAACTTTCTGTCCAAACAAAACACAAAAGTTATTATATATATTTTTTTTTTCATTTTCATTTTGTATCCAAACATTGTATACGAAAATGCATTACATATTAGACAACGCGCATGGATGGGCCCGCGAAGTCACAAGATTTCAACACGTGTTCGTTTTCAAACTACCGTACCTGTCAGCTATCATTAACGTACTACTACATTATCTAATTGGCAGAAATATCTATAACTTTGAATGTTTGAACATATATTTTCATCTTAACATTGCCAAGATTGAAAAATAATGCAACTAACAATATGACACAACTAATAAATATTAAATTTTTTAAATATATTAACAAAAAATTAATAATTAATCGAACAAATGCAAAATGCATGGTTAAAAAAAAGGAGAGAAAATTTGATTAGGTGTAATGGGGTAGAGGGTAATTGAGTGTATATAAATGGGTCGTTTGGATTGAGTGGAAAGTCAAGCACTTGATGGTTTAGTGTTCTCTGCCATGGATGGTTGACGTAATTCATGGACCCAACACTTTGTTTATTGAAGCATTAATTGACGAAGCTGATTGGACCAAAAAGAAGACAAGAACATCTTCCCTTAGACTTGTATCTTTTTTCACTCATCTTATATCTCTAATTTATTATATAAATATCATTTCTCTCAATTCAAACCTTTTTATCACCGAAACAAAAGCAAATCCTCGGAGGGACATAGAGTACCAAGTATTAAACATTTTAATTACTTCAATATAATTCTTAAAAAATTGAAGTTTTCAATATAATAAAAACCTATTAGAATATCATTTTTTTTCTCAACAGCACAAGTTAATATTCCTTTTTTTTCAGTTACTGACATGTGTTTTTTATTTTTTACATTATTTTATAATTATATCGGTAAACGTATCAGACAGCTGTTTTCTACTTTATGGGTCTAAGCACAGCAGAGAAAACATGGACACACGATTACTATTATTATACACACAGTAACAATAGTTTATGAAGAAACATGCAAAAACTGGGAATTAGAATTAGGAAGAGATTCACCTTTTGAAATCCACCACAACACGACTGCTCCACCCCCCACTGTTCTCCTACCTCTGCCATTGTCGTACTTCAAATGGCCCCATCCACCATCTTTCCACTGCCCTCATAGTACCCTTCCAAATAATAATAATAATAACAATAAATTGATAATTATTAAAAATTATAATATTTAATATTATTAATACATTATGTTATATAATATCTTATAACTTTTTATTAGGAGTAGTAATACTCCCTCACTAACACACACGCATGCACTCTAATCTATAATCTACACTTCACTCACTTTCTCCCCTTTAAATTTTGCTGACACCAAAGAACTCATTCACACTTCAATTTCAAATTTCAATGGCTCCATTTTCCTCTTTCCCTTTCTCCCTCATTCTCTTCCTCTTCTTCGTTTTCACACTCAAAACACAACCTTGTTCTTCATCAGACCCAGAAAAGAAAACCTTCATAATCCAAGTAAAACAGGAAGAAAAGCCATCAATATTCCCAACCCACAAGCACTGGTACGAGTCATCACTATCTTCCATCTCAACATCAACCAACACCATCATCCACACATACGACACCGTTTTCCATGGCTTCTCTGTAAAGCTCTCACCTTTAGAGGCACAAAACCTCCAAACACTCTCCCACGTCATCACAGTCATTCCAGAACAAGTTCGCCAACTCCACACCACGCGCTCCCCTCAGTTCCTCGGTCTCACCACGGCCGACCGAACCGGTTTACTCCATGAAACCGATTTCGGCTCTGATCTCGTCATCGGAGTCATCGACACCGGAATCTGGCCGGAGAGGAACAGCTTCAATGACAATGATCTAGGTCCCGTCCCCGTCAAATGGAAAGGCCAGTGCGTCGCCGGGGTAAATTTTCCGGCATCCTCATGCAACCGGAAACTCATCGGAGCTAGGTATTTTTCCGGCGGGTATGAAGCTACCAACGGGAAGATGAACGAGACCACAGAGTACCGTTCGCCGAGGGATTCCGACGGCCACGGCACGCACACGGCGTCCATCGCTGCCGGCAGGTACGTGTCACCGGCGTCCACCTTGGGGTACGCCAAAGGAGTCGCCGCCGGAATGGCACCGAAGGCTCGCCTCGCAGTTTATAAAGTATGCTGGAACGGCGGCTGCTACGACTCCGACATTCTCGCCGCCTTCGACGCCGCCGTCTCCGATGGCGTCCACGTGGCGTCGCTCAGCGTCGGAGGGGTAGTGGTGCCGTACCACCTGGATGTCATTGCAATCGGCGCTTTTGGAGCCTCCAACGCCGGGGTGTTTGTTTCCGCCTCTGCCGGCAACGGCGGTCCCGGCGGACTGACGGTGACGAATGTGGCACCGTGGGTAACCACAGTTGGTGCCGGAACTATAGATAGAGATTTTCCCGCTGATGTAAAACTTGGAAATGGTAAAATCATACCGGGGGTTAGTATTTATGGTGGGCCGGGTCTAACTCCGGGTCGGATGTACCCGATTGTATATGCCGGTACTGAACAATTTGGGAGTGGTGGTGATGGTTATTCCTCTTCATTATGTTTAGAGGGTTCTTTGGATCCTAAGTATGTGAAGGGTAAAATTGTTGTGTGTGATAGGGGGATCAATTCAAGGGCTGCTAAGGGTGAAGAGGTGAAGAAAAATGGAGGGGTTGGTATGATTTTGGCTAATGGTGTGTTTGATGGTGAAGGGTTGGTGGCTGATTGCCACGTGTTACCCGCCACGGCAGTTGGTGCCACCGGCGGTGATGAAATTCGGAGCTACATTGCATCGGCGGCGCGGAATTCCGCCACGGCGACAATTGTGTTTAAGGGGACTAGGCTTGGTGTTAGGCCAGCACCTGTGGTGGCATCATTTTCAGCTAGAGGGCCTAACCCTGAATCACCAGAGATTTTGAAGCCTGATGTTATAGCTCCTGGGTTGAACATTCTTGCAGCTTGGCCTGATAGAGTTGGTCCTTCTGGGATACCCTCTGATGGGCGTAGAACTGAGTTTAACATATTGTCTGGGACTTCAATGGCTTGTCCTCATGTTTCTGGTTTGGCTGCATTGTTGAAAGCAGCACACCCTGATTGGAGTCCTGCTGCTATTAGGTCCGCATTGATGACCACTGCTTATACTGTTGATAATAAGGGTGATCCAATGTTGGATGAATCCACTGGGAATGTTTCATCAGTGTTTGATTATGGTGCTGGTCATGTTCATCCTGAAAAGGCCATGAACCCTGGTTTGGTTTTTGATATTTCTAGTTCTGATTATGTGAATTTCTTGTGCAATTCTAATTACACTACCAAGAGTATCCAAGTGGTCACAAGGAAGGTTGCTGATTGCAGTGGAGCTAGAAGGGCAGGACATTCAGGAAACTTGAATTATCCGTCCTTCTCTGCTGTGTTTCAACAATATGGAAAGCGAAAAATGTCGACACATTTTATTCGATCTGTTACCAATGTTGGGGACCAGAATTCGGTCTACAAAGTCACCATTAAGCCTCCAGTTGGAATGGTAGTGACAGTGAAGCCAGAGACTCTGTCTTTCAGGAGGTTGGGTCAGAAGTTGAACTTTCTTGTTAGGGTGCAAATTAGGGCTGTGAAGCTTTCCCCTGGAAGTTCTCTTGTGAAGAGTGGTTCCATAGTTTGGTCTGATGGCAAGCATAGTGTCACAAGTCCCTTGGTTGTGACAATGCAGCAGCCTCTGGATTAGTGTTTTGAGGTGTTTGGATGTAGAAATTTTGGTTCTTTTTATCCATCTTGAAACTCTTATAAAACTAGCTCTATATGTATAATAGAGAATGTGTTTATCAAGTGTTCATTTTGTAAGAATTGGTGGAAGGATGGTTTGTTAGAAACAGCGTGAAGGCACTGCCAAAAGAGGGAGAAATCTCAAAGAAAAAGAAAAAGGGTATGGACGTATATCTTTCTTCTTGTAAAATTAAGAATGTCTGTAGAAAATGTCTTGTTTAGAAGAGGACAAGGATATGGGAAAGATCTTTTCCTTTTGAGTGATTTTGTTGAATCCTTTGATAATGTTTTGTTAAGTCAGATGTTTGGTGAAACCATGTGGGTAGAGATGCGAATGTTTTATACTGCAAGAAACTTTATTGGTTGAGGAAATCAGATGGTAAACTTAGTATTTCACACAAGCGTGGATGCTATTATTACGATGACCAACAGGACAAAATTCATAAAAAAAATTAGGGTTGTTTTGTTCTCTTTCTTTTTCTCCAGATTTTATCATATGATGGCAACCGTGCAAAAACTCCATGGCAGGGTCTACCAGCATTTATATGCATTGTCTGAGAAAGATTAGGAATTGGATGTGCATATTATCAGGTACTACAAAATTATTCTTATAGCACGGATATCAAATATAGTTAAACTAAATGTGTTCGGATACACATTTGCAAATTTGAGTTTGAGCAAACTTGTTTTTGTAGAACTGATTTTATTTAGAAGTGGATTTAAAGTAATATGATTTATGTATAAAAACTTTTTACTTTAACATAAGTTTGTAGTCAAATTCAATTTAATGTTTTCAACTCAATACAAAAAATAGTATAAATGTATCAATTATGTCATAAAACTGTCCAACATGTTAGTATCAATTTCAAACAACACTTCCATGTTCAAAGTTGAGTTTAGTAACTTTCAAACAAGCACTAGACATCAAAGTTATGTAAGTTAGCGAATTAGTCATTGAAAAAAAAAAGGTGCGTTTATTGAATTCTTATAATATTTCATATGCATAAAACAAATTCAAAAAACCATTTATGATTTAGGTTAATTAACAAAATCCAATTAGTATCTAATCCGAGTCATCTACAAATAATGCAGCAGGTATTTGAAACTCTCTGTATTTTTTATGCGTGTTCGAAACAAGTTCTTTTTTGTCAACATTTGAAACAAGTTCTTAATGTAAACTTTTAACCCACCTAGTCCTTGTAAGATTCCCAATAAATATACGGGTCTATGGTAGTATCGGGTTTTCAAATTCGAGTATGCTTCAAAACTGAAACTGGCCATGCAAGACAATCTACATTCAAATGATGAAGGTTGAATTAAAAAGCTAATTTGGACGTTCAAACAAAGCTTCTTAGCTGGAAAAAAGTGCCATTTGAAAAGAAATTGGTTTGCCAACCGTGGCCCAACATCATGAGAATTCTTTTTAAGCTGCTTGTCGCGTGTATCATTAGGTTCCTTCTATCTTTTGTCTTCACCATCTTAACAAAACTCTGAAGACAAAAAAAAAGGTTCTTATATATCTAAAGAGAAAATTATTTTCATATCAGAACACAACGAGTAAATATGAGTTGTATAATTATATATAAATGATCAAAATTAAAGATTAATTAAAATTATATGTTCTAATTTTGACAATTCACAGTGAGATCTTAAGGTTAAGATTAATTTCTTTAGTGATCCTATAAAAGGAGCTTTATCATTCATGTATATATATTACGGCCAAGTGAAAGATGCGTTTTGAATGGTAAAGCAAAGAATTATATAACTATTAATGAAAAAAGTAACAAGTGAGATAGTAATTAAGCTCATGATAATAAACTACGGTGTTGAAATCTATCTCATAATTATCATTTTCAATAGTTATAGTTCTGTATTTTACCCTTTAAAGTATAAAGTGGTCCATTCATTTTAATATAGTCAAATATAATTTCTTCAGACCTTTCACCCATTAACAGGATATGAGTGGCCCTCACGGCCATCTCATCCAAAAGAAGAAAGAAGATGAATGAAGCCCTACTTCACTTTAGACTTTTGATTTTTCATATCTTTATCGTTTATTGCTTTGACTTATTGAAAAAAATTAAATAAAAGAATGCACAATTGTAAAGGTAAAAAGAATTTTTCTTTTGGTCGTGAAAGTAAAAGGAAATTGAAAAATGATTATTTCTGTTTGGACAACAAATTGGCCAAAATAGTGCGAGGCCCAACATTTATTCTTTCTTGTAAGTCAAAAGTAGAGCTCAATTTAAAAAGTCCATCAGTCCCAAAAAGAGAATAAACCCCACCAAATAATGATCAACTAATTGGCCAAAAAAATAAGTTTAAACTTTATTCAAGACACTTTTACAAGCCCAAAATATCCACTTCCCCATAGACCACCAATGATAGAGCCTTGATGGCTCATTTATTCTTCTCCAGATGTTATTTTTTTTAACAATCAGCACATCAGTGCTAAAAGGCTGAAACTAGCACTGCCAAAGTAGTGTGACCAAAACAAAAAAAGTACTGTGGCACTTGAGCGTCCACCTTAAATGGTGTTTGGTTTACAGAAATATGTGTTCCCTTTAATCGTGACATTTGGCGGGTATAGTTATTATTTTATAAATTTATTTTTTTAAAAAAACTGTTTATTTGTAAGTGACAAGTATCGAGTGAATAAATCCTACAAAAATGTTGAGAATTTGTTCCTAGAGTACATGGAACATGTTGCCTCTGCATTAAGTCCCAAAAAACTGCGAAATATTTTCCAGCCGAAGGAAAAAGAAAGGCCATTTGCTATAAATATCAGGTTGTGATATCTTTTGACATGGAATAGACTATAGTCTATGAAAAAAGTAGCACGCTTCGTTAATTATGATACTTTTTTTAACGTAGGATAGAAGTCCTGATAAATTGCAATATCTAGTTATGCATTTAGTTTTGTTATGCAGCAATTTTTGTTCATGTTTAGATAATGTATGTAGAAACAGGAGTGACATGATTTTTATAAAATGTGATCCATGTTAGGGAGACTTCATTTACCTCGATTATCCAAGTACATACACGTGGAGTTAGTCTCATTTCTACATGCAATGATCACTTAAATAACAAGTGAACCCAACATGTTTCTTCATTAGCTTTTAATAATTAACTGGGGTGAGGGAGCAGAGAAATTGCTGTGCCATAAATTTCATGAAATTTGTCTATATCTCATCTCATTTCACTTTTCTTTTGGTATCATTTTAATATTATCTCAAGTTAACTTACATATTTTCTCCATTTTAAAATAATCATAACATAAATTTTAATGTGTAAATTAAGGAGAAAAACATAAGTGTTTATAATTGTACTGTCTTCTTATTTATTTATTCATCTTTTATTTTATTGAGTTACGATAGCAACAATGAAATATAAAATTAAAGTCAAAACAATAGTTAAAATCTTTCTTAATGCTAATAAAATGAATAATTTGACACAGAAACAAAACTTACAAAATGTTTTTCTTTTTTTAAGAAATGTAATTATGAGGTATCTTGGTTGCTTCATCATATTACACATGTAATGTGACGTGTCGACTTTTGTCATTGGAAGCGTTGATAATTTGTTTGACAAAATTGCAGTGCAAAAGGCCGCAAGGTAAAAAATGGCGGTGGTTGTGGGGCTTGAGGCTGATGTTTCAAAGGGTTGATTAAGAGGTGAAAGACGAGATGAACACTAACCTTATCTTTAATTAAACATAGTGATTAGTACAAAAAAAACATGATTAGATATAGAGATAACCCATATCTGTTTTTTTTATCAATATAGAGATAACCCATGATTAGATATAGAGATAACCCATCTAAGAGCCCAAACTTGCATGGCAATTGTGGGTACCATCACTTTCATCACCAACGTGTAAAATTGGACGTCATCTCCAAAAATGGACTAAAAATGCAAAGCAATAGTTGATGAGAACTGTTGAAGACATTTATGAGCGGAAGATTCATGAAGATGTTCATTGTATTTTGTAAAAAAAAGGAGCTTGTCCGTCCTAAATTTGGATGTTTGTTTAAAAATTGTAACACCAAAAAGGACAAAACATCTATTTTGTTAGGCATACAATGTCCCATTTTACCCACGCAAATATCAATGCCTTTCAATTTGTGCTACATGAGTGTGCCACATCAACTATTAGTGCCGATGGAATCAATGAGCTCAAAAGAGATTTTATTAGATTAACTGAACTTGTGTAACGTAGTGCAACAACTGATTTAAAAAAATATCAACTTGATCAGCAACTTGTCTAGTGGCGTAAAAGTGAATTAAACTACACACTAGAGAATAATATTAAGTATTAATTTGTTTATAAGTGATGGCGATTACTGGTGAGCGACTGTGTAAAGCAATTAACAAAAATGTATTTGAAATTATTTTGGAGGACAATTCTTAGTTGTCTCTTGTACTTTTTCTGGGTATATACAATTACTATTTTAATATTAAAATTATTTTGTGTTTGTGGGCATCTATTTTTTTGCTTTTGGTAGAGAAAAACGTAACTTTCCTCCCTTGTATTTTAGTTTCTGTTTAGGGAAATGAGAGAAGCATATATGATTTTGAAAAAAACTATTTAAACCTTTTTATTTTCGTAGTCCAATAACAACTAAACATAATTTATTTAAGCAACTAGGTAGGAATACCATAAATTATTCCACAAATAAGGCATAGGAAGGGACGAACTTTATTTCTTTTAACATTGCATTATATGAAATGTTGACATTACTTGACAAGCGATTCACATTTGAATAAACGACAAATGATTAAACAATTGCCTACTTGATCAACAAGGCCTGGTGGCGTAAAAGTGAATAAAATTGAAAAACAATTACAAGGACTTGTCGATAATTTATCTGCTGATTACTAGTGAGAGATGGCTGTGTAAATTCATGGGCATCTATCTTTTTCTTCTCTTCTGTTGGCAAATTTAACCTCCCTCACCACACT